TTTAAGCAATTTTTTGATAAAATTTCCTTTATTTGATTTATCCCACAAAATCTCACTAAAAATTTTCAAACTCAAATCCAATTTAATCAAAACCAACAATTTATTTTCCTCATTTCTCGGATTTTATGGCACTTTCTTTGGAATGTCCAATCCTTAATGATACCCGTTATGAACAAATTTTTCAACAAATAATATCAAATAAAAACCTTTCATGAAATATGATTCTTCCGACAAACATTTTTTCAGATTTATTTTGAAAACAATTCAGCTTATTTTATTTGCTTATTTGCTTTAAGCAATGATGAATTTTTATAATTTTATTATTTTTTGCATAATGTTATTCCTCAGAGTTTGGATAAAAAAATATTATTCCAGATAACCTTCACTATCTATTTTCAATTTCTTCTAAAAATTGTTAAATCCCACCGAAACGAAACCGAAATCAAGTGAAATAAATTTGCTTAACGAAGAATTAATTAAATAAATAAGTTAAAGTAAAAAATTAAAATAAACGAGAAACTGAAAAAAAGGAACTGTGATACCGGAAATTCCAATAATTGCACCTAAAACTACTAATTGATGTTTTTATGGATCATCTATTATAACTGCTATTTATCACCAAGGAGTCCAATCAGGTGGTTTATCGGTTCTTTTGAAGTGAAATAATGGACTCCTTCTTTTTACAAGCCTTACCATTCGGTTGATTCACATGTTGCGATTTCATTTTATCATTTTTTTTCAATCCACAAGTAATTCTCTTACGAAGTAGCTTCATCGGTGATAGTCGCTTCGCTCAGTGAACGAAGAACTAAGTGGCTGTCGCTAGAAGAAAAAGAAGAACCCTTATTTGACTTATAGAATTCATTCAGCTAGTTGAGTGTTCTTTAATTACAAGTGTTAAGTACTATAAGTACTATAAACAATTAATTGCACTCAATTTTCTACGAATATGTTGAATATGTTTCTTATATTTGTGAATTTTATATATGAAATAAAGTGTATTTATGAATTGAATTATGTCTAAGGATTTTGTTTCTTTTCTATGAGCTCAGATCTCAGGTCGTTTCTGATTAGGCTCGGTATGATGGGCTTGTTGGACCAGACAAATTTCGCCAAGGATTCATGTAACAATATGTGTCGCCAGCACCATACGGATTTTTGAAAGACAGGTTTAATCTTGTCAGAAGTGGAATTCCTGCACTCAAAAAAGAGAGCAACAACTAACTGAACTATTTTTCTTTATATCTATTCTTATATTCTTTATATTTATATTCTTTATATTTATTCTTATATTCTTTAAATATCTAAAAATGCAAAAATACAAAAAATAATTTACATTCTAATTATAAATACATATTTTTTTCGGGTTTTCAATCACGTCTGTAATATTCATTATCGTATTCATTTTATTAGATTTTGGCGAAAAAATATTTAAACTAAATATAGGCCTTCTTTTAGTAATTACAGGCCTAGTTCCAATTAAGACAAAAGTGATTTACTAAATATATGTTTGAAATATTCAATAAACCGACAATATCGAGTTTTTAAACTTTATTTTTTGTCCTTAAAATATTGGATTCTTGTATTCACTTATCACTTGTTATATATTTTCTATATAATATAGTAAATAGCAGTTATTGAGATTAAACAATTTCAGATTCGATATGTCGTATCGTAGGCGACTGGCCATAAATGAATGTCCCAGTATCATTTACGCCATTTTCTTCCCATCTACTGCCACTTAATTTCTTTAAATAGGGGTCCATTAGGGGTTTCTTTTAGGAAGTTTTTTGCAAGATCTTTTACTTTTGTTTTACTTGTTTCACTTTATTAAAAATGGTTGCAAGTTCTAGATTGTTTACAAAGGATTTCTTAAAGGATTAAATTTCTCAGAATATATTATTTTTCATTTTATTGTTGCTTATGGGTTTTATAATTAAAAGTGATTTTACATTAAATCGCTATTCCCAGAGTATTTTCAATATTTGTTAATATTTAATGATTATGTTGTTGATAATTCAACGAAGGGCTGAATAGTTTATTGCCCTCTTTTTGGAGCACTGATGCTGGAGCTCTCCAGAATCCAAGTGATATTGATGACTTACTTGATTTGCAAGTAAGACAACCAAGTTATTTTTCAGCAAAATTATTGCCTGAAATTATTTGTCTTGTCTGATTAGGCCAGCGAATTGAGCCTAGCCAGAAATAGTGGTTTCTCTTAGAAATAAAAAATTAATGAAATATTTTTTGCATTTCGGTTTTCGCTTAATTCCACTGTTGAACTTTTTATCGCATCATTGTTTCATGCTAAGATTAAATAATTTCAGGTAAAATTTTATCGTGAACCAGCATAATGTCGCGCATTTTTATCCTTAATGTTTTCATTTTTATTTTCGCCGTAATTTTGGCGGTAGAATCCATTGACGATCAACAAAAGCGGACGAATTGGAATAAGGCTGTTGGCTTGTGGGGCAAACGATCGAAATTTGATGATGCAGTAAGTGAAATTTTACAGATGGCCATCTTCCACTTACTCATTTTTATACTTATTTGCTTCATTTACCTATAACCCATTCCATTCAAAAAACCTGTAATCCAAACTGAACTCCTGTGGAACTTTCATTTTGCACTAAGAGTATTGCAAATACTTTTTGGTCTTATATGCTTTATTTTTATATTTTGCATTTCTATGGGCAATGATGAAGGTGTAAAAAAAAATTTATTAAATGCATGTTACTATCCTATATGCATTCCAAGATAATACTGTTAAAGAGAAGATATGAATCCATATAATTTGCTGCATTGATGCATATCTGTACTAAATAGCCTGAATAACGTAGCATAACATATCCTGCGAAATCCTGCCATTTTTTTCCAAACCTTATCCACTTAAAATATCCATTTTAACCTTAATTAGTAGTAAACTCCTAGATCCCAGCAGTTACTTTTCATAATTCTCTATATTTTTTCAGTTTCTTTCGGAAAGAAACTTATCTGAATCTATTATATTTCTTAATACTCCTCGAAAGCTCTCCAAATAATAAATTATTTTCTTAGTGTATCTGATTATCTGCACACTTTTCCAGAAAAGTGAGTCAAACTCCTAAACTGCTCGAGCTGGTAATTTCGAGCTGCACAATTTTCTTTCTCGCAGTATTTGGTGCACTTTGTTTTCTTTTTTTTCTTAGTTCCAAAATTTTGTCAAATCTAGTTAAAAGTTAAAAGTTAAAATTTAAAAGTTCTTCCCATTCATGGGTATTGCAGATTATGGTTTAATTTTTTCTATTTTATTTTTCAATACGATTTTAAAATTTGCAATTTTTATGGTTTATTTTTTAAAATGTGACGTTTTTTTTCATATTTCCTAAGCTCTAGTTTTATTTGCAGTTTTTCGAACAGTTTCACTTGTTCTAATTATATTGATGGTAATGTTTATTATTGCAAAATAACCTAACAGATAACTTATGGAAACCGTGGTAAGTGTCGTAACCGTCGTCGTAATACCTCGTCTTCAAAGCAAGACATCAACATTTCGTGAAAACTAACTATAATTGTAAATTGAAGTGCTCGAAATACTAGTTTTATTTTCGCAGTACCCTCAGCGATTGCCATATATCACAATTTGGAGCTGTGGCCGTTATGAAAATACATTGCGAGGATTCGTAGGGTGTTAAAGAAACCCACAAAGGGTGAATAATGCGAAAAAACGACAACTGGGTCTGGTTGGTTCAAATGGCAAAGAGGGTTTAAAATGAGAGTTTACTGATGGATTATATAATAGAAAAAATACAAGGAGACTATTAAGTAGACATGTAATAAAGCTCAGAATATGTCAAAAAGATTTCAAAGATGCATCATACCACATCACAAATGTCGAGATTTCGTAGTTTGAGGCGGGCGATCTTTTGCTCCCCAAAATATGCAAAATATACCACCATTATAAACATAATAAACATCAGCAAATATATGCAATAACAAATTTTCCTCAAACTCTAAAAGAAACGCGAACTGTATTCATTTTATTTTCCGCTTCTATCACCTTCTTATATCCCATCATACTTCTACACTGTTTCATTGTATTGGTTTCGCTTTTCCAAGCCACTCGATTCAACCGGCTATCTGGCCACTCATTTTTCCACCTAACCCCACATATTATATGTTTGACCGCATATACCTATTTTCAAAATCCCTGCTACCAGTGGTGGTATTAATCCAGATTGCAGTTGATGCCATCCATCTCAAATTTTGGCATGTGACAAGGTATATGTCAATTGCTGTGACTTGACGAAGAAAATGCATCTTAATAGTAATAAATTCTGTAACGATTCGAGAGAAGATTAACGCATTCATTTAATGTTTTATAAGAGAATTAATGTTAATTGGAGAAGAAAGATTCAGAAATAATTATCGCACCAAAAAAATCGAACTGTACTGCTAAATTGTGCCATGTTGTAGTTTTTTTCTTCTTTTTACTGCACAGTGGAATTATGGTTAGATTTATAACTTTTAACTTAGATGTCTACATTGCTTTTTTTTGTATTTGTACTTTTTTTATTCTTCACAAAAACGAAATTTAGTTGTCATTAGCAAAGAGAATATCAAAATTATTGCCAAAGCTCAAGCTAAAATATGAATCAGTATGAGGTATTGCAGAGAAAATATTCCACTGTTTACTAAAATAAATTCCAGTCAATTCCATATCCCTCAATTTTATACAAATTCTAATCGCTTTTCTTTTATTACAGGATCCCTCCAACTGGAGTGGAAAACAAGCGCTTAAAATGAATTATTATTTTGACAAAAGGTTTCTCCTTTTTTACCATACTATTTGCCATTTATTTCGAAAAATTTCTTAGTAGAATTAGAACGTGATATTTGTAAGGATATAATTCATTAAAAAATTCATATAATTCACGTTATTTTAAAAATTTCTCTGAAATAAGAAAAGCTAGAAAGAAATGAGAAATATTAAAGTGATCTACGATTATTTTCAGGAATTCATGGCAGAAGGCAAACGGTCTATGGGGCAAAAGGTAAAGTAATTTTAGTTTTAAAGATACGTTCTTGCCGAGTTAGGTGAGAAATTGAGGCATTACGCGAAATTTTCACTTGCGACGAAGTTTCTTAGGCTATAAATTTTCATTGGGTATTTAATGAATTATTAAGTTTTCAGAGCAAACTGGGACACGGCTAATGGACTTTGGGGAAAAAGGTTAGCCATTATTTTTCAAGTTTAGAAAATGTGTATTATATGTGGAAAATCCATATTTGTGGAGATAGAATAAATAGCTCAGTGGGTTTTGCTCTCATTTCGGACAGGGTTCTATCTTGATAAGGTGACTGCATTTTTTAAAAATCCAAAATCCTGGTAAGGCTGATGACTCACAAGTAATTCGCCAAGTGAACTAATGGTAAAATTTCTCTAGTCCGATAAGCCAGCCTAGCCAGAAATGGTGAGCGCTTTGGAAAAAGAAATGTAATAATTAGTTTGTCCATCTTTGGTGAGTTTTTAAAAAATGTGGTCAAATTTTAAAATAATTTTTTTAATATCTGTATTATTTAGATCTGATTTGTCCCACGGCGTTCTGAGCAGTTCTAATAGAATTGATCGTGCTGAAAGTGATATTACGTATGTTTCATGAGATCTCGTCAAGCAGTCACATGGGGGTAGAAGAAAGTAGACCTTCAGCCACTCGGATCTCACTTTTAATACCATATTTACTTTCCTGAGAGGATAAGAATGGAATTCGTTTTGGCCTGACCTTAGTCAAAATACAATTTTTTTATTATTATACTATTATTAAACTTCTTTATTTTATTTTATTTTTATTTTATTTATTTCGTTTTCGATTTCCTATTTAAATCACTAATATTTGTTGTAATTTGATTATAAAAAATTATATATTACTTATAGGGCAGACTGGAATGCTGCGAATGGATTATGGGGTAAAAGGTTGGAGCCAAGATTTGCTTCTTTTTCAGATCACAAATATACTTCAGATATGACATAATAAGGCACTTCAGACTCACATGATTCTGTTAAAATCTTTCGATAAATGTAGCGATTTTTCCACTATTGCCAAATAAGCTCTCTTATAGTTCTATAATGGATATTATTATTTATCATTCTTAAAACTGCCTCGCATCTTATAAATGAGTACATTCGTTCAATTTTCAGATCAGTATGGGAACAAGCGAATGGCCTATGGGGATAACATTGCTGATGCCAAAAATATTAATAATTAAGGGAAAAATAAAGTTTTCAACATTTCGATTATTTTTAGATTTAATGATTTGTATTTATTGTTGGAAACTATCATGCACTTTTAAATTGCTGAAGTATATGACCATTTATCGCATATAACATTTCCAAAGAACACTTTTTTTCATAAGGAACAATGTAAATCATATGCTTTTAATTTAATGCAAGTGTCAAAATTGATATCACTGATAAATTTTAGAACCAGTAGGCGAAAACTGTAGGAAATTCTGGAAAAAAATTTTTATTTTACAGTGCTAAAATCAATAAAAGTATTAAGTATTGTATGTTTCTCATAAAAAGAAATATTACTTTAATACTAATAATATTATTAATAATAAAAAAATAGTAAATACAACCCAATTCATGTCAATCGATCGAATTTCAATATTCAAATTAAAAGGATATAAAATCTTTATCACGGAATAAACTTATTAAATTGTGTTTAATCCACGTTTTTGCCTGATAAAATATTCATTAACTTTCTCCCTATTTTATACTTTAAAATTTCGTAAAACCAAAATATGTATAACAACATTTTATGCAAATTTATATATATATATATATATTAATGACTAATAATAATAATAATAGAGATTAGATGAACCAATTTTTTTGACAAGCTATCAAAGAAAGTATACAATTTTTTTTCAATGAACGTTTCATCGAATTATACATCGATGACACGACCATATGTTTTAAGGATTGATAAAAAGATATAAGCAAGCCATAGAGAAAATATGAAAAACGCCGAGAACAATTTTGGGCAAATAGGACCACCAAGCTCAGCATTGCCAAAGAATGCGATGTTTCGACGAAGAGTTAACATCAAATGATATAAAACTGATGTAATTGTAAACAAAGCGACGCTAAAAATATCGCTGATAATCTACAATAATATTTTTGCTAAATTGAGCAACAAATATAGTCTTTTTTAAATATAGTCTTCTATGCTATATAAACATTTTCATAAAAGGTTCTGAAAAAGAGCTGAGGAAATTTTCGCAACAAAGTAGCTTCAAATGCTAATAGAATAAGAAATTTTAAAAAACTAAAAATTAAAGTTTAAAACCATATTGAAACCAACCTAAACCCTAAATCTCCAGCATTTACCACGAAATTCTCATTTTTCGTTGACCAATAAATTGAAGCAATCAGCCAGGGAAGTCCAAGGCCAAGAAAAACATTTACTGAATTAGATCCAGTTATATTACCAATTGCGTTATCTGCAGTGCGATCCTGCAATAAATTATGATGATAGCCGAAAAAAATACCAATCTATCATCTTTAATTAGGGAATGCACAAAAATCCTTAAATCTCTAATTTTTTCTGATGCTATGCGGTCAAGATGGACTGCTCGAAAGAAATGTTAAATTAATGGTATATTGAAGGCTTCCAATATTTCAAAAGATGAAATTCAACAAAATGTACAAGAGGTTACATTTTCAGCAGCGATCTTCGAAGCGATTGTATCGGGAAGGCTAGTGCCGAGTGCGACCAAAGTGATTGCTGTTGCGGTATCCTTTAAGCCGACCATGCATCCAAAAATGTTAGCAAAATCACCTGAATTTTTAAAATGTTGAAAGAATAAAATTACCATCTTAAACCAAATAGCGAAAGAAAAAATCAATGAAAAAAAGCAAAGCTTATCGTAGGCATCGAAAAAAATTATTTTATTGAGAACTAAAATTGAAGGAAATCGAAAAAAAAACTTGCCAATGATTGCAGTTATCAGCCCAATAATACTTAGGGCTATGAAAAAGCACAGCCATCCACCACAAATCATTGGAGGGGGTATTAAAGCAACTATAATCTTCCAAGGAAAAGCGATAACATGCAAAATACAATCCAGGAATGTAGCATTAACCGTATCGCCTGAATTTACACTTGTCGCTTCAACAATCTATAAAAACATGGAAATTATATGTTAGAAAAGAAATAAATAAGTCAATCGCAAACTTATTTTTTCCAAGAATCTATGAATTCCAATATTTTTAATTATTAAATCAAGATTGAGTGTTCACCTGCTCATACCAGTTATTCGCACCATGAATCATATTATCAAGATAATAGGTGGTCAATTTGCTGATGTCTTTGATATTTTTCAATATATTATCATCACACATTATCGTTACAACCGCTTTATTGTTAGGCCCAATTGTAATATCTATAAAAAATTAAATACTTCATATTTTTCATAATTTATTCATAATTTATCTTTCGTTGCCAGAATATAAGTTTTTCTTCTGATAATACATACCATAATTGGTTAAACACTGGCTAAATGGGTGAATATTGCCAAGCATCCCGGTCCAATATAAATATTGATACGAAAAGTTTTAAATAATCGGCTATCTAATATTAAATCAGCTGATGAATGTCACAGATTGTTAAACCATTATGTTGTTAATGGCTTTATGAGCAGATGATAAACAAATGATAACGATAAATTATCCAAAAAAAGTTCATTTCAATAGTATAAATATTACCTTGAGAAGGATTTGATAATTGTATGACGAATGTTTCGTCTTTTTCCTCTTGCATATCGTCAAATATCCTGATATCAATAAATTTTTCATATTCACTATCTGCGAAATTCAAAGTTCCATCTGTCACTGCTTGAAAATCAATGTCAGATATCGCAGTTATACCTTCAGTATAATAATGAACTAAGAAATTTTTTTTATCATGCCTACCAATGCGAGTTACGAAAGCTCGAACGTATCCTTCACTTTCCTTCACCATCTAAAACATGTACATATAATGAATGTAGGCGATTTTAACTGGTATGGGTCACCCTCAACACCAAGTCCTCTACCAGAGGCCTGGGATATTGAGGTAAAGCAGATAAGCCTTCAGACTATATTTCCCAAGGATTCTCATCGGAAAGATAGAGAGGACTGGCTGCGATCTGAACTGTTATTATTATTAATCGCCCTTCTTAATCATTGCGCTATTCCTGCGCGTAATAAATTATACAGATATACAAAACCATTTTAAAAGTTATTACGAATATAAGATTTATATATATTTATTTCTAAATTATTTTTTTAATAAAATGGTGAATTTCCATGGTAAACTTACGTAGTTACGCTGTACAAATTGCACCATTGGTTCGCCAATGAAACTTGATGAAAGATCTGGTTTGCGAACACTCGCGACACTAATTTTGCCGAGGACTGTTTTATTTTCGCTATTCTCATTCGATTCCTATTATTATTTTAGCACTTTCAAAAATTTACTGACGAATAAACGAGATGATCATAACCATTGCAATACGTGAAAAATAAAAAAACAATAATACTTACAATCCTTAATTGCACGTAGAAAACGTGTTCAGCCCGCCATGAAGCTTCTGCAATCAATCCAATATAAATCTCTTTGATAGATTCACCAGGCGAAAAGCGTTCCTAAAATTTTATGCCCATTTAAAATGAAATTTTAAAAAAAATATACAGAAAAACTCGAATATGTGTTGAAATCGATTGAAGATAAGAAATTTTTAAAATTTCTACCGTTTCCGATTTTTGCAAGAAATGAAGATCTTTTTTTGCCGCACCATTTTTTGTGGTATATCGAAAAGTGACCGACGTATCAGTTGGTCCATGGCGCAATATCTGAATTTGTTTTAAAAGTTTCGATTATCTAATTTCTTCAGTGTAATAAAAACTATAAAAACTACTATATCGAGTAGTTTTAGTTTCACTTTCACTTTTCTATTTTCTATTGATCTACTGATAATTTAATTATATAAATTTAGTGCCATATATTATTGTTATTATTATGCCAATTATCTATCATTGATAAAAGATATAAAAATGCGATGATAAATAAACAATGATAAATGATTAAATCAGTGGGACATATATTTACATATATTTACCCTCAGCTTAACATATTGATCAGCTTCTTGAATTGAATAAACTCTAGCGGAAAACTCGATAGAACGCTCTAAAAAAAATAAAATTCGTAAAAATTAAAGTGCGATTAAACAAAACTATAAGCAATCGTTTTTCAGATACAAAAAAATCTGATAAACTGATATTTGCAAAATAATACAATACAAAACAAAAATGGATAAGCCATTTAGAACAAAAAAATTTTTCAAAATTCTGCAAAAAAGTAAAAAATTGAGGTTAAAAATCAAAATTCACCAATTATTGCCTCATCGAGCGTTTTCGCCTTCATTTCTAGATTATTTTCAATTATCTTATTTTTTCGGTGAGCGCCAGACAACCAACCTGTTGCTTTTATTCGGTAAAGTAACCGATTCCTAATCTTTAAAAAGATAGATTAATAATTTTTATCTTAAAATTAAGAGTGATCTTTTATCGCTTAAATGCCATTCAGCACAAAAATATTGCAAAAATATTAAAAAATAAATAAATTTCAACTTTAAAGCACCTTTTAATTTCTAGCAATTGTTAGCAGCGAAGAGAGATGAGGATTGGTAGAATGAATGGATTAATGGAATATTGCCTCCACTTCATAATACTAGATTCTACTCTCGGCAGAAAATTCCAAAAAATTTTATGTTTCTCTTAGAACCCATTGTCTTTCGAAAGTGAAGGTCATCTAGCGGCTCATCTATCTCTAAGATTACCTGGCACAATTTGTCTGTCCCAATAAGCTAGTGCACCGAACTAGTGAACACCTAATCAGAAGTGGCAAATGCTCTTAGAAAAAAAAAAAGATCTAATATTCTAATTATTCTAAAAAAATTCCAGAAAATTTCATATTTCTCTTAAAACCCACTTTGTTTTTATTTATTTTATAAGCTATCAATTTAGCTTTTTCATCGGCTGACAATGATGGATAGATTCGAGAAATTTGACGAGCTATGGAACGAATTGTTTTGTCATCTTGAAGGTAGCTTGCGACACTATCCTGAAATCAGATCAATTAACTGTTTTCGCTTGTTTTCTATGAAACTTAATAAATATTATTAATTATTGCAAAACGCATTATAAATTGCATGATCCATGATTTTAGGACTTTTTATAGCTCATTTCACGAGATTATTGCTCCTTCATTTTATCGCCCTTCGATAATTTGATTCATTTTTAAATAATGATGAGCAGTTTTTCAAATCCAGAATTTATTACTCTACTGGTTACTCGCCATGAATTTAACTAAGCTTATATATAAAAAATTCCTTTTTCACCTTCTATATGTGGAATGGATCATTCTAAACGACGAATAGTTAGAGGCTTCGGAGATTGGAAGTTCTGCACATTTCTACTATAAAAATCACAGCTCTAGTATTTCTTCCATTACTGGGACTACTTTGGCCTTCTCTTTCCTCATCTCCTCTAGTTTTCCTTTCGGCCTCTGGCATTTTTCTATTCTTATCACGTTTTTCATGATATTCCTATCACTTGATATTGTTATATCTATCACCAGTGGTGGTTTCTGGATCCGCTTGCTTGTCTATCTAAATAGAAAAATCCCTGAAGACCTTGACCTTATTATTCTGGATTTAAGTGGGAAATCTGGTCCAGGAGTGAGAGTGAGAGTCTAAGCCATATATTGAGTAGATGTTCCTGTAGATCAACTGCTTGCTGACGTTGTTCCTGCTTGCATCCTGCTATTAAATGTAGACGGTGGATTTTGCACCTGGAATCTTGTGGAGCCTGATATAGAATCTGCTTCGAAGAATTTGATGGTTAGTATTTCTATGATGAATCTCAGTCCGGTCTTTTACTCATGTAACCTTGTTTTTCCACTCCTTAGATATTTATCTATAGGATATTCCATGAATGCTTTGTTTTGTAATGTAATTGCTTTGTAATATTCCTCTTTTTATCTTTCTGTTGACGCTTTTGGCATTCACTCAGCAACTCATCTTTTGCTTTTTAGCCCTCAATACTTAGGGTTTTATCAAAGACAGTTATTTTGACACTTATAAAGTCCCACATCCACTTACTGGTATCTTTGGGTAATAGATTTCCGTACATTGTGAAAAGTTTTCGGATTTTCACAGCAGGAATCTCCATATCTTCCTTTATCCATCTCACTACATATTCAATAACTGGCAAAACATGCAGGTTTATGGCGTGGATTTTTCTCACTAAGCTGGCTTTTCAAGATCTATCTCATTATTTAGTAGTATTTGACGTTTATTTGACGTTGTCTTCCTTGCCTCTGCACTGTTGTTCCTGTATGAAATGCCAAGCTACTTGTGGCTACTTGTTGTATTTATGGCTGTTTACTGGTAGCTTTTTTACTCCCATCAGTCCCAGCTACTCTATCTTTTATCTTACTATACTTCGTCAGTCCGAATGTCCTCGCAGTAGTTTCGTGCAAAATATACATGATCTCCAAACTGGAAAAGTGGCTGCAACAGATATCAGGAACTATATCATAAATTTCTGTCCAGAAGACTGTTTAAGCACATACTGCTAGAGGTGGAAGGATGCACTGGGAATAGTTACGATATAGCGCAAATCTCTCAAACTCCCAGATCAAAGAATTTCGTGCCGATAATGTTCTACTTCTGACTGGAGTAAACCTAATTCTCAAAAATCTGGCAACCCATTTATACGACAAATAAGCTGCCATTTTTTTTAAAAAGCTCTATAAATTTTAACGAATTTTTTAAACGAAATCCTCAGGAAATTCCTGCCATATAATGTTGAGCCATTTTTCGTTCAGCTAGTTGCTGCATTTTTTTATCAATTTCTTCCATATTCATTTTTTTCGATTCAATAGCCGAGTCAAATGCTATTTCATCTTCGAAGTCGAATTTCTGTTCCATTTTTTCCTTCTTCCATATTTTAATATCTGCGAGATAAGCGACCACGATGAGAATGAAGAAAAATGCAAGTGTAATAGCAGCTTCCCAAATTTCCACAACATTTGGAGAGATTACGGTAAGGATCTGAATTTTTTAAAATATATTTATGAGCCATAGTGATAGAAACCATAATACAAGCTTACAAGCTAGGATAAAATTTTCAGATACATTTTAAATTAATCAAGTATTAATCGAATTTGAGCGAAAATCTTATTTTATAGAACTATGAAGACAATTATCGAACATTTTAGTCATATATTGTTTTTGTTTTTTTTTTGAAAATAGATGAATGGTTAATAAAATGTAAACGGAAAAAATTATATTGCAAACTGAAAGAATGGAGAGAAGAATGGTTCAGTAACTTTTTGCTCTCATTTCGAAACGCCAGCGCTGAGGTTTTATTCGCGGTATAAATAAACCTACCTTCCAAAAATCTGGTAAGGCTATGTAGTACTCTCTAGTACTTCTAGTACTTCTCGATGACTTTTTGGCAAAACTCTGGCCTAACAAATTAAGGATGCTCTTAAGAAAAAAAGAAAAAGTGATAAATTAAAAGAAAAGGTAAAAACAAGAAGACTAACAATAAATAGCCAAATATAAGCAAAACAGCTAAAAAATGATGTGATTCCAAAGACGACCATTTCTTTTATTTGACTAACTCTTGGCGATGGTATGACCAATGTACAAATTGATGTAATACAGAGAAGATTAAATGCGGCAGAACCTAAAAAAACATTTTATACGAATTCTTTGCAAGTTTATAACTTTGCAAATTGTCAATCGGCATTTAGGAAGTTAAATAATGGTTATCAACTCACCAACAATGGTTCCTGGTCCAAGCTCACCAGATTTAAATGAATTTCCTACAATTTCAATAATAGACAAAAGTATTTCAGGCGCACTGCTTCCAAGAGCCTGCAAAATCTTTTATGAAAGCTTTTCCTCACTTTTCATGCACCAAAAAATTATACAACTGTATTAGAATAAAATTGATAACCATTTCATTTTTTCTGCAATTTTTGGAATTATTCAAAATTAATTTACCATTAAGGTGAGATTTGCAACGGTTGGATTCCAAACATAAATGTTCTCATATTCTTCGCCTTGTGAAGCAAGCAAAGCATCGTTCTTTAACTTTCCTTCCGATTTCTTTTTGACTCTTCTAAGATAAATATGATATAAAACTGGCAAGACAAGGAGGCAAGGAGGCAAGAAATAATTGGAAGTATCAGTTTTAGAAGCAAAGGAAATGAGATAGCATTTTTTTCCACTTGTGGCCAGTCCAGATCGTCAACACTTACAAATCTATTCAAAAATTCCAATTATTTTCATTCGCGAAAAAATAACTATAGAACTCGCTGAGATGTGGTTATATGGCTGACTGAATTTGATACTAATGTACCTTTCCTAGCAACTTCATCACTAAGGATTTTGTTGCATATTGATGACGACTGAGGTGAACTAATTAAAATCGACCAGATTTTTTTCATTGTCAAATTATAAGCTAATTTTCGGTATATCGACAGCAAGAATTCGAAGCGAGGAAATTCCATACCTTGTGGTTGATGCTATTCGTTCAATTGAGCGCATAAATATATTAGAAGCAGTCGCAACACCAATAAAACAATATAGTAGGCCAAATAGACAAATGATCGTATTAAAGAGATTCTTTTCAGGCGCTGATATAATGAGACCATCACGGCAATGCTTCCCAGTATTCTTCATAACCATGATTCTTCGTTATCTAATCACATTTTATTAAATTTAATAGCAATTTTTCGGCATTTTTTTCGTAAATAACAATTTCGCATAAAAAGGTAATGAATCTCGAAGAAAAATTTCAGCCATAGATTTAAAAGTGATAGAAACAAAGCAAAAAAACTATTGAAAGCCTAGAATTTATTTTGAAGTTTTTTTAAAACTCGGCTTGGATGGACTTATTAATATAATATAATAGATTAATTTACAATTTATAGATAGATTAACAAGGATTGCTTACGATCTCAATATCAGAATTATGGTTTGAAAAAAAATCCTTCGGCAATTCGTTTTATTATTTCGTTCACACCTGTTAAAATTGGTGAAGAAAGAAGCGTAAAGGTGAAAGAGGGCAAAAAATGTTTAAGGATTTTAAGGGAATATTGGGGCAATTAGACAAAGCATTTGAGGACCTTTCATAGGTGAAATAAATTATTGGAGTGGAATCAGGCGTTGGCACAGATTTATATTATATATGCAGTAAATGTGAAAAATCGGTGATCGTTCTAAATTTTTAAAAAATTCGAAAACCAATAAATCAAAATTTTGCAAATAATGAATATTTAACAGCTCAAATTATTATCGATATTTTTTTTCAAAAAATTTGCCCATTGTTGGTAAATAAAATATATGAAAAAATATGCCGGTGAATAGAAAAAACCCATATGGATGGGATAGAAATTAGTAAGAAAAATTATAGGTTATAAGAGAAAACATCGAATAGACCAATTATAAGCGACTGTGGAAAAATATTAAAAAATTCCAGTTTTCCCTTTAAAGCATAAGAAAAGTACTATTCATTCATTCATTGATTCGGAAAAGGACGATTGGCGAACAAAATCAAAATAACGATTATAACTGCATTCATCTGCTAAATAAACTGAATACGAAAAATTAATAAGCCAAAAAATTATCAGCATTGGTCTTTATAGCTTTATTGGTCTTTAAAACAAGAAATAAAGATTTGTTTTTCCTAGAGCGCCCTTATCTGATTATGCCTGGTCCACTGGCTTGTCAGATTAGACAAACTTTGCTAGGTTACTGGCAGTACGGATAGGTCATTCAGATTTTTGAGTGAGATATCTATTGGAAGTAGAACTCCGAAATCAAATGAAAGCAACTGAGCTCCCCGAGTCATTCGACACCAAAGATAAAATAAGATAAACGAATAAAGATTTTTATGAAAAAATAACTGAATAGCAAACTTTTGCTGCCATTGCAATCTCAGCGTCTTTCAATTCCATTGTCTTTCGATTATCTTATTGAATATGCTGAAAAAGGCGTCACAGAAATAATCTATATCAAGAATGGAATACGACTAAAGACGGCGACTTATTGTGCGATCATAAGTTTTGAAGAATATAAACGCAGAGTAACAAAATATTTAACAAAGGCCATCCTTGTTTTCACTTCAAAATATGTTACAATACGTGCCTGCATCATTGTCATCATCATTATTGCCGTTATCATCGGACACCACTTGCCACCCCTACATTAATTAACTCGAGCGAAGACACTATCTTAGAGAATTACTTGAAATCAAGGGTTTTAACATCAAATAAATTTTAGTCTTAATTTCTGGTTAGGACATTTTCGCTTGATACTAATTAGTAGCACGATAAGAACAGCAATCTTGCTACTACTAAAAGACGAATCGACCTCATTCTGTCATTTCTTTTGATCTTAAATAATAAGTGCACCATTTCTAATTAGGTTAATTAGCAAGAAATTAAGAAATTAAGCAAGAGTTAATTTTTGCCATTTGGTTAAAAATGAAGCTGGATCGCAGCACCAATCGGATTTCGTAAAGGCTCTCTTCTACCACATCCGAATCCTTGCCTTTAAGTAGCACGATCGAGTTATTACCCACTGCGTTCCAAATTTTTATTTAAATATAAATTGCGATTTTAACCCTTTTCAATATATGAAATATTACGCCGATTATTAATTTATTTGAGTCAAAAGTTGATAGTTTGAAGAAACTCTTTGCGCAATTTTTTGGAATATTTGGATTGGCAAAAATGATAGCTTTGTTGAAAGCGAAATGGTATGCCCTTATCAAATTACTTAATTTCAGGTTAACTTTTGAGAACTAAAAAACTTTAAAAAAGGTAATTATTTCTGGCAAGAATATCTTCTTACAAAGGATTTTAAAGATAATCAAGCATGATGAAAATATCGCGCCGCTTGGAAGTTTCTTTCTCTTGTAGCCGTTAGAGCCAACCTAACCAGTAATGCTGCGAGCTGTTAAAAGAAGAATGATGAAAATGGCTTTAACTGATAAGAAGAACACATATCTGTCCATTGTTAAGTCTGCCCTATATATGTATATATAGAGGATATATATACATAAATAAATAATTGTATAGCAAAAGAAACTAGCAGCTGAAGAAAAATAAAATAAGGCAGACCCGTCAATTTGCTTTGACAACAATTAAGCCAAAAACAACAAAGCATCTTTTTAGCCATTTGTTATCAATTCAATCTTTAAGAAGAGCAGATTTGATGACGCAATTTTATTGCCAAATTTGCCAAAAATTAGCGTTAGCTTTCCAATCAAAGAACTTTTTCGTCGAACCTCTTTATACTTAGGCAATAATTTAATAATATTTTCAGTATTTACTAAAAAAGATAACCTATAGATTATTACATAAAAACATTTTTATAAAAAGTTTATGAGTAAATGATTGGTTGACAAAAACTGTTTATTAACAACTTTTATAAAAAAAATGAAAAAGATAAGAAAAAATCCTTGAAAAACAATTTATTAACAATTTTATTAAAAAAATCCTTGAAAAAGATGAAAACAAATAAAATTAAATAAAATTAAATAATGGCCAGAAGGTTGAATTATTAAACAAATGATGTTAAGCAAGAAAAACAAATTATAAATAAAAATAGAAATTTACACGAAAAAAACGAAAAAAATGTACATGATGAGATCATTTGGAAAGCAAAAAATTTTCATAATTTCAAAAATATAGAAAAAATTCGATTAAAATAATATAATTATTATTCAAAAAAAAGATTTTTGCAAAAAAATCTTTAAAGATAGCAAATGAATGAAAGAGGGAAATAATTATTTCGCTGAAGAGAAATTTATATTTTTCCTAATTTTCTGAATAAATTAAATAGTTATTGTATTGTAAAAATCTTTAGCAATAAAATTCTCAATTGGCCTCTCTTCATATGTCAAATCGAAGATATAAAGAAAAAATTGAAATATGCGTCGTTTATGAGTGAAAATATTTGAACGACAATAAGTAAGACAGTAATAATAAATTTTTATAATGAGGAACAAAATCTTTTTTACAAATTCGTTTTATACGCGATTAACAAAGAATATGAAAAATCGGAACTGAAGAGGTAATGAAGAAAAAGCAAACATTAAAATGAAGTATTTTGGCTCAAAAAAATGTTTGAATAAATTTTTTTCCAAGCGAATTCAAAATTTGAATAGTTTTAGAAGTGAATTTTATTGATAATAAGGATTTCTATCGAATCGAATGTATTTGCAGTCTATTTTATTTTTATAGGTCATTTCATTTCACTGCTCCTCTAAACAAATCGAAAATTGCAATAAAATTCATTTAATTCGGTGTTTTGCGATTGCAGTTACAAGTACACAAATTCCCTCACTTCTCGGATGAGAAAAGTAGCAATGAGCGAGAGACGAAGGAGGAGACGCAAAAGATTATTTCAGAATTAGGTTCCATAAAGTAAATCACAATGCAACTCAGAAATGATTGGTATGATAAAATTTAAATAAGTGAAATTAGGACAAATTATTATCCACGAAATAATGCAATGAGAAAGATGAATGAAAGCAAGGAAGGAAATGGAAGGAAAAAGGGAAATATCGCCCTTGCCGTTATTGTTTATGCAATCAGAAAGTACTTTTTTTTATCTAATTCATGCTTAATTTTGAAGGAAGTTACCACATTTTTGTAATTTTTAGAAAAAGAAAATTTCTGTAAGGAGCAAATATTCTTTTTTAGGAGAAATATTAATATCTAATCTAAAGAAATTCGTAAAATTTGGTTCTGTGAATTCATTTTCATTTTTTCTTTTTTATCATTTTTTCCTTTCATATTCAACTAGAAATCCATAGAAATCCATAGAATTAAGGTTTGAAATAGCCTAAAGAATTTTTAAAAAAAACTTTGGCAGAAATCTTCGTAAAATGACTATGGCTACCAATATTACAGTATGACACAAAAGAATTCACACGGTGGCTTTTTTTGATAAAATATTATCCTTAATGTTTGCTCATTTGCTGAATTACTTTTACTTTTAATATTGCTTAATCTTAATATTAAAATCTTCGAACCTCTAAAATATATAATATGAAAAAGCGAGAAAATTTGGCAGAAAATTTTCGTTATTTAAGGAATTTGCTTTCTTTTACCCGAATAAATCTCAGATTTTGTCAAATATTTTACCTTTAATGAGATCTATAAAAAATTCGTGAAATCACATTATATTATTTCATCTAATTAATTGGTTAATTTCTATAATACTAATGAATAATTTATCAAAATGCAATAAGCGACTAGAAAAAAGCAAATTTGAGACCATTGAATGTTAATAAATGAGCGTAAATTTGACAATTTGTGGATACGATAAAACTTTTATGGTACTTTTCAAGAGGAAATAGCCAATACATTTTAGTTTTCTTGTGTCATTTTCACCGCTTCCCATATGCTCTGCTTTTCTTAAAAAGTACCAGTTTTCACCAGTTTGCAGTTCTATAAAGAAATCAAATACAATAAATGAATAAATATTTCATTCTATTGGCCCACCATAATAACTAAGCACACACAATAAACAATGTAATAGACAACCATCAAAATAATATCAGCTGTATACAACGGGAATGAATATCGAAGTGAAGTTTGAACGTTCAATCGCTGGCCCTGAAACGAAAACAGCCAAATAATACTAAAAATATAAAGAAGATAAATTTTGGAAAAAATCTTGACCAAGAATCTTTTCAAATTGGCATGCAAGGAACAATCGTGCATAATACATACACGCCCTGCTAGGCCAAAACGAAAAAGCAGTAAATTCATAATAAACCATAATTTTGGAAGTATGATAGAATAAGCATTCAATGAGAAATTTCCAACACCTAACTTCTATATTAATTTTTTTTTAAAAAAATTAGTGGATAATTAAAAATTTAAAAATTTGAAAAAAAAATTATTTCAAAGAAGTTAGGAGTTTCCCAATAGTATATAAAATTTGGAAAAGAGAAACATGCATAATGAAAGTGATTTTGATTTGTAAATAAGTGTGACACAAATATTTTGTACTAGAAGAAAAAAGAAGTACCATTATAAAAATATATTTCATAAAACCATATTAAATCACAAAATTAATATTTTCTCTCACTTAAAATTCGTTTTTTGACTCAAAAAATGCACAAAATAACTTCCGTTTTTTAGATTATTGTTTTAATAATGTTTTAATAATGATTTAACAAAACCACATAGGTGGAATGGTTCAGTGGCTATTGTCATTTCAGAGTTCTAATCGCGCTTGGTGTAAAGCTATCTTTCGAAAAAAACCACCACTGTTCTTAGCAGAAGTCGAATAATTTAGTGAATGTTTTCCTGACGACTTCATTACCATAATTTATGACAGTCACTATGGATAGTAAGCAGCTAATATATGAAAACAAAAGAAAATTATATAAATTCACAACAACCAATTTGCACAAATTGAAACAAATAAGACTACCAAGAAGCTTGTTTATTTGCTTATTTTCTCAGTTTTTCTCAGTTTTTCAAATTCAAATTAAGCAAATAAACCAGTAAAAACATGTCATAGACACAATACGAACAGACACTTCGCTTGTGCATTTTCAGTACGGTTTATCTCGTGGTCGCTTAAGTTGAACTTTCAACCGCTTCATGCCAATTTGAAATCCATTCATTGCTTGAATTGCTGCCATCGCTGAGGCCGTATTGTCGTATGAGACAAATCCTGAACATCAAAAAAGACTTATAAAAAAAACACACAACGCCAAAACGAAAATCATATTTACAAAACCAAACCGCTTTGTATAACAATATTTCAAATATCTCCTAAAAAACGATTTAGCACTTAAACAATCTCTTGAAATTATGTAATTTCAAAAAAATTATTGCAAAATATTTGAGCTTTTGTCCTCTATGTTTCTATTATTGAGCGATTCATAGTTATGAAGAAATTTAATTTAAGAAATTTAAGAGAGAAATTTAAGAAATATAGTTAAATGAGATCACTGATAAATTTTTATTGTAACAAATCAAATACATAAACTACATTTGAATTGCATTTTTTCTAAATTTTAAACAACAAGCATTTATATATTATGCGATGTTTAGATATAATATAATTGTATAATAAAAATTTAAAAAATAATTTCTTATATGATTTAATAAAATTATATGAAATATAATTTTTTTTCTTTTTAACTAATCATTTCTGATTAAGCTCCACTGACTTATAAGATTAGGTAAATTTTGCTCTCTGAAGAACTCTGGCGGTGAACCGCCAGCATCTCTCGGACTTTTGAACGACGCATTTACTCCTATCAGGAGCAGAACTTCAACATCAGCACTTTGAGGTGAAAGCAGTAAATCACTGAGCAATCTATCCCTTAACTCAAGAAGAATGCGTTAGAAAAATAATTAAAAACATTATTAGCGATTCTCATTCAATAGATTCTTGAGGAGAGCCCATTAGTAATTGGGTAAATAGTAATAATGAAATAACATTTAATATTTTTTCCATTTAGATGAAATCGAACTTTTCACGAATTAAAATATTTTATGAATTGGCAAAATAATTTTTAATAAAAATCGATGAATTCATATTTATTCATATTTTTCTAAACGAATCCTTCAGATACTCAGATCAAAAAAATTTAAAAAATTAAATAATTTTCTATTTTCGAAGGTACTGAAATACTATTAATTTTTGGCGATCGAAATACAAATGAATTACCACTATCACCCACATTTTTTTGATGACAGGCTTATAGTTAAACTTTTGTTCTTAGGGATAACAATCACTAACACTAAGTCGCTAACACACCTCGCTTATTTTTCGCTTGTCTCTCATTTTATTAAAGTTGCAATAGTTTGCCTTAAAGGATTTTGAAGAAGCTTTTTTTATGCAAAAAATAATTTATTTATAATTTTTCTAAAAGCCATGAACCACGATGTTACGAGCCTGAACGTTATGCAATTATGCATATATATATATATATATATATATATATATAAGCCTTTAGGATAGATGAAGATAACCGTCGCTCGAAATGAAATCTCTATAAAGGAATACCTAAATCGATGGACATAAAGCTTCACACCAGTTAGTTAAACCACCAAAAAAAACGCTACGACATATTATTAATGGTACATTGGTACTCTATAAACACTATGATTTTGCAAAAAAATTCGACAAACGATCACTGAACGACGTGAAAAACACAATGTCATTCGATGAAAAAATTTTTATGACTAAAAAATTAAAAAATTAAATCAAATTATTACTACAAGATTTCAGAATAATTACAGTCTTAAGATACTCTGTCGAAACTAGAAGATTTTTCCTTGTTTCACATAAACAGCTTCATGTTCCCACTTCCTAATGTTATAAGATAGGCTATTAATCTTATAATAGTGAAAAAATTTTATAGTAATAACTTATACTTTTACATAAGTTTATAAAATTCTATTGTCGAAATTAAAAAACTTTTTAAAAAATGAAAAATTTCAATTTTTTAAAAAATGAAAAATTTATCGTCATTAATAAAAATTATTTTAGGCATCCCTAATGCATTAAATCAGCTTCAATATATGAGAAAATATATCGCTAATTAGTAAATATGCCATTGCTTAATAAATAAAATATATTAAGGGCGACAATCTAAGCGATAATCCCTAAATTTATTCATTTATATTGAAAGAATTTATGGATTAACATCGACCAAACATTTGTGAATTATGCGGGAATTATGCTTACCGAAGCATTTGCTTTGATTTGTCGCACGATCTATGAAGACTTTTGCACTAATAACATGACCAAATGGTAAAAACATTTGCATGAGTTCAGCATCGCCAAATTCTTGTGGTAGATGATAAATAAAGAGATTGCAGCCTTCTGGTCCAAGAACTGAAGTGTTAAAAACTCATTTATAAATTGATGTCAAAAAAAAGACGCAAAAAATGCAAGGCTTTATTGGAGCTTTATGACAGATTCGTTTGGAACTAATTTTTAGTAGTTGTTGAAGCAAAAGAAAGAGATGTTAAAGAAAATTTCCACATTATCTGATATTATTTATTAAGGGAAAAAAGATTTCAAAATTATCAATCAACCAACATAAATAACAATGCGATTGGATAGAATATAGATAAAAAAGATAAAAGAGCAGAGATAAAAATGGAAAAAAACCGCCAAGGTTACCATCTCAAGTGAAATCATAGGACCGCATACTGCGGAAGCATCAGAATAATCGCCGTTTTATCACCGATGTCTCACATTTTAAAGGTTGAATATAAATATATCAACAAAAATGAAGCACAAAATATGATTTAAAAAAATTTATGGGAAATTTTAGATCAAGAATGATTGAATTAAACTGATAATAGTTAATGTCACAAATTGAAACGAGAAAAATTAGGTAATTATTTCTAAACCAGGTGTTCGCAAACTCAAATCCAGACCTGCCGAATTTCGTCAGAAATACCAATGAAATTTAAATTTAACCTTTAAGAATTTAAGAATGATTTTCCGTTTTGCAGCAGAAGATAATTAATGTAATTGCTCTATTCAAAAAAAAATGTCACACACGGTCCCTAGCTTTATTTTATTCCCTAATGTTCGTCAATATTCCAGATGAATGAGCGAAGATCGATTTTTGGATAAGATTGGCTCTTTGCTCACATATAAATTATTGATCTCAAATAATTGTCAATGAGTAAGCTTTCGATTTTCTACGGATATGTGTATGAAATGAATACACATCGAGAGAGCATCAAATCGAATTTTCAAAAAATCTAATAACATAAAACGGAAAATTGGGTTCGAATTTGGCCAGTGCACTAAGCTTCATTGGGTGACAATTTTAGCAAACGGCAGAATAGAATGGTTCAGAATAGCAGATTTTTGCTTTTGTGATGCTCAGGTTCCAACGTCCAGCAAAAGTAACCTTCTCTTTCGAAAATCCGAGTGATTTTGGATTCATTCAAACTTCTTTCGCCAAGTGACTCCCTGTGTCCGACAAGCTAGTCAAGCGAACCTAACTAGCAGTGGTGAATAGTCAAAATATATATATGGTGGCATAGATGAGAACATTATTTGTTATTCAAAATAGCCGAAATATAGAATGGCTCAATGGGTTATTGTTTTTATTACGCCTATGTCAATAGGGTTTTACTTTATGTAGAAGTAAATCTACCTCTTAAAAATTTGAGTAACTCATCCATATCCGTACTTTTATCATTAAGTAGCTCGTTGGCTCAAGAATTTATCAAAAAAATCGCAAATTAGTCCGACACCTGCGACAGATGAATGCCGATCAGAAATCGGAAATATTCTTTAAAGAAAAAGTTATAAACTAGCTGAACTTTTTTCCATATAAATTTTTCAGGCAAATAATTTATGGAATTCTTATTTTTATTTTTTATTTTTTGGAAGAAATTTGATATTTCCATATAAAATTACTATTATAATATGTGAAATTGTTGTGTTTCTCTTTTCTAAATATTAAAATAGCCACGAAATTTTAAAATAAATAGCCAAAAAACAAATTATAACTTGGCCACCCATCGAAATTTAACTGAATTAGCATTGTCTTCAATGCCGTATGCAATGCAGAAATTTTAATAAAAAAACGTTTCGATTTTCCGATTTTTTTCAGAAAAAATGAACGAAATATTTATTCCTGATTTATATTTGACTATATGCTTGCTTATTAGCAAGTTGATCGTTTTCAGTATTTTTCAATACGAGCATAAGATTTTCGTCTAATAAGTTGCCATACAATTTCATTTTTCCTTGTTGTAGCACTCAATTTCTGGCTTGGCTGGCTTTATCAATTACCAGAGAATGAGAACCTTCGATGATAGACGACAATTGAGTTCTCAGCGATATTTTATTCTCTATACGAATATTTAATTTTTAATGGAAAGATTTGCTCTCATCAAAGAATTAATTATCATTACAATTGTTAATTAGAAATAGAATAGAAATTATTAAATAGAAAAACAAAATAATGAGAGTAGTTAAAAATACACTGTAATATTGAATTATGGTCAATGATGACCGAGTAAATTAGTTCATTTGTAATGATGATACTTTGACCTCTCATATAATAGGAATGAATAATTACCTTCTTTTTGAACACCAGGAAATAGAGCAGCAGCTTGCTGAAGAACAATAGCTTGTTGAAGAGCTTGATTATAAGGATCTGAAATGACATTTTTCATTATTACGTTATCAAGAAAGAGAATAGTGGAGAATAAAAAATTGCAAATAAAATTCATAGAAATCCTTAGAAAATTGATAACCTGATGAGAAAATGAGAACACAAAATGATATCGGTTGCCGGAGAAGAAAAACTAACTATGCTGTTGTTCTATTCCTACCAAAGGATTATATACAGTTGGCAGTGTATAAGGGGCGGCGGCAGCAGCAGCAGCGGCAGCGGCAGCAGCAGCAGCAGCAGCAGCAGCAGCCTCATTAGTAGCTGTTACAGCAGCCGGTGCTGTAAAAAAAATCATTATCATCGAATATTTTAAGGAATTATTGCATTTTGGAAGACTAAAAACCTTAGAAAGAAAAGCAATGTCTCTGAATACAATTTTAGCGTAATTATATCACGAAACAGCTTACGAGAATATGGTGTAATACCATTTGTCGCATATTCAGTAGTTGTATATGGTTGTGATAAAGCTGATAAAGCTTGAAGTGATCCTGGTGGAGTAGATATCGTTAATGTTGATAAAGGTTGTAAGGAATGTTGTGTTAAGAATGTTGTGGAAGGAGTCGAAGAATTTGTTAGCCCGGCAAGCTAAAATTCGGTAAAATCAAAATGATCATAATGGATTTATAGTTGAGATTGAATTATAAAATCGTATGAGGTTACTGTATTCATTGTGGGTTAACATACTCTTTTGCAAGAAAACGATACAGTAAACAATTTTCATCATAAAATATGCGTTTATATCAAACTTAACAATTTAGATATTTGGGTAATACTTTGATAATCTGGGCCTTTGACATTCTTATGCCTAAGACATGCATACACATACACATGCACGTATACACCACATACACAAACACACATATAACGTTAAAAATGATAATGAATGACTATAGAAGAGAAGATTATTAGAATAATAAATTTAGCAGAAATAGCACAAATTTCAAGTTCAAAATCAAATTCTATCGATATTTATTAATTTTCTAAAAAATTCGTAGAAATTTTGTTATTTTTTGATTTTTTCGATAAAATAATCCCAGCGGAATTTGATCGAATTCTTTCATTTTTTTTTTGAGATCTTTCTTAGTTTAATTAGAAATTCTTAATTTAACTCTAAGTTAGTTAAAAAATAACATTCTAGAAAAATTTGAAAGATTTTCAACCCATATGACAAATAAAATTTGCATATATTAAATTTTTAAAGTTAATTTATTAATTTGATTTAATTATAAATTGATTATCAAATCAGCAAAGTTATTATCAACGTCAAGCATAGAATTTTCATTGTTCAAATTTGCAGCTGCAGCTGCTCTCAGTTAATTTTATAATTTTTTTCTAAAAGGAAATTTTTCATTTATTTGCTAAAAAATTTAAACAAAAATCCAATTCCTTTCTTAGTTTCAGTCCAATCTTAAATCCACAATTAAGTTTTTCCCTCGATATTAATTAGATTGATTATTCGATATTCAATTAACAATAAATGAATGGCTTATAAGAGTTTTGTATTAGGCGCATAAATATTTTTTTTGAAATGGTGAAGTTTAATTTAAAATCTATGAATTGCATTCTCAATGTTTAAAATTAATTTTCGTTCGTTTTCTTTTTTGAGATCATGAAAGCGAGTAAAAATTCATGCAAACGAAAGAAAACAAATAATTCCAATTTTTATCATTCTAAAAATTAATGAAGGAAAAAGCCGAAATTTTATAATTAAGCATCAAAAATTGGCTCTCTATGATTCTTTGCAGATATTTTACAAATTATAGCGATTATAGAATTAAAATTGAATCTCTAAATTTACGAAATGTACCATAGTCTGTGGTGCAATCGCTACTGGAAAATATGCAGCCAAATTTGATTGTGATGCTGCTAATGCTGCTTGTTGCTGCATAAGCTAAAAATGAGAATTTTGGTTATGGATTGTCACTCAAGGGGAAGAAACCTAGCATTAGAAGTGAAATGTAAAATACTGTGGAACAAATTGTCTAATTTTATTTCTAAAACAGTTGACTTTCCAATTATATTTTAGTTTATGAATAGTAAAAGTTATGGATAAAGGGGAGTGGATAAAATCATTTGTGGTAAAATGATAAAAAATTTTATTTCTGGGAAATAAAGAGACGATTGATTATTAAGGCTTTAATACTATTCTCAATAAAAAAATTCCATTTATTGAAAGTGAATTCTTTCTTCTTCTCCCTCCTCCTCTCCACACCATTTTAATTCAATAATATTTATATATTATTCTGAATGATAGATAATGTACTTGTTGATAAGCAGCGTTATAGACAGTTGCATGATTAATAAGTGCTGGATTAAGAAGACCCATTTGTGCAGCCATCTGCTGCATACGACGGAGTTGCCTCTCTTTTTCCGTATCCGCAAATTTAACTACCAAGGACGATGAGGCACCAGGCATTGTTTGACTTCCATGCAATGCGTTAATTGCCATTGCCGCCTGTGAATGAGCCGCAAATTTTACGAATGCACAACCTTTTGATAAACCGTCTGCACCACGAAGAACTGTCACCTATCATTTAGATAATCCATTAAGGAAGTTAACCGTGTGGAAATTCTTTTTATTCAAATAAAAACAAATTGGCTTGAAATATAAAATTAGAATTGTTAATGAGTACTTTTATTTCGCAGTAATTAATGGTTTTCCTACGATACTTGTGTAGACGTATTTCTATTCAGATATAACCAGAAATGGTGAGGACTCAAGAAATAATAATAACCTCGTCAATAGAACCAAAAGGTGCGAATAATGCTCGAACATCGTCTTCACCCTGTTGTTTCGATAACATCCCAACAAAAAGCTTACGCTCTTCGGAATTTTTAGGTGAATTTGGACGACTTTCACTATCTGCTGGTTTAACTTGCATTGCACGGTTCATCTAAAATATTGTTGTACTTTATCGTTATATAAAAATATAATTTCTGCAGGCTTAATTTTTTTATTATTACGTCTCCGTCATGGTGGTGCTATGCAGCCATCAACCCCTTGGTTGTATTAACTTTAACTTATTCGAACTGAATATCAACAATAAATTAATAAATTCATATTTATAATTCATAAATTCATTAATTCATATTTAAAATAATAAATTCATATTTAAATGCAAACTTGGTTTATTCAATGAACCTAAAAATTTAGCAGAATTATTTCACTGCTTGCTAAACTTCCACCGAAAGCAAGGTGGACCAATAATTAAATACAGTCAAGAAAGATTATGAAAGCATAAGAGGACCAGCGATATATGGACTTAGGCGATGAAAAAAGGAATGGCTAGAAAGGAAAGGAATCTATTATTAGCAATGTGCCAGCAATGGCAGCAGATCGAGCAGCTTGGAAACATCCTTCTACCGAAGCCATCCTAACCAATAATGTTGGGAGAAAGAATTGTTAGAAGAAGAAAATAAATTATTTGTATGAAGCTTTTTTCTTGATTTTGTGATAGTTTATGACACTATAATGCTATAAAAAATTTTGGAAATTTATGAGAAAATGCATAGTGAAGTTGCGATTTGTTAGCATTTCAACGATTTCAATTTTCGAAGTTGTTTTATGGCAAACAATGAATAGACAATCGGCCATTAAGTAGTTAGCACTTAGCAATTTTGGCTAATTCCATTAACTGTTAGCATCATTTTGCTTCCCTTATTCTTATGTTAATAAGTAAGTCATTTTGCTTTTCATATAAAAAATAAACCGAAAAATTGCAAATATGCAATAATAATGGAAATTTGTGTAAAAATAATCTTAAAAAATAATTTTTACGAAAATTTAGCTCGACATATATGTTAAAATTAAAAATATGAAAAGCAAAATGAAAAGTATAAAATGCAAAAAAAGAAAAAAAGAAAAAAGAAAAGAAAAGAAGAAGAAAAAAGAAAACAGAAAAAACAACTTTCGCAATATTTTTCAAATTTTACGAAATATTTATATGCAAAATATTCAAAGAAATTCGGTTGAATAGAATTAAAAACAATAGAAGTTGAAGAAAAATTAAAGAAATGGATGGAAGACTTTTTTTGCCCTAAGAGCTTTCGCCATTTCTGGCTAGATTCGCCCCTCTGGCCCAAACAATTTTTCCAGGGAATCATTTGACAATAGAAGTACGGCTGAGTCACCAGCAGTAATGCCAGAGGATCACTGAGAGAATGGAATATAATTGAACTTTAAATAAATAATTTTCATTTCAAATTGAAAAATTTTTGTCAAAAAAAGTTGAATCAGAAAGTTAATTAAAAAATTATATTATTTAAAATTACATCAAAAAGAATTATTTAAAAAGAAATTTTTATTCTTGTAATTAAATTTGTAATTAAATTTTAGCAATTTTTAACTTTTCTACTTCTCTTATTATTTTCATAATTTTTTTCAAGTTGAAAATTTTTTGAAATTTTAAAATTTCAAAAGACAAAATAATACCTTCAAGACGATTTATTAGGAAAATTAGGGAAATAATTTTGATTCAATAATTTAAGTAATTTAAAGATATTTCTCGTTTTTTATCAAATATCATATTTTATCAGATATCAATTTGCTATTTGCTAGAGAAAGATAATTCCACCACCACAGATTTACTTATTTACTTAAATATATCTATCGTAAGCCTTTAAGGCAAAGGCACAAATTCCAATGCATTGCATATAAATCCCGCCTCTCTCGCCATCGTTCATCTTTTCTTAACATTCGACAAAACGATTTAAAATTCATCGACTTTTTTGCCAATGATAAAGCTGATTTACATAAAACGAGAGCATTTTTATTATTTTTTGATTTAAAATTTGATACAAATTAATAAAATTAATATGAAAAAGAAAAAAATGTTTTTAAAATTTGAAAATCTCAAAATATTTGTAAATTTTAAGAAAAAAATAGAAAACTTTATTGGTTTATTGTTGGAAGAGATTTCTTGAAAAAATAATCTCGATTATCGGTAATTATAGTCTATTTTTTTGAAATCAAATATTCAAAGATTTATAATAATAATAATAACAATAGTAATTGTAACAATAGTAATAACAATAATAATAATAATAAAAGAGAGAAGTCTAAGGCTCAAGGCTTTTAATTTTTGCAATTTTCATTCAATGGCTCATTAATTCATTCATGCGTGCATGCATTCATTCAATCATTTACATAAGAGAATAAGTTATTCTAAGTTATACTGAGGTTTTCAAAAAGAAATGTTTAGTATAAAGAATAGTAAATAAAAGAAGGAAAAAATATAAAACCAATAATAAATCGAATAAAATCGAACGAATAGAAAAATTATAGATGGGAGCTAGAGAAATATTTTAAAATATTTTTCAGGGTCTTCAAAAGTCATCATTCACGCATGTTGATGCTAGTTCATGATTTGTATGCATGCAATCTTTTTTTTAACTTCAAGTGCATTAAATTTCTTCGAATTTCCATTATTTTGTTTTCTTATATTTTTTAATCATTTTAAGAACAATAATAATTTTGCAAAGACATATGTGATTTTTTCAATTAATTCAAAAAATTTTTAATTATTTATAATAGCAAATATAATAGCTATAATAGCAAAAAGATTAATCGTATTTTCAAATCGAAAAATATTCACATTTTTGTCGTCAAACTTTTTTTCCGAAATTGTTTCCGTAATTTTCATATAATAGGCTTATCGAGAAATGCTTTGTTGTTGGAGGCAAAAAAGACATTAAGCCTTATTAATTAATTGAATAAATGACTTTGGTTTTCATAAATTACGAGACATATTAGGCACTTTTTACTTGCTTGCTATTAATAAGACAATCTTACAATTTACTATGACTTTTTATAAAAAAATTGATTGTAATATTGGATGGAAATTTTCGATCAAAAATAAAAAACTTTGAAACATCCTGCTTAATTCTGAAAAATTCTTCATCGACTTTGAGTTACGAAAGAGGAAATTTGAGAAAATATTACTATGCTGATGAAAAAAAGAAAAAAAGCAAGCAGAAACATACTCCAGGCAATGTTTTCTGATCATGTAAAGCGGTTTGACATTTGATAGCACTTTCTCGATGGCAGTAGGTGAGAAATGCGCAGCCTTTATGTAAACCGGTGTATTTGTCTTTTAGGATTGTAAATTCATAGATCTTTCCAAATGATTCAAAGAGGTGTCGTAGATCTTTTTCTTCTAAATTTCTTGGGATCTGAAAAGTAAATATTAGTTAGGCTTGGAAAAAAAAGCACAAACTTTGGAATAAAAAAATTTATAAAAAAATATTTCATCTGGAAATTTTTAAGATATTTTGTAAAAAAATTTTTCCCTCAAATTCTATAATTTATTGAAAAATTATTATAATTTGATGAATCTTTTGCTTAAGAATATTTCAGAATTTTACCAACTATTCGCAAAAAATTGCACTTTTGAAGGAAATGAATTTTTTTTTATAATGAAAAATTTGCTTATACATTCGTAATAAATGAAAAATTTGAAATTTATGAAATTTATTTCATTTTGTTTCATCATTTAGTAACGAAAATAAATTAAAATATAATAAAATAAATTTAAAAGGAAATTCATATATTTGGAACTAAACCTATTAATTCTTAATTATGAAACAATTACTAATAATTTAGCAAATTTTAAGGAATATTTCGATTAGTGAATTCATTAAATGTTAGAAATTTCCATCTTTTATAAGGTTTCACTAAATGAAACAAAATATCTTCGAGGTAATTAACTTATTTAAAGTAAATTCAAGTAAATTTTATTTGCGATTACTTCTGTTTATGACTTTATGACTTTTTCTCAAACGCAGCTGAATTTCTGTTTAGGATCTTTCTTCTAACTTGTCGGACCAGAAAAATCTTGCCTATGAGTCGCCAGCATTACTCGAATTTCTTGGGGAGGTTTGTTCATGCCTGGAGTCGAACTCTAGCATCGATGCCCGAAGGTACAAGCAACAAAACTGTGGTCCATTCATTTATTGAACATTGCTAATGAAATTTTAAATCATAATGACAAGCTTTCTAGTACTTCGAAACGCCAATAAAAAGTCTTTTATGCATTATTGGATTTTAAAGTTTGTTGATTGACTATTATTTTGATGGAAGAGAGAATATCGATGTAAGAGGATATCGATCAGAGGATTGAATGCTTCAGGCAAGTAAAATTTTCGATCGACCCTTCTTGGTTTGTATTTATTCATTTTTTATCATATTTATTTTAATTATTTTCGCGAAATGGCATTTTTATTAATTTTTTTTTTCGCTTATTCACCTAATTATTGCCTTAATTAACATTAACATTATTCAAGATTAAATAAAATTTTAAAAATGATAAGAAAAATTAATTTATGTTTATCGTTAAGATTTTTTATCAATTTGACAACATCATATATAAAACTTTAAATCTGAATAAACTTGTGGAAATAATGAAAAAAAATAAAAAAGTATGAAAGAAAAGTGGTAAAATCTCTAACTAGTAGATGGATAATTAAATAATTATGTAAGGGATTTTTGACGAACCTGACCAACGAAAAGTTTTATAGCGTCGCTATCTTTGACTGGAAATCCATTACTATCAACAGATGATGTTCGGCTAACAACTCTACCACCACCACCACAGTGCATATTTTTGTCGCTTGTTTTTCTGTTATTTGACACAACAAAAAAAGCGAAGAAAAACAAAACAATATTTATTTTACAACAACCAAAAAAACTATATGAAAACTGAAGAAGTAGCGAATAAGTAAATAAGTATTAGCTGCATGAATATCAACGAAAAGCACAGCAAAACGTTAAAATTAATACTTGTAGTGATAATTTTATTGAAAATACTGTAAAATAATGCGACACATGTCGAATATTTTACGTATATTGTTGAAAGCTGCTGAAGAATTTCGAAGCCATAAATAACCACGTAGACATAATATTTAATTTAATTAATTATTTAGGCAAAGGCCACAAAAAAACCAAAGGACGACCACAGCACTACGAAAACATGGATAATATAAGTCGGCCCTTAGCTTATGCCATTAGCCGTTGAGAGACACAAACAGACACATACACAAACACATATACACACTATCTTACGACAATTTTTCATAAATCATGCAAACCACTCCCTCGTTGGATAAAATTTCATCCAACGATTGTTGAGCTAAGGCGGGATTTCATGCAAAAATTAAGTATATCCATAAATAAATGCCCATAAATAATAAATTGTTTTAATTGCTTCATTAAACGCCAAATTTATTTATTTAATTACTTTAATGTTGAATTTTAAGATAAATTAAATAGTTAAATAAAAAATTAAATTTAATGATATTTAATGATATGCCAATGATATTTTTTTGGATATGATTTGACTATGGCAATGATTTCATTTAATACAAGGCACATAAGAAACAAAATAACACAATATTTAACAACTTTTCTCTAATAGTTTTCTTTTAGGCACTTATCGTTTCTATTTGGTTGGACTGGTTTCTTGGAGCACATATTTTGCTAAGGAGTCATTTTAGTGATCGAAGCACAGATGGGTCATCAACAACATCTGGATATTCGAAGGATAGCTTTATTCGTGTCGGGCACCGGCCTTCCGAAACGACAACAGCAATCCATTGAGCCATTCCATCCCGTTCCATCTATGCGAAATTTCTATCGTTTTGATTTGTCTAGCAAGAAATATCCGAATTTATCCAGTATGCAAAATTAATTAAATATACTTTATAAGTTTTAAAGTTTTTAAGAACTAATTTTGATAATCTTAATAATTTTGAACTTTAGAAAGGCGAAAAAACAAGGTCTGATCATTTGCCACGAGTTTTTATCAGGAGTTTTGCTTGATTTGTCAGAGGCGATGAATTGAAATCACTTAGACTAGTTTAAAATCTGTTCTCCCACAAAACCTTATTAGATAATTGCTGGAATAAGTTGCCCAAAAAAAATATCATTAGGAGCGTAATTTTTATTAGCTTTTAAGTTTCGTGAATTATTTATGCGATTTCCTGCATTCTTTCTGGTATTTTCGGTCTCGTTACCCGAGCTTTACCTAAGTTTCTTTTGCTACTTCTTTGACCAGCACAACGCTTTACTCGGATCTTACATATTATTAAGTGAATATAGACCGAATTGATAATGTAATATTTAATATTTATACCACAAATCAAATATAACATCGAGTGGTTAACAGAAATGGCAGGGAATCATTTTTATTTTTAAGAACACTGACCATTATTGGTTAAACTCACTCCGCTGGACTAATGCGCTACTACAAATGCGCTAGGGAATCCCTTGACGACAGTACAGAGTCGCCAGCAGCACGCGCATTTTTGGACAGGTTTACTCCTGCTAAGAAATAGAAGTAGAATTTCGAAATCGCGTAATACTCCACTAAACCATCTTTTCTCAGAGAGTCGTTTCTGTTAATTATAACTCTTAAAACTGGGGATAGGATGGCTCAGTGGGTTGTTGCTGAAGTTCGATTCCCCGCGGGAGTAAACCTGCAAGGGACTCCATGGCATATTGCCAGCAGAGCGAATTTACCAGTAATGGCGAGGACTCTTAAAAAGAACTTAAAAATCTTGCAGAAGAATGTATCTAACACATTTAAGTGAAGTAATGATCTGAGGAATATTCCATGCTGAATCGATGTTTAATTTAAATTTCAATAATAACTTTCACTTATTTTTGATAAAAAATCCTTCTTTTATCTTATATTTCGATTAAATTTGAAGCTTTAATTTGAATTTTTAATAAAATTGAAAAGATTTTAAGCATAAACTTTTAATATTTAAATTATTTAAATTTTAAAAAAGTTAATTTTTTAAAGATTTAAAAATTTAAATTTGAAATCATTGAAGAAGATAATCTGTAATTTTAACAAATGATTTTTAAAAGAAAAATATTTTATACAGTATCGCAAATTTGAATTGCCGCGCTTTTCTCTCCGTCCAATGCTTACTGTTGTTAGGTATTAAATGTAATTCGGCGCACTGCCAACGCTGGAACTCCTACTGCTTAACCAGTATGGTGCCGAAATCTGCCTATAACTCTCATCCTCTTCTTTCCTTTTCATTAGGAGTTTTGGAGATTTGAGATTTGGCTCTACGCGGAATTACATTTAATTGCTATTATCATCATTATTATTATTATCAATATTATTATTATCAATATTATTATTATCAATATTATTATTATCAATATTATTATTACTATTATTATTCTAACTATTAAACTTTAATTTTTTGCAAAAGAATTTTTGTAAAAAACCATTTTTTTTGGAAAGAAATTTGAAAATTTTTTAAATCAAATTTATCTAAAATTTTTATGCAAATTTTTGTAAAGAATTTCATTATTGAATTCATTGATGCAATAAAATTTGATATTAAATAATTTCGTGAGATTCACATAAATCCTAAATGAAGTAAATTTACTAAAATTTTTTGAAAATTACCCTTTGAATTGGCGCCTTTTATGATGTTTCTCAGGCAAATCAATGTACATGTTTTCTTAAAATTCATTAATTGTTCTATTAGACTTTCGAGGAGAAATTTGGGGGTAGGGAGGGGGGGGGTTTATTTTTAACGTTTCCGTGTTTTTGCGTGAAGTTCTGCTGAAAGTGCCTGGGAAGTGTTTCTTTGGAAATTTTCGATTTGTTGGAAAAAATATTTGTGGAAAAAAGTGAGAAATTTAAGAAGTGAATGTAGAAAAGAAATTTTAATAATGTTTTCATGGATTCTCATAGAACGATTTGTATACGAGTGAATGGGGTCGCAGGCGGGTCGCGACTTGCATTTATTTAATTGTTCTATAATAAAGAGAAGTATATAAGTTGGCAATTCATGCTTATTGGTAAAGAAGTGATAAGGGAATACAGCTGCGGAGATGTGGTGCAAAAGTGAAAGAAATTGCAAATTTATAGATTCATGGATTTATGGATAAAAAAGCGGAAATGCCCGTCGAGGTGAATACAGCGATCGTTCTAGAACTGCCAACTTGTATACTTTTCATTTATTTTGTCTCTTATTATGTCTTTTCAGTTATATGTCATTTGTTTGTATAATTTTTAATTTCTCTTTTATTTTCTGTAAATTTTGTCGGTTTTGGGTTTTTTATTTTTTCTTGCTATGCACAGGTTTCTTCGTCGAACAGTTATTATTATTTCTGAGTATTGGCATACTTTACTGTCTATGATGCAAATGCTCTTAAGAGCTATTTGCGAGGAAGTTGCTGAATTCCAAACACTTAATCTGGTTTCAGGTTTATTCCTATTGAACAAAAAAACTGCCTTATAATAAGTATTTTATATTTTAATTATCGACATGAAATTCTTTTTTTTTATTATGTTCACACATTTTGTCGCATAGAATTTACGCATATCGATGACGTTCTGCTGAAAAAATTCTCAAATTTTAAAATTTAAGATGTCTGTAATAAATGCGCAATTCTTAAGCAGTTATTTGCTGAGAGCACGGCCTGTTATATATCAACTATTTTTGAACCAGCAAAATTTTGCGACCGAAGCAAATCCAGAAGATTATGGATATTGTTAGTTTTTGAACAATGTATTAATGAAGATAAAATAGAGAACTATTTTGGAACAAATTGAAACCATTCAATAACTTAATCTTTTCTCATCGACTACCATAAAATTATATTATATATTTAAATAATACAAAAATACTCTTTCAATCAGAACTCGGCAAAAACTTTTTTTAAAATCTCTCTCATTCCCTAGCAAATTCCTAAATCCAGTTTATATCCTCCAAATAGTACTTTACTTTTCAGTCAGTCAGCTTTTAATACGCATATTTATATCATTTAGACATTTATTATTTTAATTCCTTTGTAATCATTTTAAATCTTTTAAATCCAACTTTGCTTTCGTAACTTGGTATCATCGAAACACCATTTTTGTATATGTTTAACCCTTACAGTATTCCGTTGCCATAACTCATTAGTAACAGCCATTAACTTTCTTATTTGGCCTCGTGATTTTAGGCACTTTTATTATGTTCCTTGATTGGGATTTTTTCGGAATCTGTTGTAATCCTCCACATCCCAGAAATCCTCTTAGTAGCTCATAAAATCTCATTGCGTTCTCTTTTTTTTTAAAAGTGCGGATTTCCTTGAATTTCGTTGTGATATGCATCCGCGTTGATATATTAGACTTTAATCGCGTTGGTAGCAAGTGCCAAAATTCTCCATTTTATTCTTTTGTTCCATCCCTGTCCATCCCACCCCCTGTCGCTAATATTGCCTTCGAAATATGAATCTGCCGTGTTTGAAAAACTTTTCCTCTTAAAATTGCACTTTCTCGTCATAATCTATTAAGTCATTGTCCTTCACAAGCCACTGATATTTCTGACAATCCTACTGAAAACTAAATTTGCTGCGCATTTTTTTCTCCTTCTTTGGAAAATATCCTTTCAAAATACCCTTTAAGCATTCCGAAAACTGTTTTATAATACTATCATATTTCATTCTTGACATATTATTTTAAACCCTTTTTCTTCTGTTTTATATTTTATACTCCCAGCCTAGTTTAATTCTATACTAATTTTATTGCCTCAACTTCATAGAGCAACTTTGCCATAGGTGAAGTATAAATATATAAATCTTAAGTGAAATCGTGGCGGTGTGGGTTATTACTTCCCAATTTTGAGAGAGTATTATAGGGATTTGGATATTAAACAAAATAAATGGTGTTAAGAGAATAAGTCGGGAAAATATAGTACGATTTATACAAGGTTTCATAGCAGTTCTGCGTGTCTATAGTATAGTTTTTTTTTTAACTTAATAATTGATATAATTGATTAATAATTGATATAAGCTCAATATTTGCTCATCTTATGGGAGATACAAATTCTGGGAGATACAAAAACATTTTCAATCCAATATAAAAGGACGTATTTTTTATTTCTATAAAGGACGTGTTGAGGATGTTGAAGAATGTTGAATTTTTTGACATTTTTCAAAAAAGAATAGATTAAATAAAAATACTTGTAATTTTATTCGCTTGTAAATAGTGTTAAATTGACTGTTTTTAGATCCAGATCCTCTTGAAGCAGCAACTGGTCGTGAAAAGAAGATGCTTATAGCACGATTGGCTGGAGATGATGTATTTCTAAATCTTTTCCAGTATTTACCAGATTTTTGATCAAATATGAAATTTTTCTTTTCTGATAATTTGTAGAATCACGGTGTGTGGGTTATTCATTATTACTTCGTAAATTTGAAAGTTTGGTGAGAGATTTGGATATCAAAACAAATTATAAATGGAAATGGTGTTAATTGAATAAAGCGGGAAGATATAATACTATTTACCAGGGTTTTATAGCAGTTCTACCTGTCTATAGGATAATTTTTTCTCATCTTTTATTGCTTTATTCAAATTTATTCATACCTTCCATATTTTTTTCTTTATTAAAAATTTTCAGAGATATGAACCAAAAATATACTACAGGTCGGAAGCATCGACACGTGATTACCCAAATCTCGTACCTGCTCATGCTGATCACAAAATCGTCGGCTGTTTATGTAAGTAAAAGTATTATGTAAGTAAATAATATCATGTGGTCAATTCTTCAGTTTTTAATTAAAGTTATTTTCCGGGAAGTAGAAAAAATGTTACTGCAATTATTTTTTACAAAACTTTGTGGAAGTTAGGTTAGCTTAACAATCCAGAATTTACTGCAGACACCACTGTACATTGTAATAACAGCAGTAATACAATGTTAATAAACAGCAGGTAATATCATAGAATGGCTTAATGGCTTGTTGCTCACTTCTGGTACCGATGCTGGGGTTCTATTCCCCGCAGGAGTAAACCTATTCAAAAATCCAGGTAATGCTGGTGACTGACCTGCACTTCTATCGCCAATGGACCCCCTGGAATATCTATCCAGTGTGACAAGTCAGCGAGCGAGTTTAACCGGTAATGGTGAGGGTTCTTATCTGAAAAAATTATCTTAAAAAAAAAAAATCATTAGACAACGGCATAAATTAACTAGCCAAGAATACATCGAATCATACGGGAGGACACTTTTTTTTCTCCTGCAGAGAATCGAACCTCAGCACCGGCGCTCCCAATTGAGCAACAACCCACTGAGTCACTCTACCCCTTTACGGGAGGATTCAACACTATAAATAAGTTCATTCATTTAAACTATTATCTGAAAAAAACTAATGAAAACAGAAATGACCTTCAATAAAGGTGTCGAAAAATGCTGCATATTAATCGTTATATTTCCCTCGCCTTGAATCATCCAATCTCTGATGAAATGTCTCGACATTGATGATAAGAACTATGTGGATTCTATTACGCTCATATCTGAAAATATATTTAACTTAAAATTATTATTATTTGGAGCGGTCTCATTTGACATAATCATACAGAATTTTATATGTATCAAATCTTGTTTAATTCAATGAATTAAAAGAGGCTTAAATATATTATATTTTAAATTACTTTATATTTTATTTTATTATTTATTTTTGTTTATTTATTTTTATTTTTGTTTTATAATTTAGACTGCTATCAAGAGAGGTCATTTAATTTACTTGGTTTATATATAGGAGATTAAGCAGTTGTATTATACTCAAGAAAAGGGTGAACGAATGTCTCTTAAAATTTTTTATGATTGTACAGTGAATTGCGAAATCAAGATTTTCATCGGCAATTGTGCCAAGATCTGAGATGTTCGACATGTTTGATTATGTTACCAACAGTAATAAGAAAAGTAATGGCTAGATATAACTATTGTAAGGGGCATCTAATTTAAATGAAACCATGTTTAAAAGAGGAAGATGGGACCTGAAAGAGAGTGGCACGTACAGATATCGGCCCTTCTAACATCCAGTTATACAAACTCTATTAATGCAATACTGTGGAAGTAATGTCAAATGCTCTGGCCAAATCTAGAAGTGGCTGATATCTTCCCATTATCTAATCTAATACTTATGAAGTATTGAATTTTTTCGCGCAAAAGCCATATTGATTAGGGAGTATTAAATTGTTGGCATTAAGACAGCTTAAATAGCTTTAGCAGCTTGTTGTGAATCAATCTCTACAGTACTCTATCACCAAAACACGCTAGGATAATAGACTTATATCTTAGTCATAAATATTTCTCCTATGAATGGGAGTTATATGGAACAATTTGTAAATTCTTGAATTTAGGCCACATTTTATAATATATTTACATATCCTTATAAATCGAAATAAATGTAGTAGAGGATTTGGTGAGATTGCGCATTTATCTAACTTCCGCTTTGTTTATTTATATAATTTAATAAATATGTGCAATAATTTGTATAATTATTATATTACATTAAATGTTCATTTATTACTCATAAATTATCTCTTCTACATGATATTAAAACGGGTAAACATTTAGGTGAACCAGATAGTGGTCATGTCAATTATATGATTGTTCGTAAAGGTGAGCCAAAACGTTGCGAATGTGGTCATTGGTTTAAGGCTGTTGATGCAGACCCTGAATCAGTATAAAACCTTCGGTTGAAAAGTTGTAAGCTTCAGTATTGATTTAAAGGAAAATTGCTCATTTTAATAGAATTTTCAGTATTTCAAAATGAGTATTTTATATAAACAAGAATTATTTACTGTTTATCTTGAATAGTTGAAGTCAGTTTTGCGTGATATATGCAAGATTTAATATAAAATGAGCGACCTCCTTTATCAGTAATTTTATTTTCAAAAACGCTGATAGATTTATTTCGAGTTGAGATTGAATTTGGACTGACATATCTGAATTAAAAGGAATTTGTAAAAAAACAAATCCATTTTAGTTCAAACAGAAATGAAAAGTTTTTAGAGATACCATTAGACATTTTTTACTTTAGCACGTACAATTAATAGTAGTTAATGAATGGTTAATTATAAATGGAAAATAATATAAATTTGAAGAAAAAGAACTGCTCTAGAAAAAAATTGAATCCACAAAAATATAGAATAAAAATCGAAAGGCGATGAATAAAAGTTAAAAATAGTCGTCTGTTATCAACAAAACAAGTTGTTATATTGACTATATATTGACTATTATTAAGTAAAGCCAAGTTTTTGTGGTAAATTTTTGAACAAAAAAAGAATATATTTACAATTAAATCCATATATAAAAATAAAAGAAAACAAATTTATATGAAACGTTTATATGAAACAAAATATTTATATGAAACGAAAAATAATTTTTCATTATAGAGAATATCAAAAGTATTTCTAATATGATGATGGTAACAAGACTGGAAAAAAATCACCTAAAAGATAAAAAAAAATCGAAACTAATATTTTAAAAACAAAGCAGGAAAGACGATAAATTATTCTCACAAATAATGAATCACCTAAGCGCCGGAGCCTAAAAAACCGTAGAAGGGTTTTGCTTTCGATAAAAAGCCACTTTAAAGAAATAACCAGGGCATTTGTTTTTTTCTTCAAAGAAGTAGAAATTGCAGAACTATCTATCGTACAAAACTGGATTTAAAATATTTTTAAGAATTCCAGGGATCAATGAATTTTTATAACCTTTAAAATGATTAGGAATATGAAACAAGAAAGCTTGCAAAGTTAAATAGAATAATTTGCATTTGCGCTCGTTTTCACGGGCAGTGCTTTTTTCCTACTGCACTAAACATAAAAATTGATACAGGAAAACTTGCTGATTCAAAGTCTTATATGTTGGAGGAAATCGAATGAACCAAATGATAATTCAGTTTTGGATAAAATGGTCTTCTGTCGAGCTGGCTGATGTTATTATAATCTGAGAGGGTGCATCTGTTTTTATTGGCACTCTTCTTTGTCTTTTTTTACCCAAAAGACCATCTGCAGCGAGCACTCTGAAAAGAAATCAACTTCCGGAATATCAATCATTCTTGAATTTACAGTGACACAGTGATTTTATAGAATTAATACCGAATATAAAGAAATAACTATAGTTCTATGGTGACATAAATGTTTCAAATAAGTGTTTCATCAAGCAATTTCAAAATAAACGAAGCGATAGCAAGAATACGAAAAATATATTTGGAAAATGATTGTGATTTACGATTTCAAATTTTAATATTAGTTAGGTTAATCAGCTAACCGATATAAAAGAACGAGATTAGTTACGCCTAGCGATGCGATTATGATGAATGTTATCACACCATAGGTCCAACCCATCCAGAAAACTGTTGTTAATTGCCAATACAACAAATATGAACTAATAAAAATACGGAAAATCATGAAAGATACGACATTTAATAAAGCGATAATACGAAAAGAGGTTGACATCTTTGGCACACCATATAAATTTAATAACGAACGAGAATGCAAGAAAATACTATTCAATTCCATAAGTAAGCCATAAATCACAACACCTAAATATTTAATATTTAAAATTGTAAACCTCAAATTAATTCAAAATATTCGCTAAGTTCATGAGAAATAAAACGGCAATCATTTTTTCCATCCTATTTTATTGATTTTTTGGTTAAAGCTTTGGCTTAACATATATTTTTGAAAAGATGACATGACTGAACCGATTGAAGATAATCCCATAGGTTCGACCTCAGTTCCTTGCGAATTAAACTTGCCATTAAAAGTGAAAATGGATGAAAGTCTATATATATCCCTCTAAAATTAAAATAAAAAGATGTATAAAATAAAATAAATAAATGATCTTAAATAAATAAATAAATAAAATAAAATAAAATAAATAAAAATAACCCAAAAATTTGTTTGTTATAAGTGAAATCGCAAATGCGAATAAAACAATAATATGATGAAAAAGCAATTCGAGTATTCGCAACGACCGTTCATTAACTAGCAAATCAACTAAATCATGAAGCAGATAACCAGCGGATAGAAAAACCTAAAAAACCACATACAGGTAGAAAATTACGAATTAAATTACGGCAATAAAATCGAAGAAAAAACGAAACATTCTTACCAAATGCAGCGAAAACGAATTTCGATAATAAACCATATCTTCGAGCAATTTCGGATAAGCCAAACAAGCATAAGAAGCCCATACCCCCGAAACACAAGAATGAATTAGAGATACTGCTTCATTACTTATACGCCATTTTTTGTTTGGTGGCACAATCTATAAAATAAAAATTTTAAAGAAAATATCAAAGACTCGAGTTAATTTGACAGACCATAGTTATAAAAATAATTATATTCAATTACACAATTAAAATTCATTATGTGCGTTGATTTCACTACATTAATAAACCGTATAGATGCGATTTACCAGACGGAAATCGTAAAAAAATTTATTCACTATTTTTCATTGGGGATAGAATGACTCAGTGGGTTGTTGCTCAATTGCGAGCGCTGATGCTGAGGTTCGATTCCCTGAAGGAGTAAACCTGTACGAAAATCCGAGTGAACCTGGCGACTCACCTGCATTTCTATCGCCAAGGGACTCCCTGGCATATTGCTCAATGCGACAAGCCAGTGGAGCGAGTTTAGGACCAATAATGGTGAGGACTCTTAAAAAAAAATTTTTCATTAAATTTATAAATTATAATTCTATTATATTAAATTATATTATAAATCAATTAAATCTGACAGTCAACGATTGGCTATTTCGGTTATCAATATCTCCTTCCACATCATTTGCTGCAACACTCTGTGACCAACCAAAATAGGAAAATGTTCGAAAAGTACATTTACCAAACAAATACCAACGAACAGAAAACTGCAAGAGACGAAAACAAGCGAACGAAAATAAAACCTGCAATAAAAGTATTTATTTTTGACAATAAATAATGACAAACTAGTTTTGAACTTTATATTGTAAAGTGCAAATATATCAAAAGTTCTATTTAATTAATCTAAGTTGCAACAAATTAAAATAAATTTAATAATTATACGATTTCGGATATTAAAAGGCTTAGCCCATTTCTAATACTCAGACTAAAGGATAGCGATTTACACCACTGAGGAAGAAACAATTACGACGACTACAGAAAAATGTAACCACAATATAAATATATATAGGTAAAAAGATTTATTTAAGATAATCTCTTCTTCGAACTCTACAATTTTTATACCATTTCCATATCACTATTCACTATGCTTTTCACTATTCTTTCCTTAATATCCTCCGATTTCCATCACACAACCTCAAAATTTGTGGTCTTCAACGAGCTATTTTATTATTTTACAACCGAAGCAATATATAGTTTGTCGGAAAATTTACGAAACATAAAAGAGCAGAATGGTATTGAGGAAATACAATAAAATCTTTGGGAGATAAAACGTTGAAAAAAAATAGCGGAATTTGAGGTTTGGAACAAAATGTAACAAGTTTTGGGAAGTAGAAAAAGATGACAGTTCCAGAGATCTGGTAATTTTAGCTTATGGTTACAGTACTCTATACAAAATTCTCTAGAGATTCACTACAGATTAGTCTTCAATTTTCACATAATTCTCTAATAAATTCCTCAAAATCTATTGTGCTAATTAATGATGATAATAATGACCATATGCCAAAAGCTTATATGCCGCTAGAGATGGGGTTCATAATGACCATATAGGCAGACGTTCTCCAAGATAATCTGTCGCTTTATCTCTTAATACTATCAGATATGTCCTCATCGAATCTGGAATTGAATCCACCTTATTACAGGTCATCCTCTTTTTTTCTTTGTGTCATCTCCAGCGACAGATTTGTGCCAAGGAGATGAGTCTTCAAAATAAGATAATTTTAACCCGGTCGTTTGTGTGTCGAATGAGAATTCCGACTTGATTTGTTTGGTGAACCAATGAATTTCTAAACTGACATCCTTCAAAATTCCGTTAAGTTAAGGCACCGAATTTGCAGTACTATGTCATACCTCATCAGTAGCATTGTCTTAAACCTGTTATGCTATTTTCATCCCTTAAAAACATTTTAGCCCTTTGACAAATTTCTACCATACTAAAATTCCTTTAACCATTTTTAATACCTTAACAATCACATCCTAATCACATTCACTTGTAAAAAAAAAAGATATTAAAATTCTCTTAAACTCCCTTGTACAAACTCCGATTAAACCTCGCTAGGCCACTCAAATCCCGTCGTGACCATTGCTGCAACCCTCTAAAACGAATTTTTACCATATTCAAATCCTTTGATTCAAAACCTATTACATTTTATGAAAAATCTTCGCAAATTCCATTAAATATCCCCTTAACATTCGAAATTCGTTTGCTATAATCGATCGTTGTCGTCATTTTATATTCCTTTTTACAACAATTTTCAATAATCCAGTTTATGAACATTTACATCTATTATTTTCATTTAAATATTCTCTAATTTTTTCAAGTCTCATAATTATAATCATAAAACTGATATTAAACTATAAAATTATCGATTGGTGCACTATATCGATTGATGTCGAGAAAATTGTAAGAGTTCGAGAGGATGTTTAGGGAATATTATGGATCTGAGGAAATGTTGCGAAATATGCTAAATTTCGAGAACAATTTTCGAACATATGATTTTGTGACATTGGTTAGCATTTTGTGACATCAACATTACTATAATTTTTTATCTTTAGGAATTTCATTTCGTCAACGGTGGAATATCAAAGTCGACTAATTTACTGGTGATATTCCAGCGAAGTCTACCTTCACAAGACATTTTCATCTGGAATAAAGTAACCAAAATTTTGCAATATTGTCACCCGAGCTCAATAAAGTAAATAAAAAATCTGTGATATGCTATCAAAACAACAAAAACGCGCAAATTTTATAGAATTTCAGAACTTTTTTCCTTAAAATAAAGGGAATTTAAAAAACCTGAAAACATCCCAATGCGAAATCATGCCATTCTTGCTCATTCCAATCAAACATTACTTGCTGATTAAAGAAAACAATCGGTTCCTATTTTAAGGAAATTCGTTGAAACAATAAATCACCTAATTTGCCTGAAATTTCGAAAGAACTCGTTTGTTTTGAAATAATATCCCCATTAATAATGACAGCCATCAATTATCATTCGAAATATAATACAACACAAAAATAATTTTATATTTCGAGAGTCCTCACCATTACTCATTCCGCTGGCTTGCAAGTGAGTCGCCAGCATCACAGGTTTACTCCTGCGGAGAATAGAATATCGGCGCTCCGAATCGAGCAATAACCCACTAAACCATTCTATCGCATAAAATAAATAATATAATAAAAATAAATAAAATAAACAACAGTAAACAATCAGTAAGGTTAGTGGGATTAGACTCGCTAAACTTTGGCAAGGTTGATTGGACTCACTAGGCTATGATAAGGTAGGCTCGATAGGCCCTGATAAGGCCGATTAGATTGGTTGTTAGGAGGAACAGAAATTTTTGAACGGCGTCATTTGGCAAAAGAACTAAGAATTTTTTTAATTGTAAATTTGCTGCTGTCGGATTCAAGTACTGACTTTGAATACGAGCTAGCAACCCTAAATACAGTAAGTTATATAGAAAAATTCTTCCCATTTATTTACAGATATATTTAGAATGAAGAGAGATGTCGTCGAATCTCCTAGGAAATTTAAAAACCTCACACTAATAGTTGACGAAGCCAGGAAAAGCATATGTCGCCGAATGGTTGCAAATACGAGCAGATCACCAATCGAATGGAGCACAGAGATGACCACCAAATGGATACGGCTATATAACACCAAGAATTTGAATCGGGAAAGATTAACGATAAATATCAGCCGAAAAATGCCTGCTTTGCTTTAAATCTTCTCTCGTTTTGTTGTATATTATATATTTTATATGAATAGTGTTGTTATATATTGTTTGAGAATTAAAATAAAGATTTAATTACCCAAGTTTGAGGTTCGCAACGAGAAAATCATTAGAAGAACGCTGGCCGCAGAAATTATAATGTTGTGGAGGAATAAAAGTCTCGCATGGCAGGAAATTCGTTAAAACTATACAGAAAACTCAGTAGTGGCGATTCCCGAAGGAATTTGGTAAATCTAGTTATTAGAAGTGGAATCACCGTGCTCCCAAACTTTCGTATGGTTAAATTTTCTGTACAGTATACATGGTGTTAGGGAAAAACAAGTAAATAAGAAGGAGAAGAGATCGCCTTAGGCGAATGCTTTATTACCAATCAAAAATATTTCTATAAACCAAGAAAGCCGAAAAATAATTGACTAAATATTTTACATATTTTAAATTTCCACTAGAAATTCGAAGTTTTTCTAAAGGGTTGAATCGCCAAAGGCTTGAACCATCACTAAGAACTCGAACTATTGCTAGAACTCGAACTATTGCTAGAAACTATTATTACACGATACCCGAACTATTATTACAATTTATAAACAAATAAATCAATCGAAATTTTTTCATCACTCAACAATAAATCAAATCCTCCAACTTTACATTAAATTTTTTTCAGAAAAACCAGAGATGCCTTAGATTGAGCTAAAAGCTTCCAAGCACCGAAAGAATCCGAGGAACCTCACCTCAACTACAAAAATCACCTAACCTTTCGTCAAAATTTTCGTTGCTTAGCACGAACCATTTAAAAACATTTTCATCTGAAACCGCAAAATAGAAAATGCATGGTTTTTTAAACATCAGCCACAGAAATTACTCGGTTGTTGTTTCTGACATTTCATTCGGAATATGGTGGCAAATTACCATTGGTGCCATACATTTCTCTACTGCATTTAAATTTTCTTTCAAAAAACCAAAAATAGCCTATGCCGAGCTAAAAAGGTCCCGAACACCGGAAAAGTTCGAGAAACCCCGCCTCATTTATTTGTTTCTTCTCCCACATTACCACCATTGAACCATAATTTCCGAAGGAAAAAGTTCACTTCTTGAAATCACTGATATTTCGATGAAAATATCAAAAAATTGATATATTTCAAGGCAGCAGAGAGTCGTTTATCCGTCAAGGGGGAAACGAATTTGAGATTTTATCACTTCCCTGGATTTGTCTTTTTATCCATCGCACCTAGTGCGCTGCAGCAGGTCACTAGTAAGTAATGTTTGCAATAATAAGACTTTTGCAAACATTGTTCTCTCGGGGTTCTGTTAATGGGTTTTTTTGATGAGTATTTACTCTATATTTTCATATGAATTTTAGTTTTTCATAGTTTTTCAGATTTTTTATTTTCTTTTGGGAGGAATTCATTGGAGTGCACTGAAAGTGTTCATTGGAGTACAGCATTATCCTCAAATCAAAAAGATATTGCCTCGTTGTTCTGTGGTACTTTGGAGGAGCCTTGCTTAATAAATTTAATGGTGATGGGAAAGGTTCCGAGGACAAGGGAACTGCTCCAGGCTCTTTCAGGACAAAGCCTCAATAGGCTTTGCAAATCTGAAGATCTGATTAAATTTGGTCCCACCAACGCCTGAAAATCGGCAATCTCGGCAAATCCCTTATTTTTTGAGCCGAAGCATAATAAAGGCTATCTATTGCAATTGCTAAAAGCACTTCTTCTAAAAGGTGATATAGACCATAGTCGCGAGAACTCCATGTTAGCACACTGGTTGACCACCATAAAACGCGCTTAAGAAGAAGGCTCTGCTTTTATAACCATAAAATAAGTGTTTGTAACAGAAAAAGGATCTCAATTGTATGATTTTTATTCGTTAGTCTTTCTGTTAAAACATCCTATCGTGACCTATCGCTCACACCTCGTCCTTGGGTAATTATACCTTTATTTTAAATCGCGGCATTACGCAAGATCATTAATTATACAAGGCAGTGAAAATGCCACAGAATAAAGGAAAACTAGAAGTGAAGCGTAACAGCGGTTCTTTCGCTGATATTTGTCGTTAATCTTCCAGGTTTGCAATAATTGATCTTATACAGCTGTCTCACTTGGAGGTCACCTCTATGGACATTTCATTTCTGACCTACTGAATTGTCAATACCTTCAATTATTTCTAATAGAATTATTAAATTGATTGGTCGACTCATCGTCCAATTATCGGCCATTTTCATTGAAACTGGACGTAATTTGCCATCTGAGCTTCGATTTAGATCTGTGATTCGAGCCAAATTCCATTGAACTGCTTGAGGTGATCGTTTTGTAGTTATTCTTGATCGGTTGTGGTAAACTTGTTTATCGCGTAAGGACACATTTTTGGCGCCATATTTCCTGAAACTGTGTAACTATCTGAGTATTCTTCTAGTTTTCAGCAATTCGATTTCTTCTCTATTCTGTCGTTATTCTCTATTTTTTGTCTGGAGCGTGTTGTTCCAAGGTCCACGGTGCGTTTTGTTTCATAAACAAATCACATAGTCAAGATTTTCTCTTGTTGTAGTAAAGTGGTCGCTCATTTGCCACCTTACTTGGGAATGAATTTCCATTTAGTTTCCTCCTTTGATAAAGTTTTTTGTATTGTAATAGGGATTAATAGGGGTTCAGGTTTTCATTTGAGTGCGATAAGATTTCTCAGCGACAATAAAAAACTTTTAAGTCATTGAGTTCCAAGTGAATTGCTCTCGTAACAGGGCAGGCAAACAAGGCGATGCAAGTTTTTGTTTTGCAATCATCCTTTTTTTATCCAAATGGGCCCTCTGGACCTTTGCAATATCCGCAAAAGGGACACTCCCATTAATTCTTCATTGTGGAATTTTTTTCATCTTCAGTAATTCAAACTGCTTAGCCTTCCATCTTTTTATAATGTATGCACTCATTGTAGGTACGAGCTTCTACGAGCGTGCGGGTTGCACATTTCGAGTACTATTGGCTGCTGTTGGTGTTCCATACTCGCTCTTTTCGTGTTGTCGTAGATTGGTGCTATTTGTTTTTATTCTGTTCAACTAAGAAACAAATGGCCATGAAAATCTCGATAAATACTGCATTGTTTTGTGGTCAATTCGCTATTTCAATAATGCATACATTTTTTATGTTTTATTATGTGAAAATATTTTTAAATATTTTCAAAATTGACGAATATATTTTTAATTTATCGCAAATTTTTTTGATCGTATGGAATTCAATTAACGATCCAATTTTTGGCTATATTCAAGTTCATTTTTTCTTTTTGCTTCAAAAACTTATAATTTTAAAATTTTGTAATTATTGCTTCAAATTTTCTGTCTAAACTGCTATTGCTGCATTTAAATTGAATTTTTGAGATCTGTCAATTTTTTAGTACCACTTTTTAAAATTTTAAAAATAGGAATGATAACTTATCCGTGTTTTTTTGGGACTTGAATTCATCTTGGATGGGCAATAGACGTAAAGTGATTCTATATGTAGGACCATTTTTGTCAGCGTCATTTCTGTTGATATGGTTTCCGTGGGGTGTCATATTGAAATCGGTTTATATCGCTGAATTACATCTTCTTTGTTCACTTTTCGTTTACAATAGCTTTTTCAGGTAATTTTACTTTTTTGGTGAAATTTTTATATATTTGAAAATAATATTTCATATATTTTATATATATATATATATATATATTCTATTTTTTAATATATATTCTGCTTCCCGCTGGAGTAAATCTATCCATATGACGCGGGTGTTTCATTTGCACCTATACTTCTATCCAAAACAAAAAAACTCTAGTAATAGTGAGGGTTGTTTGAGAAAAAATTTCATGTATTGTCATTTCAGTTTCATTAAAATGGCTTGGTGTGCATTATTCGCCGAATCGACAAAAGAACATTCAAGGGTGGCAGCTACAAAATATTCACAAATGGCCATACTGTTATCAGTTAATATTATTGCAATAACGGAACTGATTTCCGCTGGCCTCACTGTTTTTTTTTTAATCAAAAATAAAATATCGATTTTAAATTATACGTTGTCTTAGCCATCTAAGAATTTCATTAATTTCGAAAATTCATAGTTAACAGTATCGTTTCATATGGAGTGCCTTCTACGAGTCTACTTGTTCATGTCTCTACCGAAGGAGTATCATTATCTTAATAGTCATTGGAATCAAAATAGACATGTTGCATACCGTTGAGAATTGAGGGGTAAAAGGGGAAAAAAACGCACGGCTAAAGTGGTAAATAAGAGGAATTATTTTGATTCTTAATTTTTTTTCAAATTTTGCCTGTAAATTTCTATTTAATTAAGCTTAAATATTCCAAACTCTTGGCTAATGTATATTGCAACAATAGATAATAACAAATATATGTTATATATGACTTAAGTTACCTTTATGGAGTCGTCGTGAAATCACCATAAAAACGAAAGTCCACATCTATATTGCCGTGATCCGTTCGATCTTGCTATATGGTTCTGAGACATGGCCAATGAGAGTGGAGGATATTAAGAAATTATCTTCTTTTGACCACTCTTGTCTAAGGTACATATTATGGATCCGTCGAGCGGATAAGACATCACATGATCGCATCCATCTTCGTTCAAATACCACTTGCATAAATAATGTTATCACAGAACGCCGCCTTCGCTGGTTAGGGCACATTCTCCGTCGTCCACCACAGGATTTAATTTCATTATTTGCTGAACCGTGTGATGGTTGGCGTCAAAAGCGAGGTGGGCCAATCAAGACCTGGACTAATATGGTTCAGGGAACATTTTGAACCAGGTGGACCAGCAATATATGGGCTTGGACGATGGAAAAAGGAATGGTTTCCATTACTATTGACGATATCATCAGATCTCGCCGCTTGGAAGAGTTTTACTCTTGTAGCCGTTGGAGCCAACCTAACCAGTAATGGTGAGAGCTGTTAGAAGAAGAAAAAGAAGATTTCGATTTTCGCCGAAGATTATTTGTTTGGATTTAATGAAAATAATCATTATTTCAGAATTTCGTCGCGTTTCAGCGCATATGTGTCGCTATTTTCGTACTTTGTTGGTTATGCTTTTGTATTACTGGATCACTGAATGATAACCTTGCAAATATAAATCCTTCTCAGTTATCACTAAATGAAGACATTACTAATAAGACTCACGTATTTAAAATATCCAAGCAAATAATCTTTCAAAGCGAATTTTTATTGCTCGTTTTAACCGCTTTTCTTCACAACTGCAGGTTAAAAAATTTTTTTATTTAGTTACTAATTGCAGGCGCACAGATTTTTGCCTATTTTTTGCCCTCTAAACAAATAAATAAAGATTATGCAATTAATAGATCTATGGCTCATCTAAATTTCGCTTCCATAAGCGCAGAGCTTTTAATACCTGCGAATGTGATGGGAAAAGGTTCTTGGTCGATGAGTTCCTTCTTTGCTTTTTGTACGCTGGTGCCGCAAGTATCTTTTTAATCATTACTTTCCTTCTCAGTCATTTAATTTATGTTCGATCTGTTAGGAGAAGCTCAGATATGTCGATAAATTATGGCCACCACTTCCCATTTATCACTGGAGTCGTAATTGATGCGTCTCATTAGGTGATAAGATGAAGAATCTTTAATTTCATACAATCGCATTTATATCAAAAATTTTTATTTTTTTTTCGATTTTTATTTAAGAACTTTAATGAAAATATTAAATAAAAATTATTTTGAAGATTCTGATCATCTGCAGTGGAAGTGTTATTATGAAATATGGCACGGGAAGTATAGTTCTATTTTCTTTTCTTCTGTCAGTTGGAATGTCATTCGTCTTTTGGTTCATCGCATTTGACAATCCAATTCTTCTAATTTTTTTTATGTTTATTGATAGGTAAAGCAATTTTTTTGGTAAAGCAATAAGCCGAATTATTGTTGTTGTTGAATTATTGATTTAATGATTTAATATCTTGGTTTCTTTTTGAAAGTAAAGAATAAGTAATTTTTTAATTTCAATTTTGATATCATGAAAAATTCGGCTTTTACTTTGTAAATCAAATTTCAGTGTGTTGGTTCATTCTATTGCTCCATTGTTCCAGATTTTAGTCGCTGAATTTATTGATGATGATAAAAAGCGCTTCTCAAGGAGGTAGTTGCACTTTCCGAAAACTTTTCGTGGTAGAGATTTTAAATCTATTCAGAAAATTATCAAATGTAATTTTTAGAAAAGCAATGTCATCGGTAATATATAGTTTGGAAACAATACTAGTGAAATCTTCCACATCGATTACTCCTGTTTTAATAGTTTACTTTTTGAACCAAAGTGGGTATAAAGTATGTTTTTTTTTAAAGTATGTTTTTTGTATATCAATCATATCAGTCTTTTAATTTGTCTTTTCAAAATTAATTATCTTTTAGGAAAATTTTAATCGGCTATAGCCTGATTAACGATGATTAGCCCATTTTGACTGCATTTAGGTGGCTTCATTTGCTTATTTGCTATGAACAAAAAACCGGTTATAATGGGAATTAAATTCAGTTTATTTTATGAGTTTATTTTAGTTGATTAATTTTATGCAAATAGAGTTCAGAAGCGGTGTAAAAATTTTTTTGAAAAAAATTTATTTTTTCCAATTTATAAGTACTGGAAAAATACTTATCTAATAGAAAGACGATGATTCGATGAAGATCGGACGGGACTCGAATCTGCTATTTTCCAGAATTCCTTTATTTCTTTGATTGTCTAAAATTATAATACAAAGAAAATTTTGACTGAAATTTTAGGGGGAGACTTTTCTTATGTAGTGAGATTATTCACCGTGTTTAAATCATAGCTACTGGAAGCAGTGCCATCAACTGGGACTGGGATAGTTATTGTGTAATAGGGTAATACATACTGTGGGTTGAGAGTCCTTTTAATGCGCATATAAAAAGAGTTTCGATTTTTCAAATCAATTTAGTTTTATGCTAAAAGAAAGGAAATATTTACCTATTTACTTTTAGTCTTCTGTTCACCTCACACCATTTTTTAATTTAGTTGACTCGTACTAAATTATTAGATTGAGACGATTTCAGAGAATCGCTAAGGGTCGGCGATAGTGTACTCCGCCTAGTCATAACGCTTTTTAATTAGTAAATTAAATTAAAGAAATTTTTTCTTTCTAATATTCTTTAAAGGAATTCCGCGAGATTCATGAAAAGTCCGAACAGTTGCAGTTGTGTATCTACTCAATATTATTTTTTGCTCCATTGTTACTTGGTTCACTTCAATTTTTTCTATTCCGATCATATTTGCTGAAAATCAGATGTAAAGAATATAAATTGGATGACATAAATGGCAGTTAGACTAGTTCCGACATGGTAATGCTGCATAATTTTATAAAATAAGTTCAAAAATCAGTAAATTTTTGATAAATTTAATATTTTTACTGAATTCAATGATTTTTTCTCTTTGATTTTAAGCTTTCACCAGTTCTTTTTATATTCATATGGAAATCATTTTTTTCCTCTAGTTTCATTTTTATTTTCTTCGAATTTGCAAAAATTAAGGTGAATGTCGTTTAAAAATTTTAATGCAAGAAGACTCAAATAAATATCTAATGAAATCTTCATTTCTGTTTTCCTGTTTTCGTAAAAATTAATTTTTAGATTTCAGCAGTTTCTTTTCCTACGAAAATCAATATATATGTAGTTCACCAATTAATAAAATAAATTGATTTTTGGTTTGAAATTAATTTCCTTGCTATTATTAGCGTATATCTACCTATCTGCCTGTCCTCTAATGAAAGGGATTAGCCTCCTAACATTCAGAAACATTCAGAAACAAATAAACAGAAAGAATGCTTAGTGCTTAGTGTTTGGAATAGAAGAAAATAAACCATAAGCGATAGAATAGAAATTTATTCGATTTGACATAATTTGCTGGATGAAAGTTTTTTATTTCGAATTTAATATGCATATTTTAGATATATTCTAAGTTAATCAATATTCATTCTTCTTCTAACAACTCTCACCATTATTGGTTAGGCTGCTGCAACAGCTGCAAGGGTAAAACGTTTCCAAGCGGCGCGGTCTGATCTCCGATAGTAATAGAAGCCATTCTTTTTTCCATCGTCTAAGTCCTTATATTGCTGGTCCACCTATATATTCAAAATCTCTTAAGTGTATTAGTCCAGGTCTTGATTGGCTCACTTCACTTTTAATGTCATTATAACTTTAGCAAGTAACAAAAGGTGTTAACATTTGTGGTGGGCGATGGAGAATGTGTTCTAACCAGCGAAGGCAACACTCTGTGATAACATTATTAATGTAGACGGTATTTGAACGAAGATGGATGAGATCGTGTGATATTATCCGTTCTGGCGGATCCGTAAAATGTACCTTAGACAAAAGTGGTCGAAGGTAGATAGCTTCTTAATATCCACTCTCCACTCTCATTGGCCATGTCTCAGAGCCATATAGCAAGATCGAAATTCATTATATATTAATAATAATAATGTTATTGTTATTATTGATATTAATCTTAATTATCAAAAGTAGATTCACAATGTTTTACTCAATGGGAATAAGTGGATTGCAGTGAAATTTGCTGTATATTGGATTCTATCTATTGTTGTTGCTTTGAAAAGTTTGTTTTTTTAGAATTATTTTTGAATAATTTATTTTTTAAGAACATTGAAAAATTTATTATGTTTCAATTTTTTTGGTCTGTTTCAAATAATTTAATATCGGAATTATTGATCGGAATTAAATAATGAAAAAAACAAAATTAATGATTTCGCATTAGAATTAGGTTAGTTTGATTTGATTTCCGACCTATATAAATTCGAAGAATAGATGTTGAAGGAAAATGAAAATCAAAACAAATCCTTTTTCCCATTTTATATGAGTAATTCTGTGACATTTAGAGACCGTTTGCTTATTAACAATATGAACAATAGGCGTTAGGTGAAAGGCTGGAATCTTTGCCTAAACTTATACGATCAGAATCGCGTAACGGCATCCCAATATGTTCTACTGATTGCTGAATTCGTTGCATTACTAAATCGAGTAAACATTCGACTGCTTTTTCAACGTTCGTTGATGTACAAGCTGACGTTTCGAAGTATGGTAAACTAAATTCAATAGTTCAAAGAAATCAGTCATAATCTGTAAAAAAATAATACCCATAAAGTCACCTAATTAAGTTTTTTAAATTTTGCAAAACTGAAATTTTTCATTGCGGAATTTCACTTAGAGTTGTATTCATTGGTTTTCATTGACTTCATCGTTTTTAGAAGACCAACCGCAGTATCTAACTTCAGACTATCGCCCCAGTATATTAGAATATATATGTAAATACGATGTAAATACGGGTCTACCCAAGCTGATCAGCCAGTTGTTTGGCTCGTGTTGTACTAACTTGTCTTCGATTTTCAAGATCTGATTTGTTGCCACAAATGATAATATCTGGTGTTTCACAGTAAGCATGTACCTGGAAATTGATAAATAGAATTGCGAATACGATCATCATTTTCTAAAGGGGAAATTTTTTAACCGTGTTATTAAGCTGTAGAAGAGTCTTGGTAGAACAGATTTTAATGAATAGCAAAGATGTATGAGAAGGAAGAATATCTATAAACATTGAACAAAATGATCCAAATAACCGAAAAATAACCTATAGCCAAAAATTGGCAAAAAATGGCAAATGGCATGATGTTGCAAAACATGGATTGTAAATTAAGATGAACAAAATTTTTTTATTTTTGCTCTGATGATGAAGGGGTGCAATTTCGTTTTTTCTCAAGTGAAACAAAAAATCGGGTCATGGCGGAGATGGGAAAATCACCTTAAGCTGTGATAGCCAATCTCGAATATTTAGAAATGATTGTTCATTAGTTATATCAAATATCAATATAAATCCCATTGCATCACGGAAAAATGCGGTTGTGAGACTTCGAAATCTGTAATTTTCTTCTGTAATATTTATCTAATTAATTAACTTTATGGTTTCAATTCAACTTTATAAAAATTTACACTCATCATGAAGTCGAAAATTTTTGATCTAAGAAATTTGAATAATAATTAAATAAATAATTGAGCTTTTATAGACTAGGTGGATCATCTGGTTTTCATTCTTATTAAAGATCATAAGCCATACTGTTTGATTGTTTGGCCGTTGCTTATAACATTAATATAATGTGATAAATGATAAGACCTTTCTTGTCCAGCAGTATCCCATAATTGTAGGAGAACACGTTGGCCTCGACTACTGAATCCACTTCGCCCACTTTTATACACCTAAAGAAAGTAAGTTTTTCTTCTTTAAATTTTTTTCTTAATTTTCTCATAAACTATAAAAAAAATTTAAAAAGTGACTGCGGATTTTGGATTAACCGAGAGAACGTCGTCAAACCTTATCTCATTTGCAGGCAGTGCAACTATTCATATATTTGAAAGAGCTGAAATTTTTAGTTAAAAATTTTCTTTCTCGCTGAAATATCCAGAAAATAAGAGTGAATTTAAGAAGTCATTTAATTCCTTAATTTAATTAATTTAGATAATTAATTAACTGAATAAATAAGAAAATATTAAAATGAAGAAACAATATATGAAATAAAAATAGCAAAAAAATATTTTACTTACTACTTTTTTCTCCTTAAAATCGATTCCGACTGTTGATATGAATTGTCCAGTAAATGTGTTATCAGTATAACGATGCTGGAAGTACTTTCTTATCAATATAATGGTGAGTAGTATGAGTAGTATTCACAACTCGATTTCAATTTATTTTCTTTAATTCTCAAAGGTCATTGGAGCGAGCCTAATTAGGAATGACAATTTTGTGGCCATCCATATTGCAAAGTTGATAAATTAACTACAAAGAAATTGACTTCCTAAAAGAAGAAAAGAATAGACAACTAAAAGCAATAATTTAAAATTTGCAAGCTAACAAAGCAGCATCAACATGCAAATATTTATCTGATTTTTTCATTATTAATAAATGAATATTATGAGTAAAAATTTTGTTATCACGAAACATAATTTGAATTTTTAATTAAATATAATATAAATAAATAAAATCAGAAAAAAATTCAAAGAAAAGCTCCCGTAAAGTTCACATTTTTTAGCGTAAAAGTTCGCATAAATTGAATCTCAATATAGATATAAATATTATCAATAAATATAATGAATTTGATTTGTTTGTAAAATTTTTTTAAAAACACTAAACATTTCTAATAAGGATCGCTCCCGGCTTATTTGGTAAAATTTGCTACGAAACCACTTGGCGATAGAAAGGCAAGTGAGTCACCAGCATCACTCAGAGTTTTTGAAAGACACGTTTGCTCCTGCTAAATGTGGAATTCTAACGTTTCGAAAAAAAGATCCATTGAACCATTTTATCTTATTTGGAAAAGATCATTACTTATGTATATTGTCATTTTCCGCATCAGTTTTACTACCTTTAATAGTAATTAAAATTCATTAAATAGCAAGATTTTTGCAAAATTCTTTTTATCCTTTATTTTAATTTTAAAATTACATAAAACTGTACAAATTATACTATATTATATTTATTATATTTTATTATTATTATATTATTATATTATATTATTATTAAATTAAACTGTACAAAAATTGTAAAAATTTATAGGTGTAAAAAGAAAAGCAAAGAGGCTGATAATGTAATTAATTAATTAATTAATTTTAATTTTATTTAATTAATATTGATATATTAATATTTATTTAAATTACTCATATTGTTTTCAAAAATTGAATTTGCTTTTAAATAAGTTGAATATATTTTTAATTATCAAAAAAGAAAAATTAGAAAATTCTAATTCGAAATTCGATTTTTTAATGAAATTTTTCGATTAAAAACAAGCTACACTCGAAAATAAATATTCCCAACTAAAATAAAAATAATGGAATATATAATTTTAATGGTTTTTATGTTAAGGAACGGATCTTTAGAACTGTTCGGAGCTCTATAAAATGGCAAATAAATGGATTTCCTTTTTATAAAACGGCTCACTAGTTAGACACACTCGTGCTTGTTGGGCAAATTTTGCCAGGGAATCACTTGGTAGCGAATCGCCAGCATCACCAAAAATAAATGAATTGTGTTCGTGAAAAACAATAAGAAAATAAAGATTATGCTCATCATTTATTAAAGCGCCCACAAAATATTGAATATCGTTTCAATTAGTTTATGGAAAGGGAGAAAAAAAAGGAAAAGATGAGTTCTTTTCGATTAAGATCGATCGCCATGGATACGAATTCTATTTCTGGACGAGAGGAAATCTGCCATATTTTAAGTAAAATATAAGAGTAGTGCAGAAGGCTCACCTAGAATTCTATCCTTAATGTTTCTCCGATTCCCCGGTGAAAATTTTTCTCACCACAGATATTTATAATAATTAATGTTTATGTTTGTCCGTACTAATACGATCTAATCTGGCAACTATGGTCAGTAAAGCGAGAAATGATGAATATTTTCTTATTACTGTTAAATAGAAAATAGTTATTACTGTTTCTTATTACTGTTAAACAGGAAACAGGAAATACAATGGTTCTTATATTAATACGCCAAGTGGGATCAATTACAAAAAAAAGAATAAAGGAAATTCATTCTAATACGTGATAATACGTGTTTGCAATATTACTGGAACAAAGCACTAATTAATTCGTTATCGAATGAGGAAGTGACAAACTTTAAATATCCTAGGTCCGCTCTTCTAGCAAATGGCTAGGAGAAATAATTTAGCCCACAGTTGCAGGTGGAATTGTTTTCTCTCGCTTTACGAAATCTTTTAAGAACCACTGTGAGATCAACGTTGCAACGAAAGTCTTCTAAGTCACCATCCTGTTATATGACTGCCACACGATTGCACCGATGTTCACCTGAACACCAGCTGCATTAATTAATAATGTCACAGAGCACCATCTATACAAGCGACATTATTTGCCGTCTATCAGGAGAAATGACCCATATCTTGAATGATGAATAATGCCAAAAGCGAGGAAAACCAATCATAACTTGGACTAATACGATTAGGAGAGATTTTAATTGATGGATTATAACTCAATGATATATATGGCTTTAGTTAGCGAAAAAGTAGTGGCTTCTGCTAGTTGCTGATATGGCAATGGATTTAAAGACATAAAAGTACCTTATCTTTATAATGTAATCAGTAATGGTGATAGCTCTTCGTAGAAGAAAAAATAGTTGTATGAATCGATAATGATAATAAAATCATTGAAAAATAGTGATAAAATGTTGTTATAATATAATAAAAATGGTTAATGTTTATTTCTGTTGGTGATTAAAATATAATATTTCTTAAAATATAGCAAATATATGGGAAAGATATTGAATAAATTAATATTTTGCGAAAAATTGCGATTAATCAATCAACCACGAAAATAGAAAAATAATTAAATTTTTTGATACCCTAAGTTCGCTTTTTTTGTAAAGCGGCCATCATTTTTCCTAGTCTCCTAGACTCGTTCCGCTGGATCTCGCCAGGAACAAGCGATATCACCAGCATCATCCGTGCTTATATACATTTTATGATTTATAAAAAAGAACGGAAAAGTTGGAAAAAAACGAAAAAATTGGGAAAAGAAATATTTTTTAGAATTTAGAAAAAAAAGTGAATGAACTAGTAGTGAAAGTACTAACCAAGAATGAAGTTTTCCCAACACCAGAATCGCCTAAGGCAAGAAATTTTATGAGATAATCATAGTCGCACATGTCCAGTCTATCTCGAACTATAAATGGTTACTTATTATTGATTGTCGCTTCAGTTGCTTTCATGGATTTTATGCCAGCAAATGGGCGTATTTCTCTTATGGAACGAAATGAAGAAAGGCATTATAAACGGCATTTTTCATAATTATAACATTTAGTTTTTTATTATTCTTAGAAATAATTTATTTGAAATTTCGACTGAATTCGATCATTTATCGTATGGTTTGTCGCTTCGCTATATCGACAACGAGAAAGTATATATTTAATTATCGTTCATCGATGGAAATCGTTACTAAAAAAAGAAATAACTCGATGAGGAACAACGGTGTCGTCTATGATCCAATGAAGTGGACTTCTGGCAATTGAGAAGAGTTACAAAGTTTATGGAAAATAAAATTTGGAACTGACTAAATCATCATGTGGTTTTGTATCTTCAAAAATAAGACACAAAAGCTTCAGATTCATGAGAAAAAAACCTCATTTCTAAATCTCATAAGCTCTACTTGATAGCATTTATCATTTGGTTCTTACTGATAAGGCATATTCCAGTGGCTAAATTTTTGCTACTTTTTCATAAAAGGCTTATTCCTCATTAGGAGGAATTTTTGCTGCCTGAGATTTGAATTTGATCGATGATCATTTATTTGATTTCCCATCATTATTTAGGTGTTTGTTTAAGACCTTTTTAATTTTAATTTTTAATTGTTTTGCAATTCAATTTTTTTATCGACAAGAATCTTATTTTCCTGATTTTTCTTTGCAAACGATTTCAATTTTAATCTAATTTTTTGGCAAATAAAATAAACAAATTAGGCTTTTTCCTAAGTTTATAGTTTTAAATTCGAAATAATGCGATTAAAAAAAAGGAAATTTTTGAAAAATTTTTGACGATTAATTAGCATTCAGAGAATGCATTCATTCCTGGGAAAAAACAAATTAAAATTAGTTGAAGTAATTCGCCAATCAAATCGATTTAAAAATAAAAATGTAAAATCCTTATAAATTCATTAGTAAAATGATGGGCAAAATTGTAAAACTGAGTAAACACTTTGGTTTTTTGTTAAAACCAATTGTCTTCTCCTAAATGGTGAAAGCTCAAAAGGCTTGAGACTTGGGTTCAAATTCGCCGACGCACTATTTGTCTGGCGCCACTGTCGCCTAACGTATAAAAGCGATGGATATTAAGATTGCTCAGTGGAATATTGTTCAATTCGGAGTACCGATTTTGAGGTTCTACTCCCGGTATGAGTAAATCTGTCCAAAAGTATCGGGGAAAAATCGGGAAAAATTGGTACTTCTATCGTCAAGGGACTCGCTGGTGTGGGACTAGTACCACAAACCAGCAGAACAAATCTAACTGGTAATGTTAATACTCTTTATAAAAAAATAACAAGAGGATTTGAATACTGATGCACTATTTTGATACCAAATCTTTACAATTTCTCTTCACTATTCCTATTTTGAGTTATTCCTCTCTGCTTTGATTGATACACTATCTATTTTTTTTTAAAGAGTTTTCACTATTAGTGGTTAAACTCGCTCCACTGGCTTGTCGCATTGGGCTATGTCAGGAAGTCCTTTAGCGATAGAAATACAGATGAGTCGACAGTAACATTTTAGCATAATGATTCGTCTTAAGACGATAATTTATGGAGGTTTAAGGAAAGAAACTTATAGCATATGCTAAAATGTTAATTTAAAACGGTACTAAATATTTGAACTGTTGATAGTAAAACTCGAATATCAGAGATATATTTATTTAACATTCAGAAAAAACTCGATATGGACAGGGTGATGAAGAACCAAAATTATATGGTCTCAGTGCAAAACAATTTTAAAAAAAATTAGAACAGAAAAATATAAAAGTTTTGGCATTCCAGCCATTAAATGGTGGGCTCAGAAAATTTCAGAGAAAATGGCTCAATGGGTTGTTGACGAATTCGCAGCTCCAATTCTATTCTCCGCAGGAGTAAACCTAGTCAAAATGCGGGTGGTATTGGCGATTCATCTTTACTTCTATCGCCAAAGGAATCCCTGGCATATTTGTCTAGTGCGATAAACCAGCGGAATGAGTAGAATTTGACCAGTCTAATCAATAATGGTGTGTTCTTCAAAAAAAAATATATATATATATATAATGGCATGCCATAATGCACATGCTATAAATGGAGATATATTGGAGATGCCATAAATTTGGTGAAAGGATTTGCAAAAGGGATAAGAGCATGAATTGGAAGCTAGAAAGGGAACTTTTAAATCCATATATTTGCAATCATATATTCTCTTGCTGCAGGTAAATGCACACTTCAAATTACACTTAGTTAGTGGTCTTGCAGTCATTTTTTTCACCAGCTGAGAACCTCTACACTTAGGCTTAAACTTTCTTTTTCGACATTTTTTCGAATTTTATTTCTAAGCTCAAAGAAAAAAATATGGATAAGGTAGCTGCTGAATTGTATCAACTATGTAAACAAGCTTAACAAATCTTAAAAGGATAAGGAAAGAAATTATATTACTTAATTCTTCGTCAGTAATATAATTTAATTTATGAGAATAAATTTCTTTCTCCAACGATTGCAATACTCTTGCAATCCTTTTAATTCCGACAAGTGAAAAGTCAAGAAGCCAAGCCCCACTCCATCCTTCCAATATAATTAAATATTCACTTTCCTGGCCATAAAATGTATTTAGCGAAAAAATGTAAAAAATACTTTATTTGATAAAAAGCAAGAAACCTAGATTTTTTTCATTTATAAAAAATGAATGGTTAGGAAACAAATAAAAAATTCAGTGTTTAGCAGTGGCTTCATCCATTTTAAGTTTTTTCCATCTATTTTAATTTTTTACATTAAAAAATTTAACTATTATCAAAAAAATATCATTTATCAATACAATTTGCAAGAATTATAAAATCTTCTCTGATACAAAAATTTTTGCTTAGTTGATTTCTTAGCGGATTAAAAGAACCAATTGCATAATCAAGAAAGCATCATAAAGAGCGTAAATAAGAAAACATATGAAAAAAAATTGATAAAATGGAGTAACTGATAAAAAAAATTGATGAATTCATCATTCTTAGCTAAGCATTTCTCATTTCAGCGTCCTCTTCTTCCTCATTCAACGGTTTAACTCTAAAATTCAAAATTTGTTACAAATATTGCAAATGAAAGATTTATCGATAATGAACAAGAAATTTGATGTTCCAAAAAAAGCTTATCCATATCCATGAAAAATAGAAAATTTTAATAAAATTATTTCAAAGCAGAAAAAGGCGTGGAAATAAAACTTACATGTAATAGATAACTTTGCCGTTATAATACTGCGCTGGCTTTGGGCTCCAATGTATTTGAAAGACCATATTCGTTATTTCTTGTTGCGATTTGAGTATTGGCCAAACCAATTCTTCATTTTCTTCTTCAGGAAATGCCTAAATATAAAATTTTATCGGTTCAAAAACAGAATTTAACTATAAAGCCTCTTGATAAATTTTTGTATTTTATCACCTTTTACATCTAACTTACAATTACTCACATACCACTGATAACTTTTATATAAACCATCATTATTTCTTTACTACCAAATTTGGAACGATTTCACCTTCCTTTTTTCTTTTCCGTCCTTAGAACTTTTATTATATAAAAGATAAACTTGCACACTAACAGGTGATAAATAAATTGTGTTGTTATAGCCATGAATTTTTTGTAGGTCTCCGATAAGTATTTGCAATGGATGTTCACACAAACTTGGCAAAAAAATATCGTCCGAACTCAGCAGTGAGCTATCATATGGGTGCACACGTCGAACAACTATAGGAAGTTTATTTACCGTATCACCAATTGCTGAATTAAAAAATAATGAATAAATCTTATACCATTCATTACACCATTGCATAAAAAAATTTAAATTTGATTTCAAATATAGGCGAATTCTGCATGCAAGATTGACTAGAATTAAATAATAAACAGTCAATATTCAATTTTAATTGGGCTTGCTCCACTGAATGTTAAAGGTTCACCACAAGGACCGCAAGCAATCCCCAGCACCACTTAGCAGATTTATTCCTACAGCTTTACAAAAAAAATGGGCTTTTAAAAAAATATTTCTATGTAAAATTCAGCTTAGTGAATCAGAGATTATTAAATCTTATCTCCAATTTCCAAATAATCGTCATGAAAATTATAGCTCAAATAACCAAATTGAAGATAAAGACGGCTACGCCACGGATTGTCTCTATGGTCAATGCACACTTGAGGCAATAACCTTCTCATTCCACGTTTTGTTAATTCACGCACGACCACATGCCTGGAAAAAATAATAATTTTATTTGACATATTATGCCAATCTACTCTATATAAAGTTAACTCTATTATAGCCAAAAACTAATGAATTTCCGTGAATTTTACGCAGAATTATATAGCGAAAATTCCAAAATCACATATACTAAGCAATTTTTTTTTTAAATTTCTGTCTAAAATAAAATATGACTAACGCAGAATTATCCAAACTACTTTTTAAATATTCCAAACATTTCTTTACAATTTCCTCAATTTTATTGAAGCATTTAACTCGAATATAGAATAAATGTCTGCACTTTGTAATCTGAAATTGTTTCATATTTACAAGCGACGAGTCGAATTTCAATCGAATTTTTTTATTTTTATCATTGATTAACTTAATGCCTATAATACTTACTGGTGATACGCTATTTATATATTCATATATTGCAATTGGAGCTTCATTTGACGATGCTTGTAAAAATGCGTAAATCTAAAAAAAAGGAATTGTTTAATTTTAATTTAAAATAAATCTCAGGCAAAGAAGTCCATGTTCTAAGTAATGAAAATTGAATGAAAATTCATTTCAAGCAATGAACAGCCCAAATATTGAAAAAAGTTATCTTACGCTCGACAAGAGAAAATTCACCTTTAGAAAATCCAGGTGACTCTTATACCACTAAGTTTTTTCCTTCCTAACCGTACAAATAGCCAGTTTATAAATAAATCTAATAAAAATCTAGCCTTATCAGAAATAATGAAGGCTTAATCACTTATTTTGCTGTTTTATGATAATGTAGCCTGATGAAAGGTTAATAAATTTTAAAGATTTTCATGAAAAACTTTTCCAAATTTCCGACAACCTTATCAACTTTATTATCAAATATTTCGCTAGCAATCTTGTTCGGTTCATATTTTAGCAGCGTTGCCAGACCGTTTGCATAAATATTTATAAAGTGTAATAATTTCAAGCTAACACCAAGCAAACATGCCATATGCCTTCTAAATATTTCGAAACCGTAATTTTCATGAAGGCTAATTTCAATTTCTGCAAAAAAATTTCATGGAAAAAACTTAAATATTAAAATTATAATATAAAAAATTGCAAAACACATCAAAATCTGCAATAGTTCACGGAGAGTTTCACGCGCCTTACAAAGCGACTAGGAATATCTAACCTCTTTGCTCTTCAAAGAATTTCGTAATTAAGAAGCAGCAATATTCTTCTGGTTCCCCCCACGATGAATCGAACTAAATTAGCGAAAATCAAATGAAAGTTGGAAATTTTGAGCATAAAGCCTCTCCATTTCACAAAAACTACATGGAATTATTCAAAATGAATTCAGATTAAAATTCATAATTATTGAAAATTTACAGACAATTTTTTCATGGGAAAAACAAAGTAATAAATTTTTTTCACTATAAAATTTCTGAAAAATAAAAAATACCGTATCTCTGCTAACAAAATCTTTAAGCGTAGCTAACTTCTTCAAAAAATTTCTGTCTATTCTGTCCCAAAAATACATTTCTGATAAATTAACACATTCATAGTCCGCTAAATAAATTTCATTAATAGCAGAAAAATCTTTCATATGCACTAAAAATCAGAAACTTTCTATAAAATTCGAAAAACTTACTCCTACTGGGCATTACAATTCGAATCTTTAAGAAACGAGCAGTACGACACAAATCGGCAAACATTGCCGAATCGACGAAACTTCTTTTTCGATCTTCGGAATCATTGTCAACAATGATCTAAAAAACATCCTTCAAATCTATTCTTAAGCTTCAAACTAATTTATTCTTATCATTAAAAGACACTTCTTCAAATTGATTTCAATTAATAAGCGAAATCTTTTTAAAAGTTCCAAGAATTATCCAAGAATAAGAATTTAGACTTACATTAACCGATCGAATATCATAATATTCATTTTTTACAACTTTAATTTAGAAATAAGAAAGATACTTTAAATGGCATTTTTCTTCTCTTGCTTGATGAAGGAAATTCGAGAATGTTTAAGAATTTTTTCAACGAAGTATTATCGTCCCATGGAATCAGTATTGGCACATGCAAAAATTCATTCACACTTATCGCCATACGCATTTCATTCGGATGCTCTTCTATCATCAACTAAAATTTTTTATCATACAAATAAAAAAAATGATAAAAAATGAGAAAATATAAAATCAACCAAATAAGCTCAATTCCGGGAAATAGCCCGAAGGTTTCTTAAATCACACAATGATCAGCCAGATTTCCGTCCATTGACGGTAACCTATTAACAAATTTGAAATCCAGACGAGAATCCACCTCTGCGTTTATCCTCAGGCTTTAATTAACCAGCCAAATAAGAGGTGAATGCTTTTAAAATAACGGCATAATCTTATAACTGTTTGGGAATACTTCACCAACTTTCATAGCTTTATAGTATTCAGCCACAGAGAGGCAAAACTCTAAAAACAATTATACGATGATAAATTATATGAAAAGTTAAGCCATATCAAGAATTATAAAATAAAAATTACCGCTGTCAAAAGCTGTTTGAACGACGTTAAACTATCCTTACGGCTGATCTGTAAGCGATATATTGAATCGCTAACAGACCGACTACAATAATCGTATTGAAAAATTATCACGGTTATACAACTATCCGTATCGAACACATCATAGAAATAAGGAAGAACACCTGGCTTCTGATCCAATAAAATAGAGTTGAATTCGTCAATAAGTACTTCTTTGATTAATTTCTACAATAAGAATGATAGATTTCGAATTTAATCTTTGAAAAAAAATATTAAAACTTTTATTAAAAGAATTGATGATAAATAAGAAATATAATAAACCAAAAGAAAGCACTAAACAAACTAGGGCACCCACCACAGGAATTGATTTTTTTATGATTTCTTTATTTGTTAAACGCTGTGATGGATGGCGTCAAAAGCGAGGTGAGCTAATCAAAACCTGGTCTGGACCGGCCATGAAAGGAAAGATTTTGAATGTATAGGTGATCCAGCAATATAAACGTTGTAAAAAGGAATGGTTTCTATTAATGTTAGAGATCGCATCGGATCGAACAGCTTGGAAACAGCCTTATCCCTTGTAACCAGAAGAATCGGCCTGACTAGCAATGGCAAGAGCTGTTTGGAGAAGATTGAACTAAATTCTAAATTCTTATTCTAAATTCTCTAAAATTATTTGAAATTTTTAAAAATTTTTAAAAATTACCGGTAAAATTTCAGGCATATCATAAAACCCAGAAATATTTTCGCCATTCATTTTCAAAAATCTATAGTTATTTAATTCAATATAATTAAGTTGTTCAATACCGGCTGCTTGAATGGCATGATCCACACTAATATAAAACAGTCTATACATGGAATCATGAGAAAAAAAAATGTCTGAATAAAAACTGCATTTACTGCCGCTAAATTGTATTAGAACCTGGAAAAAAAAGCAATTTATCGGTTCAATTTAACAATTTGCATTAAAAAATTCCTTCCTCGTCCTCTGTGGGTGGAAGAATCACCGTCAACCAATCAACGGATCTTCCACCAGAGACCTTCTTATAGTGTTATTTCTTTAGATATATCGTCACCGAAAAGTTGTTTGCATTTTGAGATACCTCCATCGCTCGTTGTCACCATTTAAATACCTTAGAGGCAGAAAATTTTCAAGTTAAATTCTCAATGAGAATTTCACAAAGTGTATCGAAATATATCGATAAAAAGAACATAAACTGATGATACTTAATTTTAAAACTAATATTTAATTAATTTATAAAAACCATGAACAAAAATGAACTTATTCACATACTTGACTTAATTCCACAATTTCATAAACTCTTTTTCCTAAATCTGCTCGCGGTTCGCTTGGCTCAGACATATGAATTCCACTCTCAATTCTAGGAGGTGCTTTTTTAACAGCTACACTGCGTTTTCTTTTCTAAATAATGCAAATAAAAATGATGAAAACAATATTTGATAGCAATGCATAATAGGCCTAATAACGCATGAAGTCATAACTTCTTTATATGTGCTACGGTTTACTCGAACAACTGGGATGGCTTATGATGTGGCCAATGCGCAATTGATGTGCAATCTTAAAAGATAACATTATTAATAATACGTTGCAACCTACTGCATCCATAAGAGCTGCATAGTAGATCGAAAATGTGCAATATTTAATTTGGTGTTCATGTTTATCTAACCTAAATCTTGTAATAATAATGGATGATACTATTAATTCAAGTCCATGACTATATGCTCAGGTTGATCCTTGTTTAAATAAACGTAATAAAGAATATTCTTGAAAACCAACATATAAAGTAAATGGAAATCCTGATAAAAGGAAAAAGAATGAATAAACCATTAAGAGAATATTGTAAGTATTGTAAGTAGCATCGTCGTGATAAAAAGATCGACCCTATGAAGGAGGTAGAATATTTTAAAACCTTGGCAAATCTGATATTTCCTTAAAACCTATTTTATTTCCGTAATAACTATGTTGTAACGTTTTCATGTTCGCTAGTTCTTGTGATTTTCTCAGCCAATACTACGATACCCCATCCATAATGATACGACCTTTTTGTTAATTTATGACTGCGGTTGTGGCTATAGGCCTGATAAAATCGTAAAATGGGAATGTATGGGCAGCAAAGCTTGACAGAATTGAAATTGGCAGGCTCAAAGTAATTCCATTAATATATTATAAAGAATTGAGGGTATTTTATGGAATTTGGGTGCTATGCAATATGGCGTATTGATGAGAATTATAAGAGGATAGTAAAAGTGAAAGTGCAATGTATAATCGAGATGTGTCTAACTTTACTGTTATTTCCTAATTTGAAAAAATTTTTTTATCATTATGTATGAGTCAACATCAAGAATTAATATATTAAAACTATCGCCAGAATGGGAAAATAATTAAATACGACTCGACTCGATACAATGTGATAGGCTACCAATGCGGTATTAATTTAGTATCAGGCCGAAGAATACTATGCGTCTTCTAGCTGCAGTGTGATTTAATAGAAAGAAGCATTCCGGCTTGAAAGGAGGGTATTGATGGTACACAGAAGTCTCTAAGAAGTTTATCGATCAAAGAACCATAATGTCAGTTAAAGGATTTCCTAAGAGATTGAAATCATATGGGAAGTTTTTTTTGGTGAAATGACAGCAAGGTTTGATGGATCAACAAGATCATTAAAAACATCGGGGTTCCCAGGATTCCACAGTATAAAAAGAATGCAGCAGATTGCTATATAAAAAACACTTATTAAATAATAAGTGTTTTTAAATTATGTGTTTTTAAATTTAAATAATAAATTAAATTTAATAAATTATTATGCAGGTACTCACTTCAAACCCTTCCGCCACTATTTTTGTGAGTCGGTCGATTTCACCAATAACATAAGGTTGCAAGCCATCATCAGGAAGAAACAAATTTTCTGGACTAGCATCATCAACCTAGAACAAACATTAGCAAATAATTGATCTTTAAAGAAATCTTTAGAGAAATTTGGAAGTCCTTGGTTCAATTTTATTTCCTCTCAGCATTCTAATTATTATTGGTTTTGGAAACAAGCGATATTTATGCGATATTTATGTTATATACCTTTCTGAACATAACCATGCAAACAGATTCTAGAAATTCAGGTTTTATGAAAAGTTCGGTGATTTCTACGGGTTTTTTTTCGCAGACATTAACGTCATCGAAACTGTACCATCTCGATTTACTCAGATCTCTAACATTATAAAAAAATTATTTGTTACATTATAATTAAATAAATGAAAAAAAAAAGGTTATTGAGCATCTCGATTAGTTGAGTTTCGCTAATTGTTACGGCTAAAACTTTTTGCCAGAAACTTTTTGCTTTAACGATAGAAATACAAGTGGATCGTTAGCACCACCAAAATTTTCCAAGTACCATTGTGGAATCAATGAATAATTAGAAACTAAATCAGTATCATTTCAGTATCACTATAGCCTCACTTACTTGCAATACGCTTTATAATGTCCACTTCTCGCAGAAGCACCAACATGAACTATTGCAGCATATAAATGATATTTATACTTTCCTTCAATGCTCTAATTTATTGAAAAAAAGTTATTAAAATATTTAAAATTCATAAGGAATTTGCCAGGAAAATCAAAAACCAATTTTTGAATGAATTTATCAGATTTCAGGCTTATCAGATATCGAAGAATAAGTAATGGTAAAATGAAATAATAGGTGTTACTGTTGCAACTCTTGTTTTGCGAACTCTACTGTCTCAATTCACTCATTCTTATCACTCTTATCTTATCACTCTTCACTTTCGACTAAATGTCAAAAAAATTTTCATCAAGAAAAAATGAATGAAAAATAGGTACTTGCTTCCTTAGGTATCGTCCTGAAAAGATTCTATTGCATCAGTTTTGAAAAATTTATTCAATTTGTCATGTAAAAATAATTAACATTTGTAAAAATTTACATAAAAATATTTTTTTAAATATTTTCTTGAATCGCTTAAAATATTCTCCTTAATGGAAGAATAAAATCTGCCTAAAAAACAAAAAAGCTAACAAAAAAAAAAAGCTAACTCTGATTCTGACGCATCGTAAGTCCATTTATCCAATATAAGCTCCCGCTGAACATAAACTCTGTAAAAAGGTAAGTATATATTAAATGAATTTTTTAATTTTTCTCAAATTTAGCCAATAATTTGCGCAATTCGTTTATTTTCATGCAACGTACGCTTGATTCTAAAGATTGATAGCAACAATACATGGCAAAAAATAATCTGCTAGCAGTTGTACGACGTGAAGACAGAATTTATTTTCAAAGTGTTGCTACTTTTCTGATATTTTCTCAAAGCTCGTTTTTATGTCCCCTTAAATCGTGCCAAACCTTTATATTTCTTCAGCTATTATGGTACTATATATAAGCTTACAATTTATAACTCAGCAAGATTTGTGCACTGCGAGATTAAGGAAATAATATAATGTGGATGGATGAGAATCAACACTGAATTTGGTAGGATTTAAGTAAATGAATTGAATTTAAGTGAACTGAAGTGATATTACTAATGGACAACAGAGTCTCAGATACTGAAGAAATTTCTAATGGACTTTGCGAGGATCTTCTAAAAATGCATAAGAATATGTCAAAATGATGCAGGCCAGCAGTCTGCAGTCATTTAGCTGGTTTTTAGAGAGTATCGATGCGTTTCAATAAAAAAGTATAAAAGGTTTTGATAACATCATAGGATACCATAGCTGGATCTGGCGGATTCAATATGAATTTTACCAGAAGAATAAGGCGCAATTCCACTGAACTTTAAGATGAAGAATATAGTCTTGTTTGAAAGTTATAAAAGATTCTGAGAAGAATCAAAAGTTGGTGAATCATGGTTGGACTTGAAAGTTATATGTGCCCAAGAGAGATGTATGAACTATGCGAAAGATGAGGGTCGGAAGAATTTTAAGGGCAGTAATTATATTAAGGAAGGTATTAAGATAATTTTCGATGAGAACTGAGGAAGTTTCGTAATTTAACAGATCATTAAGAAAATAAATATATTTTTTCCAGGCACAAAAGCACATTTACATAGCGAATTATTATGGAATAAAAATTTACTTCAAACGATTCTTTTGTGCGCCAACTTGCCCAGCCAAAGATCTTTTTAAATAAATACATAAAATTTGTGGATAATCTTGAAATCGATATGTCTGCAAATTGCAATGGCAGGTTGAAATTTATTTAATATTTATATTTATAATTCTCAAAAATAATATAATTATACTAATGGTTTTAGTGACTGTTACTAGCCCAATAAGTTGCTATCTGGTAAAAATTCTTCTCCGCCTTTGAATAATTTTTCTAACGAGTCTAATCAGAAATTACAATAGAACTGAAGGGTGAGTGGTGAATTTCATGCTTACAATATAAAAATAGCTGAGGAATATGTAAAGCCTTAGACCAATTTTAACTCGAATAAAAATAAGAATAATATTTCGATTGAGGGCATTCTATTTTCGAAACTTGGATCTAAAATTATAATCAGCTTAAAGAGACCTCTTATCCTAGTGGTAAGTGCAGCTAGCCAAACCAGAAATATTGAGTGCATTTGGAATAGATTAAAAAAGAGGACATTGGCGACCTTGACGACTACTCTATGCCATATGCCATATAATAGTAATATTTGGATTATTGATAAACCTAGGACATTTAGTAGAATTTTAAGTGGAATTTACTTTAATCGCATCCCGTTTTTGCTTGCATTTTTCACAATTATACGAATTGCTATCAGTTAATGCTTCAGGAGAACAAAAATTGTCGAGCAAATTGTCCTATAATAGTAAATTTAATACATAGTGATAATGTGATAAGAGATAAGCAAAAAAAATCTCCAAAATTCAAGCAAAATAAAATTTTTCCCAGTATTTATTCCTTAATTTATTTTTTTTCCAGAAAATAAACTTACAATTGTTAATATTTGTTGTTTAGATTCTAATGGAAGTGATAAAGAAAGTATAGTATAATCTTCACATATAGAATTTGCATGCTGACAAGTCAAACATTTTATTGTACTTATGCATTGCCTCCTAAAATTTTTAAAGAAAAAATGAAAATTTCATCCATTTTTTGTTAGCGATATTTTGCGGTGAAAAAAATAATACAAAACAGTATTTTGAAATCCAATTTGTAACGCATAATTGTAAATAAATATATTTAAGAAGTAATAAAATATGAAAACATAAATAAATGAATGTAATGCGATGTGAATAAATATAATATACTAGCAGCGAGCATTGCGCCCGGCACACGAATAATTATAGCGATTTAGGCTGAGAACTATTCATTGCATCGGCACCACTTCGGCATTTCTGATAAACCATATATAATCACCAATGTCACTTCCAAGATCAATTAGTTCGAATTCCAATAAGTGATCAGGTGCATTACGTCGGATTCGATGGCAAATATCTCATTTTCCAATGTCTACGGTCACGGTTTTATGCATGGTATTAGATTTAGAAGTTTGAAGACGCCTTATCTAGCCTAGCAGCCAGTTAAACCAGCCAAAAAATTTTATTGGAGGTGTTGCAATTTTAGACGATAAAAAATGCTATAAACTAACGAAAAAATGTTTCTAATAGCTCGGTCATGACTAGTACCTTTCCAAATTTCATCTAAAGAATAAAGAAGCATTCCTCCAAATTCCTCGACGTCTTGTTGAGTTCCTTCAAGTAATTTTATAAAAAGCCAGAATTCAGTAATTTTTTCTATGCGAATTATGTTTCGTAATAAAATGTTGTATAATTCTTGTGCATAATATATAATAATGCATAAGGCATAATGCATAATGTATATAATGCCATTTACCAAAAAATAATAAGTAAATAAGCAAGTTATAAAAATTAATTTCATAATTTCATTTATTTTCTTATTATAAGCCATTAAAATTATCAAAATATACCATCGAAATTCCATGGAAAATCTTCTGCAAAAAACAATGGATCTACAAATCCTAAACGAATATGAAGTGCTAGAAATAAATCCTGAAGTGCCTGTGGAAATCGAAATTCCTCCTTTTTATCAATAGGTGTCTGCCATCTAAAAAAAGGTGGATCCGCTAAATATGTAAATATTTAAATCTGTATCAGGATTTTTTGTTGTAAAATTATTTGGAAATTCTTTCAAAAACAAGAAGGATTTGCATCGTTTGAACTGATCAGAGAACTGACTGGGTTTTCGCTAGATTTTCTGCGATTTTCACTGTGGCTCATTTAATTTTACCTTTCTGATCTAACAATTTTTAAAAAAATTGAATTTCAAATAAATTTTCAAACTTTCAGAAAAACAAATATCATAAATAACATACAAAAAAATAAGATTACGAAAGTCGGGTGTCATATAAAGAGCTTGCAGAAACGAATTCATATAGCAAATATTTTTAGTGTTTGAGAGACCAGATGGAGTTCTCTCATCGCGTCTCTGGGCTATTAAGACTTCATAAGCTGGAATAAGCTGATTTAGATTCAGTGAAATAATTTGATATTTGAAATAATTTGACTAATCGTTTATTATCTACTTCAACTTTTCCTAATCACTATATATAAATCATTATGCGACCTAAAATTAACCAGTATTTTCAGATTTGACGGCGCTCATATGAACTAGTCAATGTCGTTTGCATACGACGATAAGCTAGATAAAACCAGTTTAAATATTGGATAACGTGGAATCAACTAAGTTTATTCGAAAAAGTTGTTAATAAAACTGAATCATCTTCAAAAAAAATGAATTACTCGATAGACTTATGCCTGTCCCTTTAACTGCAACGTCAGGTGTAGGAGACTTATGCGTTTGTGGCGTTCCAGGTAAATCCGCTAAATGTATTTTAAAAGTTAAGAAATTACATGCAAAATTTTTTTTTTCAGCTTATCCTTTCTAATAGCGTGAAAAATATAAATATTTTTTGATTTTATAAATTATAACCGTAAATAATATCCCTTGGATAAGTAGTTTCCTCTCCTAATAGTCTTTCAATGTCTTCAATCGCGATATCCTCAATAGGACAGGACGGAGAATATCGCTCAAAAGGTGGAGTTGTAGATGGAGTAACGGCTGAAAGTACTTCTTCGGTTCTCAAATCTTCTTCCATACTTTTATTCTCATCTTTCTTTACATCACCACTATCACCAGTGGTATCGCTTTGCGACTCGACACCTATTATAATAGAATAGTCTTAAATTAGATAAAATTTCATTAAATTTTTTGCAACATCTAGAAATTTTTTTGGAAAAAGCATTGTTAGAAAATTATATTAATTTGAAAAATTATTATTAAAAAACCAGAGCAGAGATAGAATGGTTCAGTCATAATTTTCGAGATGCTGGCGTTACCGACAAGAGTAAGCCTGTCTTTTAAAATTTGAGTAATGCTGGCGATTCACCTATATTTTTATCACCAAATGACTATTTGGCCAAATTTCTCTTTCAGGTGTATTAGGGAGGCCCATTTAACTAGAAATGTTGATCACTCTTAGAAAAAAAATGCTATCAAATTTTGTTCCAGCTGATGCAGAGTTTACAGAGTTCTATTTTTTTTCCCAAGCCAATCCTTTTCCCTTTGACCTTAAAGCGAACTACTAATTTTATGGAATTATTCAAAATCGGCTTTGATAGGAACTATTTGGAAAAATGGAAAATATTGGTAAATGTTTTTATTCATGTTATTACGATCAAAGATATTCTTTATATCCAACAATATGTGAAAACTGAACTGGAAAACTGAAAGGTTTCACTTAAAGGGATTAAAGAAAGAAAAAATGGGATATTGTGGCAGACACTGCGTGGATCGGAAGCATCTCACTCATCATAGAAGTAACCTCATCATAAAACCAAAAATAATGCGCTCTATTCGAAAAAGAAAAGGGAAGGTTAATGAGGAATTATTTAACAAAGGCCTATCTTTATATTTTGGTGAACTCGTTGACGGACCACCATGATTTTCCCGTTTTTTCCCGTCAGGCGCAAGAAACAAGCGATGAAATGACAACCATAGCATATCATTATGCATTTCCATTGAATGTCGAAGAATAAACTTACGGTCCATAATAAAATTTTCTAGGAAGCTTCAAGATGCTATATGTAAATTGGCAATATTCAGTAATTTCACAAAAAGGACTCGAAAAAATGATTAAGCAGTTATCTAAAAGAATAATAAATAAATAATAAAACTGCTAAATCCTTGGCTGAAGCGAATAAATAAAAAAATTTCAGGTTATCAATTATAACAATCCGAATTGCACCTAAGCTATGGCTTAGCAGTCAACCAACAGTTCTCAGTTGGCAGCCATTTTTTATGGCGAAAATTCCAAATAACCAATAAATATCTTCTAAACTTCTTGCTATTTTGCTCATAAATAGTTCTCTTTGACCTATTTAATATCGGTTACTTTCTACAAATATTATAAATACTAAATATTTCACAAATAAGATATTGTCAAAAAATAAAAATACAAATTAATTAAAAATTGTTAATTTACAACATAAACCACTAAGAAAATTTGCTAACAAATTTACTATCGAGATTCCGCCAAATTATTTTTTTTTTTATTTGATCTATATTTTAAAACTTTTACAATAAAAATATAAAAATTGATGAATTCTACAAATAAATTAATAAAAAAAAGGAATTTGTAGAAAAATTGTTCATTTCAAATAATCGCGTATATCGAAATCAAAATGAATAAATTAAAAAATATCGTTAATTTAAGTACCAGTAAATTATCCAAATCGAAGATGGTGAATGCTATTTATTATTCAGTTTTTTTTAATAGCCCTCATCATTACTGGTTAAACTCGCTCCACTGGCTCGTCGCACTGGACAAATATGCCAGGGAGTCCCTTGGCGATAGCAGATGAGTCGTCAACACCACACGGATTTTGGACAGGTTTATTCCTGCAAGGAATAGAACCTCAGCATCGGTACTCAGAATTGAGCAACAACCCACTAAGCCATTCTACCTTCCCAAAAAAATGGTGAATGCTGTTAGTTATTCAGTTATTTCACCTGGTTAGGCTTCCTGGACTTGCTATCTGGATTTTCGCCAAAGCCATTTAGACATTTAGAGATGACTTATCGTGAACTGATTGTTAGATTTCTTAGACAAACTTTGTTTCCTCCAGGTGGTAGTAATTATGCTTGAAATGATACCACTAAGAGATATAGCATCAATTATGCTATTATGCTATAAAAAAATGATGTGTGCCAAGTCGACGAGTACCAATTGCGATTAAATTTTATTTCTACCGAGCAATATTATAGCAAGTCAAAAAAACAAGCCAAAAATTACCAAAAAGACGGTCTAGAAGCGAAATATGAAAAAGACAACGAAGAGATTTTTATTTTTGCCATTACATTTATAGTGGTGCCCCCAATAATAGTGAATTATGTTTTGGCCCTTAAATTTTCACGTATTCGCATATTTAGTGCAGTTTTCAACTTCATTTCTACATATTTCTCTTCTTTTGTCCTCGAAATTCTAGTCTTTTACCACATCTAAATTTTGTCGAATGACGCCATTGAACCCAGGCAAATTTTTAATAATGTTGTTTTACGATTTTAAGTATTTCGAGTTTGATTTGATGAGAACTTATGATAGTTTTGCAGTCCAACAATTTCGATCTACTAAATGCTTTTTAAGTCCGACTGAAAGTGAAGGTCTACTGCTTCTTTCATCTGGCGAAGCGTCTTTGGAATCGATGTCGCTTATGCTGGTTAGGCCATGTTCTTATCGCACATTATGACGCATACCTCGTTATTTACCATGTATTTGCTAACAGCAGAAAGGACCAATCAGGAACTAGCCTGATGAAGCCAAGGGTGATTTCGAAAGCAGGTAAATAAGCGGTTCAACTTATAGGACTTTAAAAATGAAAAAAGGAGCAATTTCAGCCACTTTCAGAATTGTCGATGGAATCAGTGGCGAAAGACCTTAGAAGACTGTTATCATTTGTTTATTTTGGCAATCAACTTAATTTGCCTTGACCTTGGTTGTATAATTCTTTTGCTGTAGAAGACATCTTTCACACATTGTGGTTCCTTATTATTTGACATATGCACACTAATATAAATGTATGATTTCTTATGTTCGACCTCACCAAGTAGCGGTGTATGAGTGGGTTTGTTGAAAGGCAAGGGTTCGGTTTCGAACAACAATGAAAAGTCAAACGATATTCCGGGTGACACTCATTCACCTATAGGATTTCTATTACCACCTTGTTGACAAAATTTCTAATAACGGCAGCGAATTAGCCTAACCAGTACTATTGAATATTAAGTTTTACCTTTTTCTTTCATTTTCTTTTACTTTTTCTTTTATTAAGTTGCTCAATAAAGAACAAAAATAAATAAAAAAATAATTTTCAAACTTTTTAAATGAAAAATATCGCAGAAAAAAGGACAATTATCAAATATTTTTATTTTATTTCCATTTTGATCTCGAGCGGTCTTTTTTACGCATTGTTTGTTTAACATTATTTCTGAGGCTTTCGAGAAGCCTCGACCGTCAATGTGCCGAGTTTTTGCTTTTTTTTAAAAATAAAAACAATAATATAAATACAGAAAAAACAAAAAATAAAATATGTAAAAATCAATTTTGAATTTTTAGTTCTTCTTTTCAGGTTATTTTTTATTTTACCAGTCTTTCCCGCTGAAAAAAATATTTAGGGATTTAGGAATTTCCATCATCTCTCGTACATATTTACTGCTTCGCTTTTCGTATTAGATAAGCCTGATAAAAAATTTTCCTTTTTAGTTTTTTACTATTTCTAAATGAACTGATTTCTTGAAAAATCACTATGTATTCCTTATAATTCTTAAATAAAAAGTTAATGTCATTCTGAACATCCAGAATCAATTTAAAAAATAAATAAACCTAAATAAACCAACGAAAGAAACGAAATTCAAACCTAAGCCTAAGACTTAAATCGACAAGCATTTATTTTTCGGGAAAAAATTTAACTGTAAAAAATTTAAAAAGTTCTCTAAACTATGATTACTACTTAAAATCTTAGGCCATATTTCAATTACTATCTTCATTATACTTCAATAACCCAATTTTATAAATACTTTATGAAACACCTTGTGAACTATTCCTTATGCCTTTCACTGCAAAATTTTTTGATATTTTTTTTCAAATTTATTAAATTGAAATTTGCAAATACAATGCAAAGTTTTAGGTAAAACATAAAAAACAAAAAATAACTTCCATTTATGACCAACTATAATAAATCTTTTAAGTAGTAATTAGTTATCCAAAACAGCTCGAGCCATTTTAAATCGTGAAATACGTTTGGGTTGATTATCAGATAGATTGGTGGTGGATAATTTTTGACAAATTTCCGTATTTGCAACTTGATCTTCTGGTGAAAGATGCTCTTGTATAACACCCGTGAATGCCTAAACTTTGTGATAATTTGTCTCATATCAAATGTTAATAAGAAGTTTTTGTGAAATAAAAACTAGTATAAAGCAAATCTCTATAATAATAAAATGTAAATCAAGAAAAAAATTTGGTTCATACTTATCAAAAATCTTTTACTTTTTGGGACAATTATGATCATTTCCTATAACAGTTCCACGATATTAAAAAACATGCGGTTATGAAAAAAAATTAAAGGAGTAAAAAAAATTTAGGGATGTTAAGGATGTTAAAAAGGGATTTGGCAGGTGTGAAAAGATCATAAAAGCGTTCGAATATGTGTGAACAGGAAAGTTAAAAGAAAGAAAAGAGAAGTAAAAAGTTAAAAGAAAAAAGTTAAAAGAGATTGAAATGGTTTCAGAGGAATATAACGCAATTTCAATTTCATAATAATAAAACAAAATTTTTAGAAATAATTAAAATATTAACTGTTGCTGTTAATTAACTGTAGCATGATGTTATGGATAATTATAAAGAAAGTATGAAAAGACAGAATAGAAAAAACCAAAATATTTGAGAAAAACTGTGAATTAACACGAATTAAATATTTACTTCGTTAGATCCAGGCGTTACATATCGTCTTCCATCTGTTTCGCTAGCCAAAATGGCATCTCGATCAACTGGAGAACAATCTGAGCTGTGACGAAGTATTGAACGTGGCAATGAAACAGAAAACCTTGATTCCTCATCTACTATCTAAGAAATTCAATTTTTTAAAACTGATAACGAGCTAAACAAAAATTGAAGTAATAAAACTTCAATCAATAATGAAAAATATTCAATCTGTTTATTGCATTTTACATTCCTTTCAAACACTTCATAATTTGAGAAATCAGAGAATCCAATGCCATTTTTTGCACAATAGATAATTTAATTTGTCTTCTCTCAAGTCACCCAAAAATTATCTAAATTCATTCCAAAGAGTTCGAATTCCTTGTGAAAGGTGAATTGCTGTTAAGGCATACAAATAAATATGGCAGTTAGAAATAACTTCAATAATACTATTATTTTATCTCAAAAAAAGCCACATCAGTGCTTTGGGAAGGGATAGAATAGCTCAGTGGATTGCTGCTCAAATCGCAGCACCGATGGTAAGGTTCTCCTCCCCTCAGGAATAAATCTGCCCAAAAATCCGGATGATGCTGGCGACTCACCTGTATTCCTATCGCCAAGGGACTCCTCGGCATATTGTTTAATGCAACAAGCCAGCTGAACGAGTCTAACGAGCAATGGTGAAGATTCTTTATAAAAAATGAAAAAGCTTGATTCAATCTTTTTATTGCATCTTACATTTCTTTTATGTTCGACTGTTTTCTGCAATGATCCCTCGATATTATTCTGTTTACTTGGTATACAGTTTGGTGAATACGCTATTTCGGGGTTAAAATGAACTGATTTCGATTTTTTAGCCTGTATAGTTTCTTCGATTTTTGAGAGTTCCTTTGACATTTTAATTCCTGGACAAAGGCCATTTGATGATCTCAAATTGTCCGCTTCGGGATATGGATAATCATCAGAATCAATACTAAAACGAAAAATTTCAATAAAAAGAATTTATTCAACGATATGAGAGTCTTTTGCTAATATTGATTAACAATAATGCAATAAAAAACAACCTTTCGTCGCGACCAGAATCACTTTCACTATTGAATTCATCTTCAAGCTCTTCTTGCCTTTCTAATTCGTCTAATCTCTCCAAAAGTTTTGCAAATTCCTAAGATGTGGTTGATACTTTTAAATCGAAATAATCCATATTTGTGATCCAAAATTAATGAAAGAAATATGAAATGGCTACAATGATGGTAAGTTTGCGATTCAATAGTTTGAACTAGTTTCTAAAAAAAAATTAGAAATTTAAAAAAAAATCGAAACCTGGCCGGAAATTTCTTTCCTTGTCCTCGAAATTTCTCCAACATTACATTCAGTCTGATTTTCCAATCTATAAAAATCTTCGACAGTTTTTTTGACTAATTTATATTGTTTCCATTTTCTCATAGTAAATACATAAATATGAAAGCATAGAGAGAAAAAATTTGTTTTCTTTCGTTAGTATCGCAAATCGAAATACAAAACCAAAAACTCGATAAAATATGATTTATTACTTTTCACTCTGCGGCAAATCCATTGAATTTTCCTCGTTCTTCTGATGGAAGATATTTTGTGAACAACTTTCGGCTTCCTAAAAGCAACTTTCAAATATATATCTTAAATAAAACCATAATACGACATCAAAGAATTATCTTCCTAGATCCTCATTTTCATAATGATTACAGGTTCTATAAGTAATTTGCTTTCAAAAAAATTTTTTCTTCGCAATTTAAATATTATTGAATATTACTTCATCGATTTTATTTTGTTCTTTCTTTCTTTTTTTCTCAGTTCGTTCTACTGTAAACAAGATTAATTAGAAATGCAAGAAAAAGCAAATGTTGCGAACTTTTAAATTTTTTTCATAACTTTTTTTATAACATCTTTTATAAATGGATATAGAAAACAATTTTCAAGAATATCTTGGTTCTTCGAAAAAAAATCTTAGTGTTTCTTATGAAAAGAAAAATGATTGCAATGAACTGCAAAAAAAATACCTCTCCACTTCTCTTCCAGCTTTTCATCATATGGCTCATGAATTTCGATTTCATCATTATTCTTCTAGGAAAAAAAAGGTAAAAAATATAAAAATAAAACATATTTTGTAAATAATGCAAAAATATTTAAAATTTCTAACAAAACATAGACGTAAACATACCTTTGTGAAAAATTCTTCACCGAATTCTAATCGCGATTGAGCAAGTTTTTTCTGAGATTCCAATGATGAGATTATTTTCTTAATTACTAAACAATTTTTAGTAATAGGAAAACAATAATAGGAAAAAATAAAATTATTTCGAGGTTTAAGTTTTCTATTAAAATTATTATATATATGATTAGTATTATTAAATGAGCTAACTAATTTATTGCAATTTTAGATTAAACTTAATAATTAATGACAAGGAAAAAAAATGCAAACAAGCCCTTTGTCAATCGTGTGACGTCTAGATTGCAATGGTGATTCTAGGCACTCGATAAGGATAAATGAACTCGTAAAACCCTCCTGTATGAAATCCAGCTGCAGAAAAAATATCTAAAGAAACTACCTTCCACTCTTCGATCGACGATTTCGCAAGCTTGAAAGCAAGATCGGACCACAAAATAATTGTCGCCGAGAAGCACCATCACTTTATTTGTTTGAACAATTCTACCAGGCATATATCCAACTTTACTCATTGGTACCTGAACTTTTTCTTCATTTTGAAAAAAATCCATTAGCATCACTGTTACTTTTTAACCAACTTCTGCCAATATTAAGACATTATACAGTATCTCGAGCTGCACCAACTCTACTGATGGCTATAAATTCAACTGAGTTTTTTGAAAAAATGGACTGCACTAACTCCAGCTATCCAGCCCAGTAAACAGCATATACTATAGTTCTCTAAAGCATCTTTTTATAATATTTTGCACGGTTAAATCTCACATATTGATTTAAAAACAAAAATTACCAGTATATCATGACTGAGCTTCCGAGGAAACAGATCTAAACGATTACGCAAATCCAAATATTCCTTAATTTCCACGCTTCGGTTTCTGATTTCATTCTCACAAAATTCAATTTCCTGAAAATAAATCTAAATTTTCCGGCTAAGTCCAAGGCTGAATCCAAACAAAATTATCTAATATATTTAATCTAATATATTGACTATCAATAATCAATAACTTTATGGCTATATCATATATTGTTCTCATTTATATTAGGCATAAAAATCAAGAAATAAGAAAATTACCATTTCTACTGATTTTTTCAATGAATTAATGGCCATCTTCCCAAAAACTGACAGTACATATAAAGGCTGCTAAGAAGCATATAGCATGAAATATATGAGATGAAAATGAAAATTTTAAATCATCGCATTATCGATGAACAATATTTAACATCAAACCCTAATCTTAAATCATTTAATGATGACTGAAGCGCGTAAATATATCAAATATCAAATTATCAAATATTAAATTTACTTCTGAATTAATCAATTTTTATTTGACTTGTGGAAAATATTTTAAAAGGATAATTGAAACCAAGGAAAAATAGATCCAGACTGATTTCTTGATTTTTATTTATTTAAAAAATCTGAATTTAGTAATAATTAATTATGTACTCGAAAAAAAGACAAAAAAAACAATAAAAACATGGAATTAAAGTGGTAGTTCTCAATAATAATAGATAAACAGCTAATTTGATTCAATTTAATTAAATAAATAAAAAAAATGAAAATTTCCAAAGTCCAAAATGCATATCACAAAAGGTACAATGATCACTGTTACATACAGCAAGATTCAAGATTTAAAATGCATAGCACTTCCATATTCATTAAAGGAAGCATAATGATATAACTAGAACTAATGAAATATTAATATTCGCTATAAATTAATAAAATAGGATCCACTGGAAACATCAACTTTTTTAAGTATAATTCCGAATGAAAATTCAAAGAAAAAATGCAAAATTTAAAAAAATATATCTCGAAGGTAAAAAAAACGTAATAAAATATCACTATTAAATAATTTTCGTCGAATTACCAAAAATCAAATCAGCCACCGTTTCACCACATCCATTTGCCAAAGTCAGACCATGACCGCCATGACCGTAATTATGCACTATCTGAACAACATAAAATTAAAGCGCAGAATCACAGAATAATTTCTTTAACTTCAATTTATCAATCGCCAATATATTTCTAAAGTGCTATGACAGGGAAGATAGTATTAACGAACCTTTACAATTTTCTCCATTAAACCATAATTCTTTAACGTAGGATATCTGATTGTTGTCATTTCAAGCCTAACACCTCCAATACGACCTGGTCGCAAACCTGCCCATTCATCTAATATTTCTGCATCCTGCAAGAAAAATATGGCAAATAATAATAAAATTCTGAGTATAATTAAAGTTATAAAACCAATGAAATAATCAAAATTACAATTATTAAGGAAGATCTCATGAAAAATCTGAAATAAAAAATCTAGAAAACGAACAGATGATGATTAAAATAGAAATAAAAACACATAAGTCTACTTTGATAGTAGGCTGCAGCTCATAATAACGTCCTAATATATCATCCCTATCGTCAGGCGTAATTTCTAAATCATAACGACCTTCTTGTTTCACTGTTCCAATATAAACGCTATCTGTTCTGGAAAAAAAAGAATATAGTTTTGATGAGAAACTATTCAGTAGATTATTTAAATAATTTATAATGTAATATAAAAATTTTAATAAAAATGCATACTATTAATCTGCTTTCGCATTTTTATCGAAATTTATAAATGGTTGCAGGAAATCGACTCATAAACATAATTCTTCCCACACCCTTGAGTTCCCCTCAAATTTGCTCAAATCCTCTTTACTGTCCTTTTATACTTTTTAATATTTATTCTCTTACCAACTCCAAAAATTCTCGCTCGAAAAAATAATATTGATAAAAATAGTAATAATAAAGATAGTAATAATAAAAATAATAAGTACCCTCTCAAAAAACAAATATGCCAAAACATCAGAGATATTCTGCTATAACTTTTTTCTATGCCTATTTTTAATGAAGTTTGATGGAGTGCTAAAAGATCATAAAATATCTCTCCCTCCCTTTTTTTCACATTTTCTATTCGTAACGATATTTCTTGTTGGATTATCATTTTTCTAATCACCATTTAATAGATAAAAAGCAAAAAAAACTAACGTAGGAATGGTAAATGTTAGGAAACGCTTATATAGGAAATGTTTGTGCCAGGTGGCATTGACCTAAAAATTAAAATAATAAATAAAATGAGACTTTCAAGAAGTAATGTTCCAATTTTTATTTGAGATTTCGATTTGTCATCACTAAAAAGATAACTCTCCCATTTATCTCTTTGGAAAAAAGTTCAATAAATTCAATTTGGCGTTTTTCATAAGATTTAAATGGGTCAAACTAATTGGCACTAATAAAATGCTCACTTTAAAAACAACACCTCTGATCGGGAACATATTTTTATCATCTCCATCGGCAGCCAGTATACCACCATTTAATCCCGCACAATTGATGATAACATCAAAATCAGGATAAAGCTGCAATCTAATGATTTAATTATATAAGTATTAAAAAACGATCCCAAAAATAAATTGTTAATTATAAATATCAATAATCATGCTGGAATTTAAGCAAATTAATTAAAAACTTTTAAGATTTTAATTTTAAGAATAAAATAACTCACACTAGTCAGTTAATACATAATATTAATGAAAAAACCTCGCTAAGAGTTGTAATCGGCCGTTTAATGAAATTCACGCCTTTCTTAAGAAGCTGTTTCTTCATCCACGGTATGAATTTACCACCTTCAGTTGTAAATGTCGTGAAATGTATGGCAAACATATGACCATCATCTTTTTGCTCAGTAAATTGTTTCATTTCATCTTCCCGCAAATAACGGAAATTATATACAATATCTCCATAGATCCTTTCCTTTAAAAAAAGGCCATTTTTATTGCATGTTTGTGATTCTATATTATCATTTTCAAACAGGTTTTGGATTAGCTGAAATAAAGCAAATGATAGCCATTAACCTAATTCGAATCTAAGAAATGACCACATATATTAAATAAACTATAATTAGGTTATATAAAAAAAATTTAAAAAATTATGCACTTGCTCCACAAGTTCGGTGAGATTTGTTGACAGAATATGGCCGGAGATAAGATTAACTCCTGAAATACTGGGCGGTACTTCACGGAATATTTTTGCATAATTTTTAAACGATATTTTGCCAAATGGCCTGAAATCCTCCACCAACTTTTATATAGACAAATTTATTAGACACTAGATATCCTCTACTTGGAGAAATTAACATTAATGACGATTCCAATTTTCCCTCATCATTTTCGAATAGAATGGTTTATAAAATGGTGGAAAATCTATTTTGGTGAATTGTTTATTATCATAAAAATTATCTCAAAATGATATTAAATAAAACCCTTCTACAGGCCTTTCTTAGATTAATTCGAGAAATTTGAAGCATAAATTTGAAGCAAAGACTGGTAATAAGCGAATCAATAAATCATATATTGCTGAATTCGCCAAAAAATAATTTAGAACGGTAAATACCTTAATTTATTTCGATTTTAATTTTATAAGTTAATGGAATTCAATATTTTTGTTAATTTGAAGAAATTACCAATAATTCTCGAAAAACCTTACCTATGTTTCAAACTATCAATGCGAAATAGACCAGCGGGGCAACAACTAACTGTTTTCTCAAACGGCCTATCATAGAAAACTGTTAAATTAATATGATTATTACGCTTTATCAATGACAAAGCTGTAGCAACACCAATCGCCCCTTCGCCAATCACCGCAATATTTTGTTGATAGGCAACTGAAAATGATAATTTTCTGAAATGGGAAAATCAAATAAAAGAAAGAATAGAAATCTCGACGAATGAATGATATAAAATCTTACAAAAATCTCAAATCTATTTCAAAGAACTAATAAAAAAATAGTTCAGATAAAAATCCAACACATTAACCAACCTTTTCATTTTTTTACATTATTCTATTAAAACAAAATTATTTAAAACTATTTTTAAAAAATCGCAAAAAAGAACTAACTGCTGAATAAAGATATAAGAAATACCAGCAAAAAAAGCAGCGACATTATGAATTTTCCAATAATTCCAACCTAAAAAATAGCCTAAAATATTAAAAATTTAAAAATAAAGCAAATTTATCAAAATTAATCACAAAATGCAAAGCACTTGTGATACATAAAATATTCAAAAAGTTAAAACATTCAAATTCTGCTGAGAATATATACGAAACTAATAACTAAAATAAACATCACTTCCACTGAATCATAAACTGTTAATCCTATCCTTGTGGTTCTGTAAGGACAAAATGGTTAAAAGTTAACGCAAGACTTTATGAAATATAAATATGAAAAATAAATCATCCAACAAAATTCGAAATGAAAAACTTTCTGAAAAAAAACGCCCAAGTCTTCTTAAATGATTTCGATTAAATAAAAGCATTGGCCATTGTAACAGAATAAGTGAACATTAAGAAACGTTAGTTCATTAAATAATCGTTAAAAGTGGCCAAATAATGAATGTAGTTCTTTTGTCCAAGTCAAGTCCATACCAACCTAAATATAATTAAAACTGGAGTATGAAAAATCAAATAAATAAAATAAGAACAAAACAAAAACATTGCGAAGAACTGGAATAAAAATGGACTTTAAAACGCTTTAAATTAATTAGTTAATTAATTAGAATTAATTAGTAGAATAATTCTTTCTGAACTTATTGACAATAACGATAACAATATTTTCGTTTTCTGTTTTCGTTTTCAACGTTATTTAAATGCAAATAAATAAATAAAAAAATAAATAAAAACATAACGAAATTAGATCGCTAATTTAATCTAATTTAAATAAGTTTTAAAAAATTTAATCAATAAAAAATAAAAAATAGGAGAAAAATGCCTTTAAGAAATAAATTCTTGATAAAATGATCGTGTTCGTCTCTACTCGTCATTTGATAAATTTTCTTTCTTTTCTTTCTTTTATTCCAATGACAAAGACAAATAATGCGATTCACATGGCTAAAAAACCTGTTCAAACGTAATTCTCAGAATAAGCCATGAATACTGGTTTTTATATAAAGCTTGCACTCATTGTCTAAATAAAATCATATTAATTTCTATAAATAAATTAAATTATTATAAATTAATAAATAAATTAAATAAAAAAATTACAAAAATCACCAAAATCTGACAACTAATTAGAATTAAAGAAAGTCTCAATGAGTCATTTTAGAGCACTCAAGCAAGATCAACTATTCTACTATAGGAGCAAATTTATCTTTTAAAATTTGGGCTGTGTGGGCAATTCATCGGCATATCTATTACCAGATGACTCTGGAAAAAAAAACCTGCCTGGACCGACAAACCGGAGAAGGGAGAAACGATAAGTGAAAAAAAAAATGTCGAAATACATAAGTATATATACGTAAGTAATATGTAAGTAATATGTAATACCTTTAGTAATGTTGCAAAATCCCTGCTTACATAAATGATACTGCCATTATCAAAGCACTTGTGAAATAGTGATACACAAAATATTCAAAAAGTTAAAATATTCAAATTCTTCTGAAAATAACCATCAGTTCCACTGAATCATAAATTGCTGTTAATCCTCTCAATTCTCAAGCTGAAAATACTTTTGATCCATATAATCTTCGATGATCAAAACGAGAATCTAAATATATTCTATAAAACATGTTTTAAAAGCAATTTACAGATAATTAAAAGAGGAGCACGTAACCTTATTTTTCAAAACATGTTCGACTTTATCAATCGAGTTTTATTCATATAGTTTTATTTATATAAGAATGAATCAGAATAGAAGCAATAAAGCAAAAAGCAAGCAATCTAAGAATGTAAAACATTTCGAAAGCGATTTCGGCAAAACCATCTTAGGCTAAAAAAACCAGAGGAATTTTATAAAATCACAAGTATGAAAAATAATAATTGAAAAAAATTTTACGAGTAATTCGACCGATAACCAATAAATTCCTAATTTTGTTAAATTCCTAAATAAAAAATCAGGTGAAATGATTTAGCTGATTATTGCTACACTTTCGAAGTCTACCAACACTACATTCCCACCACAGGAAAGGAACAAACTTGTCTTTCGTAAGTCTTGCACTTGCATTATCCACCTGCACTTCTCTCGTCAGAAAATTCCTTGCCTCACTCAACAGGCCAGCGAAACAAGAAAAAAATAGAAATATTAAGCACTCTTTAAAAAAATAAAAATTTTTTTCTCTCAGCAATGCGAAACAAAATCATTCATTTTGATAAATTTACAATCTTTTCATTGCTTTTCCATTTTCAGAAATAAAATGCTGTTGCAAAAAAGAAAAATGCAACAAATTTACTTAAAAAAATAAATAAATAGAAATGAATTATTAAACTCTTCAAATCTTTATATTCGTTTACTATTTTATAATATCAGTGCAGTTGCCAGGTTATGCAATTGAACTAAAAAAAGCAAGTAACATGCATCACATACTTCAGGCGGCCATATCATATCATCAATATCACATGCGTTATCGACTCTTTAGATAAATAAAATTACCTTGCCTAATACACAAGTAGCTGAGAAGGACACCACACACTGCGATTTTCCCACATTTACTATCTAAAATTGTTCTATGTTATTATTTATTTAATTTACTAAATTATTAAAAGTAAATCTATATGCAGATAATCGAACAGATTAGTTCAAACTTTTTCAAGCATTAGTATAAGCATAAATACTTTTGTAATGTTTAAATAATATAGAAAATAAATAGGAAATTATTAAGAAATCTACAAGCTCCATAAGGGAATCACCGTATTTCCAACTGCAAGATGCAGCTGAAGAGCAACTGAGTCATAAACCCCTCTATCAATTATCAATTATTTCTATCAAAGGTCCGACTTAAATTATGACCAAAATATCCGGCTGACCGACAAATTTAAAAAGCAGCTTCAGCGATTAGCGATTGTTTAAAAAGCAGTTGCAGACTTATTTTAATACATTTTTATGCGCCTATGTTGGCCATAGTTTAGGCTGTTATTTACTTTGGAACCTTGTGGGGCGTGTTTTGTAGTCTTGCTGAATGAGCCCTTGGTGCTGAAATCGTTTTCTCGTTAAATATTTTTTGGTGATTCACGGGATTTGTCAAATTGCTGAATTTTGTTTCATGTTTGACCAATTTTCTCCTCAGTTGTTGTCTTATATTCAATTCGCTATTTGCTTCAAATTTTTGTCAATTTTTTCTTTTGCGAATATTAAATGTGCACTAAAAATGTTTAGATTTAAAATTTTTCTGAATTTTTTTAAATTCATAATTTTCTCTAAAAAGCGTTTCTCTAAAAGACTTGGAGTTCCGCTGGCTGGGTGGAGTGGACTAAACAGATTTGTGAGGGGTTCATTTATCATTTAGCAGCCGTGGAGAGTCGAATCCGATACGAGTTGGAAATTTGCTTAATTACGAAAAATTTTATATTCTGTACTACCACTGACCACTCTCCTTATTCGTGCCAATTTCTGTTCTGTCTTTTGAATTTTTTTTCTTCTTTTTCTTCTGACAACTCTCACCATTATTGGTTAGGCTGCTCCAACAGCTGCAAGGGTAAAACGTTTCCAAGCGGCGCGGTCTGATCTCCGATAGAAGCCATTCTTTTTTCCATCGTCTAAGTCCTTATATTGCTGGTCCACCTATATATTCAAAATCTCCTAAGTGTATTAGTCCAGGTCTTGATTGGCTCACTTCACTTTTAATGCCATTATAGCTTTAGCAAGTAACAAAAAGTGTTAACTTTTGTGGTGGGCGACGGAGAATGTGTTCTAACCAGCGAAGGCAACACTCTGTGATAACATTATTAATGTAGACGGTATTTGAACGAAGATGGATGAGATTGTGTGATATTATCCGTTCTGGCGGATCTGTACCTTAGACAAAAGTGGTCGAAGGTAGATAGCTTCTTAATATCCACTCTCCACGCTCATTGGCCATGTCTCAGAGCCATATAGCAAGATCGAACGAATCACGGCTATATAGATGCGGACTTTTGTTTTAATGGTGATGGTAATTTCACAACGGCTCCATAAAGGTTTCATCGAACGCATTTCTAGCTGCCGTGATCCGGGTTGTAATATCGTCTTTTACCTGGCCATTTGATATTAGAGTGGACCCAGGGTATTTAAAATCGTGCACTTCCTGAACCGGCAATGAATTTACAAAAAAAGACATTTTATCAGCTTTTTGCACATAAGACGAGACTTTCATTTTATTTTACATTGATCCTAAGTCCTATTCTCGCTGAAGTTGCTGACGCATTATTTAACATTATTTGCATTTCATCATAACTGCAAAAAGAACTATATCATCAGCGTATTCAAGATCTGTGGTACGATGCTCTGGGCTAATTTAGACACGTCTTGAGTGCCGACAAGCGGAGTCTATTATCAAGCCTATCGCATAGTTGAATATTGTGAGGGAAAGGACGTAGCCCTGACCGACACCAGTTTTTATTTCGAAGGAGTCAGTTCCCCATATACACAGACCTGCGCCCACATGCGCTCATAAAATGCCTTTATGAGTCGAATGATCTTCTCTGGAACACCGTCGCGTCATCATCTTCACCTTCACCTTCCAAAGCGCCGCTCTATCAATTGAATCAATGGCAGCCGCAAAACCGATGAAACACGTGACAGTGGGTTGCAAATATCTAAAGCGATGTTCCAACACCTTTCTTAACGTGAATATCTGGTCAGCACAGTCGCGCCATGGTCTGAAACCAGCTTGATTAGAGTGCATCCTGCTGTCCCGTACTTCCATAAGTCTATTAAGTAGTAGGGAAGCAAAAATTTTCGCTGAGGCGTCTAGTAGGCTGATTCCTCTATAATTGACGCATATGTCCTATCATCTTTCTTGAGAATTGGGAGCAGAATTGCTTTGCTCCAGTTATCTGGTAATATTTCTTTTTTCCATACTAGAGAATACCTTTGTTGAATACATTTGTTGAAGGTGCGTTATGGAGTACGATGGACAACATTTGAAAAACTCAGCCCGAAGACCATTTTCTCCTGGAGTCTTATTGGCCTTTAACTTATGGATAATGGAAATTATTTCTTCTTCTGTCGGGGACTCGCAGTTATAAGCATATGGTTCAACGAACGTATAAGGGTATAAGATGGCGCTTCATGCTTAAATTTGGCCTCAAAGAATTCTTTCCATCTTATGAGGCGGTCTTTAATACTCTTAACAGCCATTGCTGTCTTTTACCATTTCACTGACTATTCCCCAAGTTATAGCTGCTTTATGAAGAAGGCGCAGTAGTTTCCAATTATCGCCTAATCGATCCGCCATCTCCATTCTCAAGACCATATCACTCCAACAGTAATTCCTGTCCCATCGTGGTGCTTGCAAATCTTTGAAACATCAGTTAGTCAGGGTCATTCATTCTTTGACAGTTTTTTCAGACAGTTGGATAGTTGCTTCCGATAGCCAACTAGCACACTTCCTACTAGTATACCCTAGCGCGGAAGTGGCTGACTTTTGGAGACATTCATTTAGTTTGCACCAGTTAATTTGAATTTGAATTCTAAGTAAATCTTTTCTCCCTTTCTAATAGTACCATTAGGCTGATTTAACAAGCGTGAAACATTTCCAAGTCTCTCGGTCCGTTGCCGTATTTGAGAGAAAGAAAAAATCCATTTCTTTTCCTTTAGAATTCAACTTGCTTTTTTCCGGTAACGAAAATCATATAAAGTCCAATTTTTGCTCTGTATACCATTTTTTTGATCATATTTAATTCCATTTAGGACCAAGCTTTTAGGGTTTCTAATTGTCCCAAATACGATGCCATATTTTAAATTTATTCCATAATGGTTTCTTTTTTTCTTAAATTTCATTTTTAATTGTATTAAATCAGTGAATAAACGAATAAACGAATTGCTTACAGAATCGATGTTATCAAATTGGGACAATGTCTTTGGTGAATTGAGTGATAGTGCAAGTGATAATGATGATAATGACATTAATGGAAAGAATCCCCAAATTACAACCAAGGTTTTCTTCACTTTGAAATTCAGCCTTTAAACTCTTCAATTTCTTTCGCTCCAGCTTTTTAATCACGTAGGTATTAGCTTCAGTTTTTCATTTATTTACTATTTCTGTCATAGTTTTTATAAATACATAATATTATATTGATGGTTATATTGTATTTTAAAAATTGTAGGAAAGTATTGTTGGGCTAAAACGTAAGTTAGAAGATGATGAAGAAGATGCTTGCCCGTCAAAATTGCAGGTTAAGAGAGTCAAAGAAGAGATTAAAATTTCAAATGATGGGCTCGAATTATTGGACGATCCTCTTTTTGGATTGGTGATGAATTTTCGTTTTTCCTATTAGATTCAATTGTTTATTTTCCATTCATTTGCAATTATTCATTTATGCTTTTTATTTAACTTTATTTTGTCATTTAATGATTTTAATTTTAAGATTTTATATTTTTGTCGAATTTGTTTTTCATTCATATTGTGATTTCATGTATATTTTGATTATTCATTTAGTTTGAATGTTCTGATTATTCAACTGTCGCTGCAGCAGCTATTCAGACAACGACACCGATAATGCAGAAAACTGAATCTTCATCAAAAAAAGATTTAAAGGTGCATTTTGCTGATGTAGATACCGATGGAGAACCGTCGAAATCGACTGATCAAGTTTGTTTTGTTTTATTTTCTTAATTTTCAAAGCTTTTTTTCGAAAAACAGCCTACAGGTTTTTATTTTTATCTTAATAATTCATTTCGACAGGTAAGCTTGGAAGAAAAAGAGCAGAATCTTGAAAAGACAGTTGATGAAATTGAAGCTGATGATGCTGCAGAGGCCAGCTTACCAATCAAGCAGTTAAATGAGCATGACGAATTATTGCGACTAAAAATGCAGTAATCTCCTTTTCTGTTTACCACTCCTTTATTTTTAGATTTTGGCAGAAAAATTTTAATGAATAAGTTTTTGAATAGTATTAATCACAAACCCTATATTATCCTTTTGCTTTAGCGGCAGATACAGATAAATAATATCAATCAATAAATTTTAATCAAGTAAGTTTTAAGATGAAATATTAAGATAAATTAAAAGAAATTTTGAGATTGAAATTCTTTTTGAGATTTTTGTAGAAAATTTCACCTAATTTTCACAAAAGTTTTTCACAAAGATTTCGTAAATCTAGGCAATTTCTTTCTATTTGAATAAAGTTTTCATATAATTTATTTATTCCGAATCTTCTAAGTGAAATCTATTGCAGCAATTTAATTGTATCTTTTTTTAGAATTCTTGTAGCAAATTTCTCTCAGGAACAATTGGCCAGGTACGAATCTTTCAGACGGTCGTCCTTCCCAAAGAGCATCATTAAACGGGTTTTCTTTTATTATCATACGAGATGAGATCTTTCTTTACTTTTTATAACTAAGGTTAATTTTAAATTATTTTCAGTTAATTCATCAGTGTACAGGAGTAGCACCCGGTCAGAATGTTGTCATCGCTGTAGCTGGTCTAGCCAAGGTCTTTGCCGGTGAACTTGTTGAAGAAGGTATCATACTTGATTTTTAATTCCTTATCTTTAATTTTTTCATTTATCATTTTTTTATTTTCTCTATTGACAATTTTTGCAGCATTAGATATTCAAAAGAAGATGGGTGAGGGATGCGAACCGCTCAAGCCAAGATCTGTAGAATTAGCTTATGAAAGTTTGTGGGATAAAGGAAAATTATTTCCTCCTCACGGATCACGTAAGAACCCATTCATATGATTGAAATCGTTTGTTTGTTTGATTCTTTTTAAAGAACAAAGTGGCATTTTAATTATTATATTCAATATGGGCACATTTCGACTTCATTTTGTAGTCTTCATTTGGTCTTTCAGATAATTTTTTTTTTGATCTACTATATTCTGGGAAACATATGTAAAGTGGAAGTAAGTGTTTATCATTCCTGTTCATTTTTAATTTTTATGAGGAATTTATGCTTATTATTTGTAAAAATATAATGGTTCGACAGCACCAGCTTTTTTAATGGAAAGTTTGCTTTTACCAGAAATCCATGGTCCTAATCCTGGCAGTATGGCCAGAAATCACTTGGCTCAAATACATACAAGTATTTGTCTATTTTTTATGAATTATTTTAAACGATTTTATAAATTTACCGCGAATAAAATTTTCTTACTTCCCTTTCTTGTGCGAGTTTCAGAAATAGTTTCCTTGTTGGCGATATAGCTTCAAATATATAACATCTTTTTTTGTTAATTTTAGGTAAAAAAATTTTTTCCCCATAGTTTATTTTATGTAGTATAATTATATTATGATTTAAAGTTCGTAAAATTCTCACGATTCATGATTGAATGAATGATTATCAATGTGAATATCTGAGAATATTTGCAACATGCTTTACGAATTTTCCAAAGGAAATAAAGTAAGACGACAGTAATTAACATAAGCAAAGTATATCGAGAAGCATAAATGACAATATATGAATGTGCGAGTGTCAAAAATAGTTTTCGAGAGATGTTGATTTACAAGGCGAAAGATCCGGATAGATCTTTAGAAGATGGTTGAGCTTGCATTCTATAATTTTCTAGATATTTTAAATTTGATTTAAAAAGTATGGCATTATTTATTTGAAGTGTAGCAGTATATTTTGTTTTTTAAAAGTCCTCACCATTACTGGTTAAACTCACTCCACTGGCTTGTCGCATTGGGCAATATGCCGAGTCCTTTGCTGATAGAAATACAGTGAGTCGCCTGCATCACTCAGATTTTTATATAGGTTTACTCTTGCGGGGAATCGAACCTCAGCATCGGCACTCCAAACTGAGCAACAACCCACTGAGCAATTCTATCCCCGTGGAGCAGTAAATGAGTTGACTTTATATGAGACTTTGTATGGTATAAAATTATCGATTTGTTTTCTTGTATAACTAAAATAATAGCGAATTCTCTCTTTGTGAAAGGTATTTGACAAATTTGGTGTATGAAAACTCACTGAATGTTTTGATTGATCAGTTGGCTTAATCAGTAGATCGAATCTCTTTTGTTGATAATATGTACTGTGAATGTTTAATGTCCTTCAAGATTTTATCGATTATTTTTCGACGAAATTTGATAATCGAATTGTAAATCAACCGAATTTGTTTCATTATATTTATTATATATATAGTTCAATTAATTTTTCGTAAATAATTTCTTAATTTTTTAGGTTGGTTGTTTCTAGTAAAAAAAAGTGTTTGCAGTATGGTCCAATTTTTGATGAATAAAATTTTTTTCTTTTTTACTTTTATTTATTTTAAAAGTGGGATGGATTGCCCTCCTTCATTAAAGCGAAACCGATATCACCACGGGGAGCGGATGTATTCTTCCAGTAAATACTGGACCTTTGCGATCGACTGTATGAATTCTTTGTTGACTCGGGACCAGCGTACGAACCAGATGAAGGTCAATCTATCTATTTTCTGGTTCATTCGGCATCATCACCATCAAATACTATTCTATTAGTTTTTACTTCCATTCGTGCTCTCAAAAATAAGAGCGATTCAGGTTTAGGGTTGGGATCGGTATAATATTGCTTTAACTGAATCTAGCCATCTTCCTTAGTTTTTCCTGGAGTAGGTCAGGATTGGAGGTGAAATCCTACCATTATTTTATCTTCAAACCTATGGTGGAAGGGCTTTATTTTGGTTTTTGTTCAAAGGGAGTCTTTGTTCAACCTAGAAATGATATTTAAACTGGCACTTGTACTAGAACTGCTTAAAAATAGAATCTTTCTCCGACATTGCCACCCTGAGGGAATGTGGTACGTCGGCTGGATTTAGACTCAAACCTCTATTCTCTCTGGCAATAATATTGGTAGAGAAGAAAAAAAACTGGATAGGTGAAATGCATTTTCGCTTAATTTTAGGTGCTCCAAACCTCGTTAATAAAAAAAGCTCCGCTTGCTTGACTAGACAAGTTTTACCAAGGACCGACGGAAGTATACGTGAGTCACAAACGTCACCTGGATTTTTGGAAGATTTATAGGTTTATTCCTCGTGGGGATATAGGGCGCCATCTCTCTATAACAAAATTAGCGCAACAACTCACTAAGCTTTCCTTCCCCTTTTATCTGTTTAGGTACGATGTACTTGTGCGTTGGTGGGAACTTATTCACATGGGTTTCTGATAATATCGTTTCAGATTGTTTTGTATTAATAATTCACTATCAGATTTCTCTCAGGGCTGACCAAACTGGTTGGCCACAACATAAAAGATAAAATTGTATAGGTCCTTTATCGTTTATCATTTTCATTTATTTATCTATTTTATAGGCTCATTTTCATTTGAATAATGTGGTTAGTTGGTTTCGCGATAAACAAATCAAACTATTAACAAATGTAAAATTACGCAGTTGTCAACCTGAAATCATCTGATGCCCTTCTTGTTTTCATCGAGAATATTGTCAGTTCTCCTAAATATGCATAAAACATTCGCATATCCTCACTTGGAATTCAGTATCTCCCTCTCCATTGAATGAATAAATCAATCCAGCTAATTAAAAATTTGTAAAAACATTTCCTACCTTATCTGAATTCACGTCCTACAATTAATTATTGGTCAGATTATATAATTCAGATTCATTAAGGGTTAGGAAGAGTGAAGAGACATAAATTTATCTCCAATTGATTTTTTCTAAACCTGGTTAGATTCGCTCTGTTGACCTGTCCAAACGAATTTTGTCACACAAAATACCGCCTGAGGTGATTATAATTGAATCAGATTGTGAAGTGTATTTTTATAGGACCTGGACATTCAAGGACAGGTTCGCTCCTGCCGCACTCAGAATTTTAACTTTGACGCTCCAGGCTGAGCAACAATTCCTCATTCCCCATTATGGCCTGGCATATCGAGGTGTCTCTTTCGCCATCCTTTTATTCGTATTTCGCTCATTATTTTCAATCTGCACTGCTTGCACTACATTGTTGTTGTAACTCTCGTCTTTTATTAATCTCCTTATATTAGCCCACTTTCGTTGCTGTTATTCAAATAAGCCTGTGACATTTGCTTGATTTTTTTCTTTTATAAATGGATATATTTTAGAATTTGACTTGTATCTGCGAGTTAACGCTTGATATCACTGAATAATATTATTGCTTCTTTAAGGCGACGAAAGCTCTTTGAAACATTTCAACCGTTTTTATTAAAAAACCTGTTTCACAAAAATTTCAGTTATGTCGAGGAATAGTTATCTAATTGTTGGAGGTTTGGGTTTTATTGGATCGAACATCGTCAGTTATATTTTCAACGTTGAAGCAGATAGCGAATTAACGGTGCTTGACAAAATTTTCCAAAATTCAAACGCATCGCGTATCTCAGAGAATATTTGGAAATCCGATCGTTTTCGCTTTGTCAACGGTGATGTTTGCAATGAAAAATTGGTTGCCACTATTCTTAACAAGTATAAAGTAAAATACAATTTGTATTATAAAGATAGAAATCGTTAGCAAAAAAATTTCCAGGAAAATTCAGTCCGGCACTTTTTTATTTTATTTTTCAGCATTCTCTGCATTAATCTTTCTTAAACTTTTAAAAGGGATAGGGTAGCCGAGTGGCTCAAACTGTGGAAGAATGGAAATCAGCTAATTACTTACACTCATTTTTTAAAATTACTCCAGCTCTCGCTTCCTAAAATAATTATTGTGGTGGTCCATTCCTAAGAGTCGATCTATGATTTAAGAATCACTATATCTTTCCAAAAAAAGCACCTATATTTCACCTCACAGAGATGCTTATTTTGAAGCTTTTAGTCTTTTAGTTAGCTCAAGAAGCAAGAAATGTGAACTCATTGCACGAAAAATCAAAATAAATTAAATTTTGTTTGTTAAATTAAATTAAATTTTGTTTAATTTTATTTTCAATTTCAAATTTTTTTCGTTTATTCGATTAAAAATTATTCATTTCCGAACAAAAAATTATTCTGAAAATTATAAAATTATTATACAGAAAAAAGGATTTTATAGTACTAGGAATTTTCGTTGGGAGCACGGCGATTCCCCTTCCAATATTCTAGCTTTACAAAAATTCCTTTTGGGAATACGCTCCACTGTGTTTTTTCTATATAGATTTACCTTTCCTGCCACGCGGACTTTTATTTCTTATTAATATTATAAAATTCTGCGGCCAGCGTTCTACTTTTTACTTTTCTCGTTGCGAACCTCGAACTTGGGTAATTAAACCTTTATTAATAGAAATGGAAATATATACAAGAAAATAAAGCGAAGTAATTGCCCTAAAGAAATAATACAGTAAAAAAATCAAATATAAAATCTAAATGCCCATCACACACTGACCGCTCCCCCACTCGTTTTCCCCTAATAGAAGCACAAAATGACCAAAATTGATCTTTTGGGAGCTTATATTTAATTTAAGATGGGCGGGAATCCGGATGACTTGCTCAAATTTACAGCTTTTTTGGCCATTCGGCGACACTAAACTTTAAAAAATGTTTATACATCCTTCTGAATTAGCCAATTCTCTTTCAAAAACTCATAATTCGCGGAAAATACTCGCCCTTTTCGCTCAGTTGTGCGTCAAATTCTAGTTATCGTTCCTTTGTTTTACTTAATTCTCTCGCAAAATATAGAAAAAGCATTACTGAATTAAGGAATGGATTTCTAAATTTGGCATCAAAAGCTGCAGTACAGGTGTACGAAAGGCCTTTTATACTACCTTATATTCTAACATTCATTTTTGAAGCATTTTTCTTTAGTATTTGCTTGCTTATTTTCAGATAAATATAATAGTTTCATCAGCAATAATAAGGGAATCTGATGATTTCGATATAATTGAAATGGCACGAAATAATTTATTAGGATTAACACATCTTGTCGAAGCCGTGCGCAATTATACGAAAATTATGAAATTTATCTACATTAGCTCAGAAGAAGTTTGCTTTTTTTCGTTTTTTTGTATTTTAGGATCGAAAGGTTTGCGATTTCTATTTGCCTTTGTAGCGAGTGGAGCCAATCAATTCGAAATTTTTTGATTTAAAAATTATTGATAGTAATCTATAATTTATGAACATAAAAATTAAACTATAAATTAAAGGTTTATGGATCAGTGACACCAAAAGTCGAAACGGTTCTATTAAAGCCATCCGAACCACTTGCAGCAAGCCAGAGTAGTGCAGAGGCAGTGCTGAATTCATATGCGGTTAGCCACAAGATACCAATTATAATTGTTCGGCTGGCAGAAATTGTCTACGGTGATAAGATGAATTTAGAAAACCCAATGTTAAAGATCATCGAGAGTGAAACTTCTAAGACAGGCATTTATTTTCATATCATTTATACTAAATCGAAGCATACCATATAGGTTTATAATATGTCAGAATATCTATGCTGCTGAAATATCCTTTTTCTTTATTTTTAGACTGTAGTTCAACGATTCAGCGATTTTTTGGAGTGTTGCACGTTCAGGACGCTGTTCGCGGTGTCTATGCTTGCATCCAGTGCTCAAAATCACCTGAAATATACAATTTTGGTTCAGCTTATGATCTAACAACTGAACAGTTGCAAACAATTGTCTGGAAAGTTTGAAATTTTCTAAATTTTAACTATAAATACTATTATTAAGATTATTGCAGCAGTTCAAAATGTGGCTATTTCTTCTTCAATTACTTTAAATATTTAAATATTTTAATTTTTTCCTCAAGTTTAGGCCAAATCTAGAGAATCAATTCCAACTATTAATTTAGCACCAGCAATGATGAATTCTTCAAAAGCCAAGTCGGATTTTAATTGGCAGCCGGAAATAAACCTTATAGATGGTATTTTTTAAGACTATCGAATGCAACATACTTGTGCATATTTTTGTTCTTCTTGTTTCCTCAATTCTTTCTTGTTTTTTGCTAAATCCATACCCAAATTTGCCATTGTTTTTTTTTAATGGTTTCTTTTAATTCCCATGAAACTTTCTTGTAACATTGACGCACTTGTAAACATGTTCATAGACTGGGTAAAGATGGCCATGACTCTTTCGGTCTTGGTCCATCGAAAATTCGACTTCTCTCTCTATCTCTGAAGAAAATGAGTCTGTCATTAGAAAATCTGGGTAGTGCTAACTACCAGCTAACTACCTCTTCCACTCGCCAAATGACGAAAAACGAAATTTTTAATTATTAATGCTGCGGAACTAAGTCAACCAATAATGGTAAAGTTAACCATTTAATTGCTTTTACATATAACAATAACAGTATTTTCTTGGTTCACTTTTTATTTTTATTTTTCAAGGCATTTTTGAAGTAGTTGCCAATTATAACATTTGTTCTAATGTTACTGTCCCATCGAAGAATATGTTTAAGTATCTTATATACGGCGAAAATAATTGGATAACTCATCAATTTATAAAAATGCTCGATGAAAAGGTTGAAAAATTCTTGTCACTTTTATCATTTATGATTTTTATCTTTTTTTTTCATTTTAACCTTAGAATAATTTCCCACTCATATTGATTTCCATTAGGATTTTTTATATATGAAAAGTGAGAAAGTTATTGAAAGTATCACCGAGGACGAATTGATTACAGAAATTATTCAAGTCGCTCCATCACATATCATATCTTTTATCAGCTTCATTCATGGTGCAGGTTTGCTTTTTATTACTATTCAATTATAAATAGGCCAATTTAATATCGACATCAAAAAGTGATAAACAAAGCCAAGTTATTAGTTATATTTCATTCGAATTTCTTTAAATTATTTAATTTTTTAATCTCAAAAAATTCCTTTTTTCAATAATTCGAAAAAAACTTGAATTACAGATGAAGAAGCCATTATCGGTCTTGAAGGCAGTCCGCATAAGTTAAAGCAAAACTTACAGATTAATTTATATGTATCTTGGATTTTGGCGAATATCTGCGAGAGATTTGGAATTCATCTCACTAATATTAATCCTGGATGTGTCATTCATAATAAAAATGGTGCATTGAGTCTAAAATTATACTCCACGATCGAGACAATGGTTATTTTGCATTTATTATTTAGTACATTAGTCATTAAATAACAAACATATCGCATCTATTGTTAATTTTCTCCAAATTTCATTTAAATTTATTGGTTATTTTTATGAACTGAATATTTAATCGTGCATCTTGGTATATATCTATTTCATCCGTATTTCTCTCTGTTTTAATGACTGATAAGATGAATTTTTAATTTTGTGATAAATTTAATTGTATTTAATTCTTATTGCATGTGATAAAATTGCAAAAAAAAATTGGCGAAGATTTATATGTATATATATATTTATTATAAGTTAATTGCAATAATTTTAAGCTATTCTTTTTAAGCTATTCTTTGCATGTGATTCTTGTGATTCTTGGCTAAATTCCGCTAATTTAAGTTATTCTAGAATTTTTTATAACCTTTCTAGCTCTTAGGCTTATGAAATTCGGCTTCATCTCGGGTTGTTTTCTACTGTGGATGCATAAAATACAAAATATATATATATTCATATCGCTAATAGTTCCAAATTATAAAAGCTTGTAAGAAAACAAATGGAATTTAGGAAATCCATGGTTTTAATCAATTAAAAAGCAGTTATGAGATTGTTCACGCATTCAGTCAACGCTTACTTCGTTATTATCCAAATTTGCTCAATATTTATATATATTTACCTGTTAGCAGTGAAATTGATGCAGAAAATATCATCATAAAGGTCGGATCTTCTTTTTGAATTAATCGTTTCAGTACAAACCAGTATGGATTCAAAGGACCCTAAGGGTAATAGCATTTTTGGCATAATTAATTCCATAATATATAAAATAGTCTAAATATTGGACTGTCGAGACATACTATTTCTGTTTTTTTTGCTATGTTCGAAATCCTTTGTTACTATGTTACTGGCCTGGCATGTTTTAGTTAATGCACCAATCATATATCTCGAATATCTCATGTCCTATAACTGTACTTTCTGATTGTTTACCAATTCTACTCTCTCATATTAACGAGAAAGATCGTGGTACTTTGAATCTTATGAATCCAGGAACTGTGAGGTTGGAAGAGATCATGGAAATGTGCAAAAATATTATTGATCCTAATTTGCATTACGAGATAGTTCCTTGCAAGGTATGAATTAATGAATTTTAATTGTTAAATTCGGCGCATAAAATAAAAATTGCCCGAGAGCATTTTATTAATGGAATCAATATTCTGCAATGCTTTAAGCGTAGTTTATTGAAATGCCTAAAGCGGAACACCTAAGTATCTTCTTTTTTCTACCATTTGAACCTTGTGATAATTTATTTTCTACCATATTTTTCTATTTAACTACGAGAATTCAGGGAAAAATCTTTATAAAGTATATTCTTTATATTCTTTCTTTTTAAGTTTCGGAAACCGAAATTCTAGAAGCTTCTTAGATAGGTGAAAATATTTAATATAAATTATACCCTTTCTATCGGCTTTAATTGTAAAATATTAATTGTAAAATATTTTGAGAATGACGATAATTCGCAGAGATGGGAATTTCTGACAAGAGTTGACGAGTTTCATCCTGAAATTCAACCAGCTGTGGAAGCTCTAAAGAAGTGCATCGAGGACATTGCGATAGCAAAGAAAAATGCTCTAAAAATATAGTGAATATTGTTGTTTGCGTGGAATTCAAATTTTATTCCATGTGTGACGAAGTCTTTCTTTAGCCTTTTTATATTGAGTCAAGCTTCAGGTTTTGCCCTATTTGAGCTAATCTGCTTATTTGCGATTTTCGTTATTTTGTTTTAATCAAACATTTTATGGAATTTTCAGACATGCGTAAACCGAAAAAAATAAATTGTCATTAAGCATTGATGAACAACGAATTAATACTGATAAAAATGTTTGTTACCAGTATATAGTATATAGGGTGTGCGTGCCATACTAAATGAACTTGACTTGTTAGCGTTCAAACTAGGAAGTAAGTAAGTAAGGAAGTAAAGTTAGGGAAGCTATTTACTAATTGCGACTTCGCCAAAGGCACTTACTTTAAGCCTAACTATATATATATATATATACTGCTTCGCTGCTATTTGCCCATTTTCTTCTCTTAAACGCAAATTTTTATTATAATTGCTTTATTATATTTTAATAAATTTTACATTTGAATTAATAAATTGTATAAGTTAATTTCTTGGTTAATTTCCATTGTATGTTATTTCATTTTTTTATGTTTGTATGTTTCTATTACATTTGGTATAAATGGTTATTCTTTGATTTTCAAAAGCAAAGGCTACAGTTTTATGGCTCTTTTTTGAATACTTTGATTTATCCATATTTATATTTGAATTTTTCATTATTGGTTCAATTCGCTCTTCTGGCTTGTCGCACTGGACAAATATGTCAGGGAATCTGTTGGCGATGGAAGCACAGATGAGTCGTCAGATGCATCACCCGGATTTTTGGATGGATTTGCTCCTGCCGGAAGTAGAGTCTCAGCATCGGCGCTCTGAACTAAGCAAGAACTAACTGGGCCATCCTATCCTCCTTTGATCTTCCCCGTTAGGCGATTGCCGCTCGACGGAGAGTGGTCCTTCGACGGATTCGAATTCAAACCTCGCTTCCAGGTGGCAGTTGTCTTGTTAATAATCCATCGATTCACAATACGAGTTAAGATTTGTAGTATATAGTTTAATATTTGCAAATATTATATTTCTTTTCAACGGTAGGAATATTTTTGGAAGAAATTTGCTTAGTTATGCATTTTTGCTTGGTTACGTTTTTTATTAATTTTCGCCTATTGTCGATTCGCTAAGGAAACATTGATTTTAGAAACATTCGTCATTAAAATGCTATTTTGCAATCCAATATGTTTAGATTTTGTATAAAAAGCAGCTCGAAATTCTATTCATTCATTCATCATCAAGGAAATATCTTAAAATTTGGGCAAATCGTGGAGCAGGTGAGGTCATTGTATGTGTAATTCCTGGTCCTCCAAGCAAATGTCTTATAAAAATTGGTCGAGTCCGGGTGCTTTTAGGTAATCGCCCTATATTTCTAATTTTAAAAACAAAAGTATTACGAAAGTATCACCGATGGTTCAAGTTTTACCGTTTTTAATTTACCTACACCTACACCTACTGATTCACCTACCGATCAAATTTAATTTTACAACAATTTTATCTTTTATGATTTGTCTGAATTTTAAATTCATAGAAAAATTAAGCATTATTTAAAGGGTTGAATGTTCGAATTCTTGGTTCTGGAATTTGGACTATTATGATAAAGCCAAACGATTTGTTAAAAAAATTTGAAAAAGTTTGTTCTATTTTCTACAGTTATATCAATGGTTAGGAAGTTTCATCCAGATTATACGTTCTATCCAGAAATTTAACAGAGCGTAAAATGTTAATGTTGATTGATTCACCGTCGCCTTATGTTCTTTTTCTCTCGTCGAGAATTCTATTTTTTATCTTCCAATTAAGCACAGTCAACCCTTTCAAAAGGCAATTTCTCTGGTTACTAATTTCCAAGTACTACAGCTGATATGGACAGATATTAAAAGCATAGCCATATCCGCTTGAAGCGAAGGCAGAAACACAACCCCATCATAAAACTTGTGCTTGGAACTAAATACTTTATGAAACAGAGACCCAAAATTTAAATGAGTTGGAATCATAAATGATAAATGACTAGTCTTTATGCTAACCACATGAATTTTGTATGCATTATTAAACATCCATCCATCAGCTTCCTTCCTCGCGAATGTTTCAATATGTATGAATCAGTTCATCTTTAAAACTTTATCCAGAATTTTTTATTTTTCTAGACTAATAGCCCGAAAGAATATAGGTCGATCGTCTGGCATTTGCTATTTCCCTAAATTATTACAGACTAAAAGAAATATCCTCAAAGTCCGTCAGCATTTTGTGTTAGGCTCTTAGATATTAATTTAAAACGTTCTAATAATTCTTCCATATCCATTTTATGATTCACTTCTTCCCAGCAGTCTACTAGTGAAGCCATTATTTTCCTTAAAACTCCTGTCAGCCCCTATGCCATAACGTTCTCTTTACACTTCTTTACTTCTGCTCTACCAAACATATTGTTTAATAAGATAGTTAAATTATTTTTATCTTCGTGCTTCATATCAGAAATCCAAAGCGTATAAATTGGCGCCAGCCGAGTATTAAAGGAGTATAATGGAAATTGGAGAGTAATGAGGCAAAATAATAGAGATTTGGACGGTGTAAAAATAATGTAATTTAAAGAATGTTATAAGTTTGAAGGACTGGATAACAGGGGACTGGACTATCTTTTTACTAGTATCAATAAATTCTGAATTTTGCAGAGAGAAAAAATACGAAAAGCACAGCTACTCTATGAACCCTGGATGGACAATGAGCCAGCGCCACCAAAATCGAAAGATTATACTCTGTCACCACCTCATTATCCAAAATTAAAAAATCGAAGTCAATACATATTCGACCAAGAATACCTAAAATCTGTATCGAATACACCTGTTACACCTGTAAGCCGCTATTTTATATCGACATCAACTAATTATATTAACATCAACTCTATGGGAAAAACGGATAGCATGTAGTATTTAAAAGAAAAATATTTCCCAAAGAATTATTAAAATAAATCTGTTACGATTATTAACTCGCATGGCTGTTCTTTCAATAATTTAAAGAAACATTTTGAATTCTCACCTCATTTTATTAAACTTACATGCTAAAATATTATTGGTTTTACAGACAATGCCCAGAGCTTCATCAGCTGCGGGTTCAGTGAGTTCAATGACGATAGCTTATCCAGACTCTCCAGCAAATAAAACTCCAAAACCGACTTTTGAGAGACGTAATAATTTCTTAAGTACAATATTTGTTATTTGCTAGAATCACAGTATGATGCTTACGATGATAAATTGTTTCATTCAGAATAAAAAATTTAATTGTTGAAATTATTGGATCAAAATGTTGAGTACCAAGGCTGATGGCAAGAATGAAATTCACTCTTGGTTGATGGAAACCTATCATTAAAAATGGAAGAGCTTCCATTTCCAAATGACTTCTGGGAGAAAAGTTCTCCCAAATTCTAATAGCCAGCAAATCGAAGAGTGATGAATGATGCTAAAATATGAAGAGAAAGATAATATCAGTTCGGAACTTTTGGAATTTTCAGTTTCGATATTTTCAAATTTATTTTTGATATGTCATTTATGGTGAGATTTCCGATCTGTGCAAAAATTTAAAGAAAAACTTTTTTAATATCTTTGACAATACGGAGGCCCAATATTAATTAAAGTTAAAGTTAATAACAAAATTAATTATTAATCTCTTTTTCAATTTCAATTTTAAATATAATTTTAAATATTGAAATCATTGAAAAATGGAAAAATTCAATGAAAATATATGTTTTTTCAGCAATAAATGAAAAAAGGAAAAAAAAAATTTCAAAACCGAAGCAACGAGAGCGACCGGTACGGTTTATTTATTTACAACAGATTAATCCTACTAAAGGCAAAAGGTTGAAGTTGCCAACATCTAATAGTTTTATTATCACTTATGGTGCGAACAAACTTGTATTTTACGAATCTGGGCAATCTATTCATGTGCACTTCTGTCGCCAAGCTCCCCTGATAAAATTTGCCACGTCAGACAAATCAAATCTACTCGAAATTAATGCAGATCTAACCAGAAATGGCGAGAATAGAATTGCTTAGTGGGTATGGCTCAGTTCGGGGAGCGGATGCTGTGGTTTCAGTCTATGCAGGAGTAAACCAGTCAAAAAATCTGTTATACTGGCGATTTACCTCTACTTCTACCACGAAAAGTATATTTGTCGAAGGCAACAAGTCAACGAAGCGAGTCTAACCAGTTATGGTGGAGGCTCTAAGAAAAAATAATACTGAATAATGAATATAATGGAATTTCATTTTTCCTTCTTTTGCTTTTAAAAAAAATATTTGCAGACGTCTTATATTTTTGTTCCTGACTGTTCACAGTTTTATACATGGGTTTTCAATGGACGCGATGATGACATAAGTAAAAACACTATTATAAAACTTCTGTTTGGTGAACTACCACCTTAAAAGAACACAAAATCAAGAAGATCTGTTAGTACTTAACAAGATATTATTCGACTGTATGAATGAATTGAATGAATTAATTGTTACTTTAAGAATTCTAATGCTGCTGAGGCAATGGAGTTGAAGTTGCGCAGATATATTTTTGGAACTAATAATTTTGTCGTTAGATGTCTGGGTAGCTACCATGTGATTTTATTCTTGCTCCATCAGTTTGCAAAGGGATTCTCATAAACTTATTCAGAATATCTTGCAAAATTGCAATTCCTATTGCTGATATTAGACCCATTCTTTATTTTGTATTTTGTTTAATTTCTTGCTTCCATTTCTCCTGTTGCATAATTTTTGATGCTAATTAATTAAGTAAAATTGAATTACTAAGTTAGGTAAACTTAATCAAGTATAAAATATAATTTTACTTGCAATCAGTTTGATAAATTCCATTATGATAAAACGATTGGCTTTGGCTCTGAATCAAGAAGCGGCGATGAAATTTTTCGTTTATATCTTTAAAATAAGAAGTACTGCACTGATCTAAAGTGATGTTAATCGAAACCTGGAGAATATGCCACATGAGAAAGAATTTCCCAGTCAAAATCCAATACAGCGGTAAAGCGTTAATGTTGCCAAATATGTACGAGTGTTCAAAAAATTAAAGAATTTCGAATTTCTTATCCTCTATATGGTTATTTTTAAGTATTATTTTTACGCTTTATAGATGATGACAACATTCGGCAACAATTATTTCCAGATATCTCAATAATTTATATTAATAAAAACACCTTTGGAACCACACAGATTAAATACTTTACTAAAAAAATACTTTACCTTCAGATAAAGTATTTGCACCATCAGTGATAATCTTAAAGAAATTTAAAAAGTTTGCAACTTAGAAAGATATTTGAGACAATATAAATAAATAGGTGACAGATGACAGATTTTGAGGAAGAGATTTAAAAGTGTTTAGGACCTTTGGCAGCATTTAAGGCTTTAAGCTGGTATAATGGCTTAAAACCTATTACGCAAGTAAAGATAAGGAATTTTTTGTGTCGAAAACTGATTATGCATAAGTCAGGAAGCTCGTCTTTTTATTATCGTTTATTTCTAAAATTAGTTTATACGAGTAACACCAACTTTCGAAAATCCTTTCTATTGTTATCCCGTTTTTGTTTTTTTTTTCATTTTTATTTTTTATTTCTTCATTTTTACTTTATTTCTATAAATTATAATCCAAGCATATATATAGCTGCGATTTGTTCCACCTTCCTATATGGCTACATGGTCAATATGGAAACATGGTCAATAAGAGTGGAAGATATTAAGAAGCTATCTATCTTTGACCACTTATGTCTAATATTAGTAATTCGCCGAGTAGATAAAATTACACATGATCGCATCCACCTTTGTTCAAATATCATTTGCATTAACATTACCATCACAGGATGTCGCCTTCGCCAGTTAGGACACGAAAATTAACATATATTTCGTTATTTGCTAAATCTGAGATAGGTGGCATCAAAAGCGAGGTGAGCCAATCAAGACCTGGACTGAACTGATACGCTCAGGGAAAATTCTGAATGTATGGGTGAATCAGCAATACATGGACTTAGACGAAAAAAATCGATCATTAGTTACCGCGGTGAATTCGACTGTTCGAAACATTTTTGCTTAGTTTTACAGTTGAAAGTGGGAAGGAAACATTTTTTTGAGTTATTCTATATATTGAATATGGAAAGAAAGTCGGAAAAATATTCCATATTCCATATTTTTTTATATTTGTTCTCGAGCTTGTTATGTGGACAGATTTGTTTAGTTGGAATTATTCCAAGGAATTAATTTTAATGTATAGGAAACGGGTTATGCTGGAAATTCACCTGTGTTTCTATCGCTAATATCCTTAGAATTTTGTCTAGAACCTAGCGAGCCAGCGGAATAAGTCTGACCATCAATGGTGAGTGCTCTTTAAAAAAAACGTTGAGGTTTGATATATATTGGCGAAAATTTTCATAGAACATAAGCCAGTGCTGATTGCATGTAAATAAATAAATAAGTTCGTTTTGCACTTGGCAATTAATATTTTGTAAAAGTGCTCAACTACCACTTGGATTCTTCTAATGATAGGGGGCAGAGACTGTTAGTCGAAACGTTGGTTGGTCTAATTTACCTTTAATGCATAGCCATATAAGGAAAACTTACTGCGGCTTGAAAGAAGGCGTCGTCACATGCGTTCACATGCAAATCATAGTAAAGCACTGCATGTAACTCTGAAGCATTATTATCCGAAACTTTAAACCGACCAGTCAACTGACCAAAAGCTAGTACATATTTTATTAGCCCTCGACAGATTTCATTCAATCTAAACAATCTAAAAAGGGATTGAAGTTCGCTTTCGTCAGCTGGCTGCAGAAGAGTTATTGCTCTCACTATTATCATCAAACGTCCAAGAGATGTGTTATCGACGAATGGAAGATCTCGATAATCAGATATTATAAAACAGTTACCACTCTAACTTTTGGTGCTTTCTTTTAGTTCTACAATAAAAAGATTTGAATATAAATTTATTTCTCAGTGGCTGTTTCCTTCTTTAAATTTCCAATTAAGCGAACCTTATCCGAACCATCGATGGTCTATATGCCACACCACTTCCCCCATACGATTTCATAGAACGATTCCGTAAATTTAAATGCGAAATAAATGTTTTCATTAATATGAGGTCTTAAAATCTTTCCAGATTTATCGTGTGACAAAGGGAAAACGGAAGCAGCCCGAAATTGTTTAAGCATAGAATGGAAAACTACGATGCCTTCGAGACCATTAATTCAGGTTAAAAACAATTATTTCTTAGCAAACTTTCGATATCACAGCACTATTCGTAAATATTTCTTAAATTCACTAATTCTGACAGACGTAAATCTTTCGAAAATCCGAGTGCTGTTAGCAATGTCTGTCGCCAAGTCACATCCTAGAAAAATTGTACTGATCTGTGCTAGTGGAATCAGCCTATCCAGAAATGATGAGCTCGCTCTTAGAAAAAAACTATATATAAAATGGTATTTAATTGAATCACTTGTTTAGTTACTCCAATTCAGCTGCGCAAAGTTCGCCATAATGCCACGAAGGAAATTTTCTTGCTGAAAAGTCTCGATAGGGCAGTAGACTGGTCATCTGCGTTTTTACGCGAAGTCAAACATCTACAGATACTTAAGCATCCAAATATTATTGAGTAATGCTTTATTTCTCGCAAAATTTTTGTCTTAGATGAGAAAGCAAAGTAATATATGCAACATTTTGTTATTTCTCTAAAAAAAGTGAAAATTTTCAGTTTAAAGGAAACATTTAATTGTAGAAGTGTATATTGTATGGTGTTTGAGTATTGCCCATCGAATTTATGGGAATTCGCTCGGAATAGAATTATTAATAAATCTTACGTATGTTTATTGAATATAAAATATTTATTCTTAAATACTCATCGGTACTTTGTTTTCCATTTCTCATCGTCAGCAACTTCCATGTGGGGCAAATTTATCTTACAAATATCAAATAACACAGTAATCTGGCAACCACTCTGTACTTCTATTGCCGATTAAATGAGTAGCAAAACTTGTCTCGTCCGACAAGCCAGCGATATGTGTAATGCGAAGAATAACCAAGAATAATGCGCGATTTTCAAAAAAAGTTTCACCAATTGCGATGCAGTTATTTTTGTTTTATTGTGATCTATTGCCTAATATTCATTTTCGATTTTTGCACTATCAGTGGTTGAGTGCCATATCGCCACAATTTTGGTTAAATTTCAAGTCCTTTTTGAGAGGACATCTTTAAAAGGAATATATGCTAGAGTTGCCACTAATTTTATCCAGAATGACTATCTTATAAAAACGTTTTATCCAACCGAAGATGTTGGACGTTGTCAGTGCTTCATAGCATTTATTTATGAGAAAAATTTATGCCTATTCAAAAACACTAAACTTTTATTTAATTCAGATTAAGTCGTTAATTTACCAAATCTGTCGAAGTATTTCGTACTGCCATGAAAGGGATATCATCCATCAAGATATAAGGTTAGAAAATTTGTTCGTCACGAATACTTTATTACTTAAAATAACCAATTTCATCACGAGCGAAACTATTCATAACGCTGGAACAATATCGTTTGTTGTATCGATGTATGGTAAATTCAGAAAATCATAAAAATCCCTTTAATTCATCAAAAAAATTACCAAAATGATGTTGTAATTAAAAGCTTCGCTATACATTGTCATGAAAAATACTTTTGCTTATTAATACTTATTAAAGATTGGTAGACCAGAAAATAGAGCGCCAGAACTTTTAGTTGCTTTTACCAACAAGCAGGTTTGTTACTACACTGTGGCTACTGATGTTTGGTCCATTGGAATTTTATTTCTTACCATAGCGAGTAGAAAAATTTTTTTTTATGGAGACGATTTGCAAAGCCTATTACGTAGTATATTCAGATATGTTATTATTATGCTTTCAAGCATCATAAGCATCAAGCACCGTTTCATTAAAACCTATTGTTTTTCTACTTCAACGATTTTCAAAAATTTTTACCATTTATCTGGTTAATCTGGCGCTAAATATAAGATATATGGCTCCAATAGTTAATAATTAGTAGAGACGGGAGCAAAGTTTCTAAAAGAACTTAAGAGCTCAATAGCTATTTGCGACTAATGAAGAGTCCAATTTTTTTCACAAGCTTTTTGATACCTCCTAAAAATCTTTCTTTCCTATATTTTCTAGTAAGCCCATAATTCTTCCCTTCTTCCACTTCTATTTCTATGGTCCCTTCATTTTGATAAGTTTTGCAAATTTCCAACTTATAACTATACGACTTTGGTACTACTGAGGTTGATTGAACATTAAGGAATAAAAAGGATCTGGTGATGTTTGTTGTGAGATTGGGAGAATGGGCTCTGAAAAACGCATCATAAATAGAGGTGGCCGAAGAACGCAGCAATATCAAAGTGTTTCTTGGGAGGGTTATGAGAAGAGGGTTATAGTATCCGATAAGATCAAAATCGCAGGCAATATTACAATTTTTTATGAATTATTGCTAGAAAAGGACACAAGGACATGCCTTTGGAACTATGTTATATAATGTCATTACGAAATTTCATTATGTTCACATAGCTTAAGGTAATTCAAGGATATATTAGGATCTGATAGGTTGAAGAATGTTAATAATGTTAAGCGTTAATTTATAGTATAGATTGATAGAATTTATTTAAGACTTTGAGATGCGTTAATCAGACACAGCAGATTTCCTAAGTGATGTTAGAGATGCAAAGTTTTGCGGGATGGGAGACTTACAGAAAGAAAATAGAAGGGAACATTTGGGGAACAAAAGGCACATTGCAATAACCATTGCAGTAAGGAAATTGAATAAATAACTATTAGATATTCGAAAGCTTAAATCAGTGTCCTTTCCCAACGATTTCATAAAAATTCATGGAACCCAAGTGTAAAATTTTCTTTTAAGTACTTGCATTTCCCTAACCTTGCCTACAGAATGTAAACGTCAACATTTCCCTAACCTTGCCTACAGAATGTAAACGGAATGTTGTTGCAAAAAAAATAGTTATAATGGTTTTCCTTTAGAATATTATTATTAGATAGAAAAATGAAAGCCTTCACAGATCTCTTAAGATGGACCTTGGACTTCGGACTTGTAGAATCAATTTTGAGTATCACTGGTTTACTTAGATTATTTATCATAATGTATATAGTGTTTTCAATGGACCTACTGTCATGAATCATCATCATCATTTCATTTTATAGACATTTGGGAATACCAACGATTAAACAGTGGGAAAGTATGGATGCAGACTATTCTATTCATCGCCATGAATTTTCCTGGATTATGCCCTCCTATAATCAGCCAGATCTATGGTTAGCCGTAAGACGATTATGAATGGGGAAGAAGTTAATTTTACCAGAGTTATAATTATTTAATTTCTCGTTTTTTTGAACCTTTGACTCAACGGTTCAGCCGTAAAAAAAATTAAAATAAGATTTTAGGAATTCATACGTTACGATCCTAAACGGCGAATATCAGCGAAAGATGCCTTAGTCCACGAATATTTCAATGATCTCAATAAATCGTCGCTACCGACTAGACGATGGGATGGATCTAAAGCCATATTCGATACCTGAACATTTCGATTATAATGTTTGCAACAATCGGTTTTTGGTTGCTTTCTTGTTTTGTTCATAACAAATTTATTTGTATCGAACAATTCTCATATTTTGTGAATGCGGGTCAAGGAATTAACTATAATGCCTTGTGATTTGCTCATTTCCTATTGCTTTTCTCCATTTATTTGAACTTTTTAATTATTAGTTTTTTAATTCTTAATTATTTTTTAAAAATTTAGTCTTTTCGATATCTTCATTTAAATTAAATTAAATTGGTAAATTGATAAATTGAATTAAATTGGTAAATCAAAAATATATATTATATATATAATATAATATATATAAAAAATAAAAATATATATAATATAAAAATATATAAAAATATATATATAAAAATATACATATATTTCTTACAATCATTCATTATTTTCTATGAAATGATGAAATTTGCGGACCTTGGAAATTGTATGAATTTCTATTTTGAATAAATGTTTGAAGAAATATTGGAAAAAAAAGAATATTTGGAAAATAAGAGAAAAACTATGGAAAATAATAATGCAATATTTAATGATGAATAAACTGTACTCTTTCACCATAGAGGCACTTGAGGATAGAGTCACAAGTGGGTCCGGCCCTCAATAACTACACGGATTTCGACATCACGACAGGTTACTCCTGTCGAAGATAAAGAAGTAAAAGTTGAGGATGAAGAGATAAAAAAAGAAAAATTAGAAGAAAAAATGGAAGGGGAAGAAGCTCATCATCTCATCTTATTAAAAGATTGATTTGGAGAAACTTGTAAAAATTTCGGGAAAAAATATTAGATCAAATATAATGTATTTTAGTAGTTATTGTAGAATAGAATAGCTAGTTGAATAGCCCGCGGTTCATAATCGATTAATTTAATAATTAACGAGTTGAACAGCTTGGAAACTTCTTACAGTTGTCCAATAATTAATGGTGAAAGCTGCAAGAAGAAGACGACGAATATTTATGATTTATGGTAAACGAAAAGAAAAATGAACATTGAATAATTATTTTAATTTTATTCAATGCAATGTTTTTAGCATTCATTCTCATTCACCTTCTAAAGGCACTCTTCACTTCCGATTTGGCTGCCACTAGCCTATTAGGATGAACTGGTTGAACTGGGCTCAGTCGAACCAGTGTACCACTCGACTTATTAGTAGCATTATCATCAATTGAAAAATTTACTCTAGCTAGTCAATTGATGCAGCTCTTTTTCTATGCAATATATCTTTTCTTTTACTGTTTCTTTATGCGTAGGCTTTTTTTTAACCCGATTTTTTTTTGAGCTCTCTTCCTTGATTACATTATCGCTCCATCTGTTATAGCAATGATATAATTCATTAACCAAATAGCATTAAAAAACGCGAAAAATAGCGAAAAACAGCGAAACGCGAAAAAAGGAAAGAATTACAAGAAGGCAAAGAATCAAAGCAAAGAAACCGAGGCAAGAACAGTAAATGCATTCACAAATAAGAATTTTTGATTAATAGAAATTTTTAATAGAAATTAATAGAAATTTTGATTAAACAATTTTTTTCTCCTTAGGACGCATAGCGTTACTGATTACGCTCGTTAAGCAATTCTGTCCTTTATAATTCTCAAAACTTTGGCGTTACTAGACTGGTAATATATAAATATATAAATTATAATAATCCTGGTTATTTTTAATGAATAATTCAGATTTTTTATCAGATTTTTTATCAGATTCTCATCATGTTTTCAGACCATATTTTATCAAAATCATGTTTTACCAAAGGCATATTTTTATTCCATTTTAGCCATTTTCCAGCATTTTTTGATGCAATGTTGAAGTCTGAACTGTAGTTCTCGTCGACTGATTCTATAGAGAAAGATTCCGGTTCCAACAGTTAGCAGAGAAACCGAGGCAAGAATAGTAAATGCTTTTAAAAGCAGAAAAAGTAGATGTAGAAATTATTTGCGATGAAATCCGGTATAATGGACGAGTATTCTTCTACGCACTTTCGCAGATTTCTTGACATTCACTAAGAATATGTTGCATTCCCTTAACACTCTTTCAAGTCTGGATGCATTCACTATTCTTGCTAAATGCCTGAAATCCTTCCCTAATACCTTTTCCTTCACTACCTAGTCCTTTGGTCTTCATTTGGTCCTTTCAGTATGATTTTATGAATTTACAACTTGCAAATGTGGCTTTCGCGAAAATGCATCGGGTGGAAAATTGAAAAGCAAAATGGGGAAAGGTCGAATTAATTTATTAAATAGGTGGTATAAATTTAAAGATTTATTTTAATAATAAATCTTAGAAGAAGCTTCTTTTTTAAGCCAGTTATCAAGAAGTTTATGTACAATTTAATATTATTATTATGTTATTATTATTTATATATTTAATATAATAATAAAATCAATATTTAATAATATTTAATATAATAATAATGCATTCTTCCGGTTGATAAAACCATTATGGACTCGTCGCGAAATCACTATAAAAACGAAAGCCCGCGTCTATGTAGTCGCAATTCGCTCGATCTTGCTATATGGCTGCTAGACTTGGCCACTGAGAATATTAAGAAATTATCTACCTTTGACCACTCAAGATACATTTTATGGATCCATCAAGCAGATAAAATCGCATACATATATTGTATACATCTTCGCTCAAATACAACTTGCATCACTACCATCACAGAGCGTGCCCTTCGCTTAGAATACGTTCTTCGTCACCCACCACGAGAATTGACGCATTTTGTAACTTGCTAAATCTGTAATGGCGTTAAGAGCGAGGTAAACTAATCAAGACCTGCACTGATACGGTTAGATTTTGAACTTATAGGTGGATCAGCAATATATGGGCTTAGATGGAAAAAGGAATGGCTTCTAGTACTGTCGACGATAGCATAAGACTGCGCCGTTTGGAAACGTCTTACCATTATAGCCAGTGAAACCTGACCAGTAATGGTGAGAGCTGTTACAAGAAGAAAGAAGAATATAATAATAAATTATATAATAATAAATTTAATAATAAAATTATATAATATAACAATAAATTTGATTTTCTTGTATTTAACTTGAAAATAAAATAATTTATTTTTGATAAAATATTTTTAATAAATAGACAATAATGAATTTTAATTTTTTTTTTATACACCGTTTAAACAAAAGAATTTTTTTAAGGAAAAAAGTGAAAATTTTGTGTTAAACCTAAACCTAAAACATTAAAATAGAATAATAAATAAATTTTATTTATTTTTCTAATCATTGAAAACTATTTTTATCTCAAAACAATAATAAACATTAATTTTCCTTAAAACAAAATAATTAAATAAATTTAATATAAAACTAAGCAATAAATTTCAACAGCAATAATTTAAAATAAAGTAAAAAGATTTTCAGGGAAATAAAATATTTCTCCATATAATTTCTCTTTCTTTGGAGGCAAATTTATTAAAAAATGAATCCACCAAAACGTATTTTTGAACCGACAATAGAGAAGTATTTTTTAAAGATTTCTCTAATAAATTATTTTATCCATTTATTTTTTAAAGAGTTTTAAATGGTTGACCAAGCAAAACCTTAGCGTAGGTCGTATGCTTGTATTATGAGTTATAAATAACAATAAAAATGAAAAAGAAAAGCATTAATGGTCAAAAATGGCAAAATGGGTTTTGGAACTTGTTGGTGTTACTCGGATAGCGGATTTTCCAATTCCAAGATGCCGCTTGCACGTTTTTTTCGGAATTAAAAGAGTTTTCAAAATGGAACGAATTCTCTGATATGTGCATAATCAGTTCTTGATGGAAAATTAAAGGAATTACTTCAATTTACCCGCGCAAGGGGAATTTGCTGACGTGGCCCCCATAATCGATTTTAAGCTATTAAACTAGCTTAAATCCTTAAATTCTATCGAAGTTCCTTTATACTTTCAAATTTCTTTCTATTCACTTCAAAATTCCCATCTCCAACTATAGAAACTTTGAAACGGCGAAATAGCACTGTTTGGAAAAAAGTTTTTAGTGTGTGGTTGTAAAGATTAATCTATCTTATAAGCTGTTATGAGCTATTCTATATCATGTTGAAGCTGGTGAAACAATTATTGCTGAACACTGCAGTTACCAGTTTCAAAGTTTAAAGAAAGCACTCGAGAGCGTTGTTTATAAGGCGAGAGACTCGGTAAATAATTCATCTGACACTCGTCCAAATACGACAATATGAACCATGAACTGGATTTGTGTTGGGAAATATTTCTCATGCAGCATATTTCACAGACTTAATTATCGTTTTAGGTCAGTGCAGTACTTCTTGCTTTGTCGGTGTTTTAAAGAAATAGACGAAAAATTTCATCGATGCTATTCGGGTTCAAGCCAAAATCATTTTATTACGATGGAATTTATAAAATACCAGAAATATGACTAAAGGTGATTGCAAATTTTAACTTAGCTAATAAGAAATTTATTATATGCAACACTACCAGAAATGGAATATATAGAAATGAAAATAAAATACGAGAATTGAATTGGCTCAATATTAGCAATAGACTAAGTCGTTAGAAATTTTGCACGATATTTTGAAGAAATTTATGAAAATATCTTTTATAACTGCGGACTGATGGAGTGAGAGCAACATCACATGTAGCTTAATCAAGTATTCAATACTTCAAACGACAAAATTATTGGATAGGATATTGGTTTTCTAAATGGGTCTGCATAACTTCAACTCCATTGCCTCAGCAGCATTAGAATCTTTAAATAATTAGTAATTCACTCATATAGTCGAATAATATCTTGTTAAATGCTATCCTCTTGATTATGTTCTTTAAGGCTTTGTGGCTTTTCTTTTCATCGATTTTGTATTCTTATAATGTGGTTGCTCACCAAACAGAAATTCTATAATAATATCACTGATATCATCATCAGGTTCATGGAACATCCACTGATAAAGCTGCCAATACTCATAGGCGAAATTATAAAATATCTACAAAATGACGAATAATTTATTTTGGTGACAGAAAT